ATTCATTTATTTTACCACCAGATAACCTTTAAAATAAGGTCATCTAAATGTACAGATTTTACATTCAGAAATTACACACAAGATATTCCAACCCTATTAACAACAATGTCCTTCCAATGAAAAATTCAGATGTTTTTACTATAGTATCTCCATAAGACAAATCTGTGTAAGAAAATATTTTCAGGATAATATGTTGTATCACTGAATTAAATAAGAAGTTGAACCCAAAATCTGTCTTAAATGTTTAAAAAGATTGTCTCTTTCAAAGAATTTGCACTGATCAGCATAAATAAAATAACTTTCATCCTTAATCACAATAAAGATGAAAAATGAACTGGGAGAGGCAGCACTACTTGACATAAATAGTCATCCTTTACAGTACAGTATATATACAGTAGAATGATTTTTAAATGAAAGCAGTCTTTTCAAAACACATTATTATTATCACATGATGATTAGAGAGTTCTATCAATAATACATGATGATAATGTTACAGCTTATCAAGAGTGTAATTTCCATATCAATTATAAAAAATAATTTCAAATACCATGAAACTTATTTCTAACCCTTTCCTGCATAATATGACTACTGTTGAAAGAACTCTCATTAAAGTTAACTGCAACAACTTGCCTTTACTCCATATGAGTTAACATTTCGTTTCCTAAACTGTAATATTCAATAATTCTCCAGAAGCCTCAAAATTCATGTAAATCATCCCTACATGCTGCCTTCTATGAGCAAGATTGATAACTTTGAGTGTAAACAGGTATTGTTGACAGATTAAATTCCACCCAAGTCACCTAAACAATAATGATTTCACTTAGTGCACAGCAATTTACCTAACTTACACCATGACATCATGATATGTAATGTAAATTGTTGTTACACCTCACAATACTATAAAGAAATACCCGTACAGTAGGTAATCATTAAAATATTGATGGATTTTAAGTTTTACAAAAAGAGCTGATGCCTATCATTTTCATTTTGTTTTGGGGCAGCCCTTTAAAATAATTTCCCTCCCTGTCCTGTTGGCCTGTATCCCTTTTAGAATAAAACTGTACTTGAAAAAAATCATAATTGATTTGCTTGTATTATTTGAAATGAAATTAATGCAAAAAATTTAATCAGGCTTTCTCAATACCGGGACATTTCTACAGTATAGTGCAAGATGTTTGAGGAGTTTGGTAATACTGTACACTGTACAGTACAGGTACTCCTCAACTTACGACCTACTTGACATACGCCCACCCAGACATACGACCGCCTCGGTCATACCAAAAAATTTTCAAATTACGTATGTATTTTCCAGTACCAAAACGTTTCCGTCCCGTACGAGAGCGTGGCGTGGGCTGGGCCGCCTCGTGGTGTACAGCGTCCACGCCATAGCACGCTCAGTTGGTGTTTGACCGTCGTTGTTGTCGGTAGTGATCATACTGTGTACTGACAATATTTTCGGTTCTAATTCCCTTTAAAATGACTGGCAAGCGTAAAAGTGAGAGTTCTGGTGGTGCTGAGAAGAAACAAATGGCAGAGGCATTTGCTACAATTAATAAGGGGCTGCAAATGTTTGACGAAATGGATCAAAATGTTGAGCATTTTGCAAAAGTTGACAGAATGATCCAAGATGCACTTGCTTGCTACAGGGAGATTTACAATGAAAAGAAAAGGCAAACTGTGCAGTCTAAATTGGACATATATTTCAAGAAGTCCCCCACTGCTGTCTCCTCACCACTGCTGTCTCTTACACTCCCTAAAGATGATCCAACACCTTCAACAAGCAAGTATGTTAGCCTGTCTGAGGAAAGTGACATTGATGACCCACCCAGCCCTGTCCCCTCCTCTGCTTCATCCAATTAATGCAGTCTCCATGTTTAATTAAAAAATTGAGGTCCTGTGTGCATTCAACTGACTACATTAAAGGTAAGTGCACAGTAACACTTTATTCATTTTTCATTATTGATTATGTACTTTTACTGTACAGTGGTCCCTCGGTTAACGAACACAATTCGTCCCAGAAGGTCGTTAGTTAACCGAAACCATTGTTTCAATGGGATTTTGGGTAATTGATTCCAGTTCGCCGAAAATTACATACAATCTAAAAATAAATGCAGGAAAGTACACTTACTTTGAGGAGTGCATGTAGAAGGCTCCTGGTTGATGATGATGATGATTGGAATTAGAAGTGGTGGGTGGAGAAGGGAGAAGAGAAGGAAGTGGGGGTGGAAGAGAAATCACCCCATGCTTCATGCCGCCATTTCACCCATAAAATTTTAAGTTCACTAGGTGTAATTCAAGATTTTTTTTTTAAATCAACACTGCACTGCACTATATATTGTCAATATGTAAAATAAATTTCAGAATGACCAATAATTGTACTGTAAAAACGTAAAAATAGTTTATGTTCACGAGAGTCTCAAGCAAGATGTTACCTCCACTGAGCAGAGACACAAACTGACGCCTGCTGGGTGAATCAAGTGGCTGTTTGGCACGCTAAAAACTAGTTTCCTGTACTTCAATTAAGTTCAATAATTGTTAAAATGACTAAAAATTTAATATAAAACTTTTAAAATTATTGAATAGTACAACCTTCTTGATTTTTACTCAAATGGGAACGAATTTAAGCCCTAGAACCGATTACTGTATTGGCAGACTAATATTCCAGCTGGTGAGCAAGCGAATACATGTTGAGAAGAACAGGGCCGGATTCAGGAGTGGGCAAAGTGGGCAGCTGCCCAGGGGCCTCCACAATCTGGGGGCCTCCACATATTACAATATTTTATTTATTTGTTTATTCATTTGGACAGAACCATTATTTGAGTAGAGGTTCATCTGATTAATAATGCAAAGAATTATCTCTCTGTAATAACTAATAATATATTCTTTTCTGTGAAGTCTCTTGAAAATTTTTGACATGTGCGGTAGTAGCTATATCAGGGCTGGTCGACTTGAGACCACATGAATGACTCCAGTCATGTCTCACTTTTGTGTGTGTGTGTGTGTGTGTGTTGGAAATTTGTACACTATCAATAAATATAGTTAATTAAAAATTTCTCAATGTTCTTATTTCCTCAAAATAACTGCATATGGCTTCAAAATTCTCCAAACAAGTGTTCAAATTTCAAAATTTTCCCGGGGGGCTTACAGAGTCCCCCAGAACTCCCAGATGTTTAGGCTTGCTTCACTCGCCACCCCACCCTCTTGGGTAGTTATAATGAGGGGGGCCTCCACAAAGAGGCTGCCCATGGGCCTCCACAGGTCTAAATCCGGCACTGGAAAAGAATTTATAAGGAATTTGTTAACCGAATTTTTTTCGTTAACCGAATTAAAGATTCTTATGGAAGGTAATTTGTTAACCGAAATTTCGTTAACCGAGGCATTCGTTAACCGAGGGATCACTGTACTGTATTTCATTTTAGATATTCTATGTATTATTTTTTGCATTTTCGACTTACGACCTGGATTTGGGTCCCTAATCCCGTCGTAAGTCAGGGAGGAGCTGTACTGTAGATTTACTTACAATTTCATATTTTGGGGATTTTCTCAGCATCATACTGAGTATTTTCCTTAATTTTACCATAATTTATTAGAAAACCCTTTCTGATAACTTTACAATAAATTAGCTATATATGTAGTCAAACTTTAATGCCATTTACAGCTTGGAAAATAAAAATATAAATAAAAAATTAGGATGTACAGGTACTATGTTGTCCTGAATAATTGACAACTTTAGGGGAAACCACCTGAATGCTAATTATGTAGTGAAAGGGTTAATGCAATGAATCTAATAAATAATCTCTTTCCTTTCACACACTCATTCTTGTTCAATGTCACTTTCTATATCTTTATTAACTAATACACTTTCTCACTCATTATACACACATTCATCCTAGAATCACCCCGCAATAGAGTGAATGATTAATCTTGAAATTCCAATTGATGGCCGAGCCTCGAGCAAGGCAGATCAAGTACACTGCATTAACAAACCCACTGGTCTCGGAACAAGTAGACCTGACTTTACGATTGGGTCAAACTTTGTGATTAATAAACCTCCTACTGGAATTACAGCCCTAAAAAGATCATTTAAAATCCAATCCATTGTCAGCCCCCTAACAGTAGATTTACATCTATCTTCTAAAACCTTATACAGAACAAGGAGCATAAAGAGCCATTAAATCCATAAGTAGAATTTCACTGAGCCTTCCCTTTATCCTTATCATAGAAATTTCTGTAATTTTATTTTGACACACCAGAGAATTTTCTGAGAATTATAAATAGCTTAAGAAAAAATTAAATTAAAAGAAAGATTGGATCATCCCTGTACTTGCTAGAAAATGGGTTGACACCTTGATATAAATACCTGTAGGTTATTGCTGGTACCCAGTTGCTTAATCAAATACAGTATACCAAAATTGGATCAATAAGAATCTACAGTGAACCCTCACTTTATGCAGTCAATTGAACCCACGGCGGCCCGCGTAAAGTGAGAAACGCGTAAAGTGAACAACATAACATATGGGATTAATTGAAATAGAGACCGGGCCGACCCCCAAACTCCACTTTTTCAGACACAATACCTATATTGTAGTAAAATAAACTTCTTAATTTTATGATGGTATGCACACACAATTAATAATTAAGAGAAATATCAATAATTTTAGGTTTTTTAACACTTACATTAGTAGAAAAGATGGCTGGGCACACAGGGATGGGGGGTTGGTTCCGAGGCAGAGGGCAGATTATTGGCCCTCACCTGTATCACTTGTGTCAATTGTATCACTATCCACCACAGAGGCTTGCAGGGCCTCTTTGTCAAACCCCTCAAAGTCCATAAGTCCATATCCTCACTATCATTATCATTATCACTGGCTTGGGCCGGCTGTGGTGGGTGGCGGGTGAAGAACTAGGTAATGTTTTGATGACTGGGCGACCTTGTGCGCACCCTGCTCGCGCCGCTCTCCGCGTAAAAGGGTACACACACCGCGGAAAGTGAGCATTCCGTGTTCGGCAGGGTACCGCGTAAACGTGGAAACGCGTAAAGTGGGACCGCGTAAAGCGAGGGTTGACTGTATAATAATTTTTTTTTATAATAAGTAATTACTGTACAGTGGAGTCTTGATAATTTGCATTTTAAATTGGCAAATACAGGTATCTATATTACTATACAGTAGTACCTTTTTTTTAATTTTGCAGTCAAATATTCATAATTCACAGTGAGCGCCGACTGCCGCAGTGTTTGTTACATAAGAAACTATAAAAGTTGTGGAAATATAATTTCTTTGCTCTAATTTGCCTTGGAAATAAAGAAAATATAACAGAAACTATTAAATAAGAAAATTATAAAGTAGTAAGTGATTTGTTTGTGGGAGGTACAGCAGTTGGATGGTGGACTGAGTGCCCCTTCCTTCTTCAGTTCCTGAGCCTAGCACGTACCTTCGACCTAATTAATATAACATTACGGAACTTCACCATAATTCCCATATTATTTAAGTTCATTTGGTACCAGGTTAATAAACAATCATAAAAATAAAAAATAAAAAAAAAATAAAATAAATAAATAAATAAATACCCAGATGAGCTATTGAATTGTCACAGCTAGTCCAGCACCTGCCTGACTCCATGTTAATGTATTGGTGTAACCCACACAAAATTATGAGAAGGGAAGGAGCTGTTTATATAATACTGTACCTGCATAGATCTACTTTTTGTACAACATCTGTGTGTTACCGTACTGTACTTTTTGATGTATTAAGTATGATGTTTAATGTTTATTAAAGCAGTTTTGGAACAGTTTATGGATATTCCTTGACCTCTGGAACCAAAGTAATTACTTCCATATACGTAAATAAATTAAACTATAATTCAAAATTTGATAATTCACGATGTTTTCTGGTACCTAACCCACGAATTCTCGAGAATCCACTCTAATATTTAGCTATATCTAAAACTGAGGAATGTAAAGGCTTGCTAAAATGCCTTAAATAGTCCCATTTACTTAGCCCTAAAACTCATAAATTAGCATTAAATAATTAAGACAACAAACTTGTCTTCAGAGTATGTGGAGCAAATAGTGGATCACCTGTTCTGTGGGAAGTGTGGCCAAGAATGAATAGATTGAAGCCTGGAAGGCCAGTATGGCCAATCAGGAAGAAACAATAGAAGTGCAGTAGCTTCTATGACGTCATATGCTCATTTGTCTTCCTTCCTCTGCAGTCCATGAAGGAAATTCGTTACTTCCAAACACCCCTTTTTGGGGGCTATATTTGCAATAGTGGAGGTTTACAAAACACTTACATTAGTCACAGGCATTACATCAGGTCTCTTGGCTCCTACACCAATGACTTATTGAGTGCATTATATGAAAGCTGCCTAGCAAAGGACAGCTGGCCACAGAAAAACTTACACAAATATACATACATATATAAATTCAAAAAGCATTTTCTCTAATACAGTATCAAACCTACAAATTAACAATTGAATTATTATGTACCACTTACTCAAGTACACTTACCTCACCTAAACCCTCCCCTCATATGTCTCCCTCCATTCATGTCTCGTCTACCACCGCGCTCCACAAACTTAGAAGGAAATCTATCTTTGGGGCCATTTCCTACTCCATTGCCTCTCATGTACATTCCACGACCTCGCATGAAGCGCATTGTCCCGGGGTTTAAAGGTACCCCACGGTAACCTCTTGGAGAACCATCACCACGGAAGATCCAGGGCATACCTCTACCTCTCGGATTCATCCCACGAACAACACCTGGCACAAAGAAAGCACAGTGTTATTTTCTTTGCTGTAAAGAAGGGGAAATTATATCTATACTGAAAAAAAGAATAACTAGATACATAATACAGAATGAAAATGTATCATACAATTTTCCTTGCTATACAATAGAGCTGATAAATTTAACATAATATGTCTTGAATTAGGTAAGCCTTTTAAACTATCATGCAAATAGAAAAAGATATTACAGAGGAAGCCTTAAATATGAAAACACAAGTTCCATGAATGGTATTTGACACAGTACACCAAAAACAGGCAATACAGTCATTTAAAGATGTAACTTGACAGAATATTGTAAATATTTTTTTTTTAAATCTGTAGTAAATTCTTTTTACAAAATATTACAAGAGATGACTTAAAGTTTAGTAATTAACAAATATTAAAAATCAAGACTGAAATTCCAAAACATGATGAAGACAGTGAAAAATCTTTGGACAAAACTACAAGGAGAGGAAGCCAATTCTGCAAGGACAGAAAAGATTTACCGAAGTGGTAATCCCTTGGAACGGTTTCAGTTTCTTAACTACATGAAGCATTACAAAAGAATGAAGAGAATAGCATAAATAACAAATAACAAAAGTATCCAGAAACTTAAACAAAATAAAAATATGTACACTGCACTGTACTATGTACAGTAATGTACATACACACATGTCAGCTTGCCATGTGCATATTCATGCTGGATAGTAATAAGATTTTTGATTAATTTACTGAAGAAAAATCTGAGATGTTCAGATTAAATTGTTCATCTCTTGCTTTTTAGCTTTCTGTTTCAGAATAAGATCACTGCAGTTGTCCCCACTGAGCCATTACATCACACAATGTTGTATCAACCCCATATTCTTGTACTGTATCTGTTTACAAACTGCTTCACCTATGTCCACACATTTATTATTTAAATTTTTCTGCTATTCACCATAACAGTGATGCTGTACCTTTTATAAGGAATTATGTGGTCAATTCCAACATATAAGAGGGTATGATACACTGAATACAACCACAGACTCAGATGTGGTAACTAATCCTTTATGTATGAGGAACCCAAGTGTGCTAATGTGACATCTTGCAGTGATGCACTGAGTTGCAAGTAAACATGTGAAATTTTAAGTGTGCATGGAATTTTGAATACTGTATTCAGATTTTTCGAACTACGTACTGTACAGCATGCCCTTAAAATTTGCGGGGGTTTGGGTCTCAAAATGGCCACGAATAGCCAAATCTGCAAATAACATTTGCTGACCAGGGGGGAAGAGGGGGGTTACATTTTTACTCATGTGCAAGGAAATGTATATTCCTTTATGTGTTTGACCTGAGGACAATTATTTCTTTTACCTGTTGTATACAGTATATATATAGAGAGAGAGAGTTATTTCTTTTACCTGTTGTATACAGTATATATATAGAGAGAGAGAGTGTGTGTGTGTGTGTGTGTGTGTGTGTGTGTGTGTGTGTGTGTGTGTAATAATAACAATAAATAATTAACGGTATATTGAAAAAGTCGGCAGCCCAAAAGCTGAAAATATACATTGGACAAAAATGACTTATTACATACAAAGACATGGGGTGGGTACGTGATTTAACAAAAGCTTTCATTACTGAAAGAAGAAGGAACATGAAATGAACATACAAATTATTATAGTTTACAGTTGATGGCCCCGGCCTGAACTGGTCATGGAGACACCAGGTGGTGTGGTGCTCACGTGGTGCAGTAACTCGTCCTCGGGTGTTGATAATAATAATTAACGGTTTATTGAAAGAGCTTGGCAGCCAGAAGGCTGAAAATATACAGTTACATATTTGGGGAATGGGTTTCGAATTACAAATAATATACAAGTAACATAAGTGACACAAATAAGACATATAATAACTAGATGGGGAAAAGCTCAAACTACAGTTCATTTCAACATAGTAACAGTGCAAGGAGTAGTGTTTACTGGGAGTGAATACACTGGTTTATTACAAGTTATTGATAATTTTTACAATGGTTGGGACTGGGCTGTTCTTATAGCGATCAGTTCGTGCACATATGGGCTGGATGCGGTTGTGGTGTCGAACAGCAATTCTCGGACTAGGGATCTCAGGTGGTAGTAGGAGCCGGTGTCGAGGATGGTGTAGAAGCTTCTTACCAAATTTGCAGATGAGGTCGTGGTGATGGTCAGTGAGAGTTGAAAGGGTCAGTGTGTTGAGCGCTTCTTGATATGTGGAGTAGGAAGGGGAGAGAATAATCTTGCATGTCCTCTTTTGCACTTTTTCTAGGTGTTTACGTTGTGTGGCATTTAGGGAGGAAGGACCTCACGTGATCATGGGGACACCGGGTGGTGTGGTGTTCAGGTGGTGCAGTAACTCGTCCTCGGATGTTGATATGAAGGACCTCACGTGGTCATGGGGACACCGGGTGGTTTGGTGCTCACGTGGTGCAGTAACTCGTCTTCGGGTGTTGATATGAAGGACCTCACGTGGTCATGGGGACACCAGGTGGTTTGGTACTCACGTGGTGCAGTAACTCGTCCTCGGGTGTTGATATGAAGGACCTCACGTGGTCATGGGGACACCGGGTGGTGTGGTGTTCACGTGGTGCAGTAACTCGTCTTCGGGTGTTGATATGAAGGACCTCTCGTGGTCATGGGGACACCCTACTAGGTGGTGTTGTGTTATTTCGAAATCAGGTGTGAAGTCGACCCACTGTTGTTCCCAGAGTGGACTGATTAGCACGTCCTTGTCAGAAGATGGCGGTCAGTTCCCAGGGGTGCTTAACTCACTGGTGGGACTCGGTTATCACTGGTACTGTCTAGTGCTGAATTCACTGGCTAAAACACTGTTCATCACTGTTCAACAAAGGTCCCACTTCTTTTCCAAAAAAAATTGTCATCTTTTATTATGTTGATATCCCGGTGGTGAATGGGTCGGGGAGAGGGACTTGAGGAATGGGCCAAACATTGGCCAAGGGGGGCCGCTGCTCACAGAAGCAGCGCCTGAATAGGTCTTGACCCTACGGTGGTCAGGTGTGTGTGTGTGTGTGTGTGTGTGCGCGCGTGTGTGTGCGCGTGTGTGTGTGTGTGTGTGTGTGTGCGCGTGTGTGTGCGCACGTACGTGTGTCTGTGTGTGTGTGTGTGTGTGTGTGTGTGTGTGTGTGTGTGTGACCTGTGGTGTAATGGTCAGCATCCTCAACTTGCACAGAAAAACACAACACTTCAAGCAAGTCAAACATTCTTTGAGATGCCAAGACTTGGTTTATCAAATAGTTCCCATCCACATGCCATTCTTTTGTATTATTACAGTACTGTACTGCACTGTATCTCTTTCTATTGAATTTGATTGTTGAGGGAAGGAGAACTTGAGATATCTCAAGGCTGACATCAGAAGAGGTTGTGAGAAATGACCTCAGAGATAAGGACCAGATGAAATGGACTGCAAGAGACCATGTAGCTTAGAGAGCTGCCATCAGGTAATAACAGCTAATCAATGCAAAAGTGGAAAATGGCCATATAATGGTTGTGGTGATGACTTTTAGCTTCTCTTAAAGGTTTTCTGATTTCTGCTGGGAAATGTGTCAGACTGCCATTTTTTTTAGAACAAAACACACAGCAAATTCTAAGTGAAATCAAATTAAACTACTGTGCTAATATATTTTTTTTATGCTAATAAGATTATTAGAAGATACTATCAACTAACCCCTACCGCAATCTGGTCTGAAGGGTGGTCTGTGGAAGAATCTGCTCCCTCTACTGTCACCTCGTCCACGGCTGCCACGTCCTCGCATGGAGTCTAGCAAGAACTGTAAACCAGATTGGAAAAAATTAACCTAGAAATTTGCAAAAAATTTATCAAAACTATTAAGTCATAAAACACTATAAAAAATTATTTTACACCAATAATAAAATCTGACTTCATATTATTTAACCATTGTACATTTATGTGTGAGATTTAAATTGTACCTACTATAGGAACCGCTATCAGATTTACAGTCACGCAGTACTAAAACCTAATAAAACCTTACATGTACCTTGCCCCGACCAAAGGATATCTTGTTGTATCCTGTAGGGCCAGTGGGCTGGTGTCCAGTGCTCTCTAGGGCAACAAAGTCATCCACATGGAGGGATGGAGGCCGAGAAGTGTTGGGAGGGCGGGAACGGAAGGGATCACTTCTCATGTTCACCCCTCGGTTGAATGAACGACCCCTCATTGGAGCGACTGAAGATGGGAAATACAGTATACAGATAGACAAATAGGTAAATCTCAGACTCACCCACCACCACATATATAAACTGTTGAAAGAATGTAAGCAATATAATAGACTCTTACTTCCAGGCATCCCAATGCCAAACTTTAAGTCAATCTAGATTTTGGTGAATGAAAAAGTGAATGAGCTTAAATATTATTATTAGTAGTACCATTATAATTATTATTAACTCAAGTACGTACTGTTTTCTCAGTAATATCACAAAGGCATAGGAGCAGGTCATCTGCTTTGAGCTGATTCTTACCAAAAGGTCTGCCTCTCTTGTCTGGTCTTATAGCACCTGCACTGTGCTTGTACCTGGGTGGGCCTTTACACAGCTTCTGTGGAGTGAGTGCTTGAGAACCTTGACCCTTAACAAGTTTGTGCAATGTTCCCAAAAGGTCATATTCTCCTGCATATTGACGACAAGTTTCCAATAAGTTTGTAGGTACCTGTTCAAAGAGAAAAGATACATATTTTAATACATAAAAATGACACACATTTACACAATGACATAACCTGGGGGTGGGAAAAAAGAGTACTGTATATTAATCTACACCAGAAAGATGCTGAGAAACCAGCTGTTAGAAGTGAGACAAACTGCAAGAGTATGAAAACACGGGAGAAGGCAGAGCATTCCACAGTTTGGCTGTGTGAGGAAAGAAGGAACTACTATAACAGGTTATTCTAGTGTGACAGACATCCACACAGAAATGGTGGGCACCGCGGACAAGACAAGTGTTACGAGCCCACTGCCTTGCTGGTGATACACAGGATGCCAAATCCACCGAACAATGCCCATTAAAGTACCTGTAAAAGAGAGAGAGTGAAGCAACATTGCAGCGAAGAGATAAGGAAGAGAGACTATTGGCTGAAGAAGGAGAGTTAATAAGACGAAATGCCTTTGATTCCATCCTATCTAACAGATGGACAAAATAAGAACCACTCCAGATAAGAGAGCAGTACTCCAAGTTAAGATGAATGAATCCCTTATAAACTTGAAGCAACTGCTCAGGAGTGAAGTAGCTACAGCATCTGTACTACATTCCCAGCTTTTGGGATGCAGCTTTAGATATGTTATGGATGTGTGGCTTCCATGACATCTTAGACTTAGAAGATCTGGAGATGCCTGGTATATCTATTTTAGAATTTGGCAAAAAAGGTTGCATCCTGAAATGTGATTGGTGCGAGATCTTCTATTTTGGAAAGTGTAATTGGTAAGTACTGTACAGGTACTGTGTTTTCTTACTATTGAATTTGACCAAATTTCTACCTCCCCATTCAGAGATGCTGCATAGATCTACATTAATATAATATAAGAAACAATTCCACATTACTATAATATAAGAAACAATATCAGCTCTAGAATCAGGTCTAGTTTGAGAGTTAGCAGGAAGGGAAAATGAGAAGAGTGAAGAGGAGAATCATCAGTGTATGAATGGATAAAATTAGTAGTAGTATGAAGTAAATCATTGATAAAAAGAAAGAAGAGTGTAAGTGAATGAACAGAACAACTGCCATGGACTGGTTCTCAATGAAGCTAGAAATGAGAAACAGAGTGGAGGAGAGAAACCATAAGAAGGCAGTTAAAAAAGCAAAGTGCTTACCAATGGCAAGGGACATTTCTTGTAAGAGGCAGATGAACTATTTGTATACTGTATAGTGTATTGTGAGCAACACTTCACAGGTACTGTACAGTACAGTAAACTGTTCTGACAAACTTAACACTACTGTACTGTGTGTACGGTACACTTTATGCATAGCAGTAACACTTCACAGGTACAGTAAATAACTGTGCTAACAAACTTAAGACTACAATTTATACATAGCACTATCTGTACAGTAACACTTCACAACCACTTAATCACTGTCAGAAGGTCTACCCGTGAGGAGAAGCAAACATAAACTGATGCTCACGGGGCCAATATGGACTGCTAAGCGTGAGCCAGCTTGCTGAGTTCTCAGGCGTGACTCAGTTCCTACCGACTTAGCTCCAATTTGCCAACCACTCAGAAATATAACGATTATCTGGTGCTTTGCAGACTTATTGCAAATTCCAACTTATCAGATGCCAAGCTATGTTTTTTTTTTTTACTGTACTTTACAAAATGTAAGATAAATTGTTATAAATTTGAATGCTTACTTACCTTTAAAATTAACAAATTTGTTTAAACTTTTTAATTGTGGTTGGGATTTTAATATATTTTTCAGGTATTCAAACCTACTCTAATTCTCTATTTCCCACAGAAGTCAACTTCACTCATGTATGACCTTATTTCACACCAAACTTACAACACCTGAGAGGACTACGTACTGCATTTTGAATTAATTTCCCTAAAGTATTTATTTGGTGAAAAACTAATGTAATCAAGCCAGAAATGGAATACTTAGAGGTTGCAGGATAATTTCTCAAAATCCATATTTACACATGAAAACATACCATTTCTGAGGGATCAGCATCTTCATATACAGGTGGTACAAGCCAGAAGGAAGGAATCTCATCATCGGCGAGAGTGATAGTCCACACTACCCTTGAGGCAAACAATGATTGTAGGGTCTCCATCTCAGGGCCCACTGGCTCACTCAATTCTATTCCAATAAAAATGAAAGAAAATAACATCAAAATCAAAATGTCAGGTACTACAGTAGTCAATAAAATATCTGTTGATTCATTACCTAAATCTAAAAATAGAGAAGAGAAACACACTCATTTAAGGTTGATGATAATCTTACTCCTTTCCCAACTAATTTATGTATAATTGTATACTGTAGTTGCATAAATGGGTGGGAATATCATGACTACAGTTGCAAATACAGTACTTCCTAATGTTAAAAGAACACAGATACTATGTAAACCAACTTGTATATCCCTTGAACAATATTTCACAACAGCTCTTGATTTCTGTTATACATTGTAAATGTGTACAGATTTCCTGATTTCTAAATACTGAATAATATTTACATGGGTTATCTAACCTTTAATGACTTACAGTACATGATACTAAAATTGGAAAGCTCTCGACACATCAAAGAACAAAGAACTACTAAAGATCACAAAACTGTAACCAATAAAATCAAATCTCAGGAATCAAGGGGCGAGTCTACAATGCAAGGTCTTTCAACAATGGGTTATGAGGACAATACAGTAATTGGAAACATGTGTCAATAAACAAATGTGAACCCAAGAGCATAACAGATATTGCTTCTAGAAAAAGATAAAATTAATCAGTTCACTATAGTTCAACCCAGAGACCTGCATTGTTAATAATATTTTCCTTTATGAGGATGCTGTGATCATTCTTACCCTTCACTTCAGACAGGCAGGCTTGATCCAGAATTGTGATCAACTGGGAGATATCATCATACAAAGATTCCATCATTTCCTCTTCGCAGCCATCTGCCTGTAAAATACAAAATAATGACAATATAATAAGTAATCATGTCTGAAAAGTGTAACAAATAGTAATAAATAATACACAAAAGTATTGAGGGGTGATTCTATAAAACAACACCTGGGACTCATTACAGAAACTGCTTGGTAGAGTGTACCATGTACTCAGACAAACCCCCAGGATTAATGCATTAATTTATATGGGTAAAATACTCTTCCCTCCCATCATACACATTGGCCCTACTAAACTTGGGAAGATCAGGTATAACACCTGCCCTCAGGAGATAGATCTCCCAGAGCCACATCTGACCAATCGGCACACTTTACACCAAAACTAAGGCTCCATCTTCTTTTGTTCCATGCCAGATTCTGCCTTTCTCAATTTAGTTCCAGCATACTAAGACACATATTCAAAGGAGAATAGATGGTGTCTAGTTTGCCTGGTTTGGCAAGATAACAGGAATTCATGATTAATTTTCTAATTTTGGTTTATGTCCTTTGCCAGGTGCCTTCTAGTACTGGTAATCCAAAGCCAGCAAGATAAGAGGGAGAAGGAACTGAAAGACGTTCCAAGCTCAAAATAACAATCCCTAAGATAGGCAATTCTTTATTTCTATTTACCATCTATAAATGTCAGGAGTGTATTATATACAGTACTCCCTAACCCCCCCCCCCCTTACTTTACAGAGCATTGAGATCACCTTTAATCCTCAGGACTTTGGTAATTACAACCCTTAACTGTACCAGACCATTTTAGACCTAATGTAGATGAGTTGAGTTGGGTGAAATTACCTCTAATACATGAACAATGTGGGCCAGTAAAATACATTATGGGGAACCCAGGTGTTCTGCATCACATCTAATAATTTCAGTGAGCCATCACCACACCTAGAACTTGAGAAACAAAACAATCCTAAAAATATCTGGTATGCGAGAGTGACCTTGATATCAATTCAAGCAGTGGTGGTCTCTTTGATAGTAAGTTATGTTAGAGTATTTTGAAGACCAACATGGAACATGGTACAGTAATTTATATATATGCAGCTAGACCCCGACTTACGACTACATGGACTTACGTCCATTGGTACTTACGACCTGCTTTGACCGTACGTCCGTCGGGACATACGACCGTGGCAGTCGTGACCAAAAATATTTTCAAATGACGCGCGCATTTTCTATACCGAAACGTTTCCGTCCGGGGCGAGTGGGCGGCGCGTCTCGGGTCGCCTCGTGGGTACACTCACTCAGTGGAGCGCTTTGTTTGTGTTTGGCTCTCGTATCCTATACTGATCGCGCTGTGAACTTTCGTTATTATCGTATTTAATTGACTTTATAATGACTGGAAAGCATAAAAGTGAGAGTGCTGGTGGTGTTCCAAAGAAAAGGAGACAGGCAATTACTTTTGAGATGAAAGTGAAGATAATAACACAGCATGAGAATGGATAAACAGTAGCAACAATCTCACGCGACCTAGGTTTCTCACACTCGACTATATCCACTATTCTGAAGGACAAGGAACGTATTCGTGAAGTAGTGAAAGGAGCAACACCTATAAAGGGAACTATAATATCAAAGAGAAGACAAGGACCTATTCATGATATGGAAAAATTATTGGTGATATGGATAGAAGACCAGATACAGAAGCATGTACCCTTAAGCATTCTAACCATACAGGCAAAAGCAAGAAGCCTGTTCCAAAGCCTGAAGGAGCAGGCAGGAGATGAATGTGATCAAACCTTTAAAGGAAGTCATGGGTGGTTTGATAGATTTAAAAAACGCTACAGTCTACACAATGTTAAGGTGAGTGGAGAGGCAGCTAGTGCAGATGTTGGTGCTGCCGAAGCTTTTAAAGAGGAGTTAGATGATGTGATTGTGGAAGGCAATTATTTGCCTGAGCAAATATTCAATGTGGATGAGACTGGATTATTGTGGAAGCGCATGCCTGAGCGGACATACATCCACAAAGAGGCGAAAACAATGCCCGGATTCAAGGCATTCAAGGACAGAATTACACTTCTGTTGGGGGGGAATGTTGCTGGTTTCAAGCTAAAGCCCTTCATGATCTATCATTCAGAGAACCCAAGGGCTTTTAAACATGTCAGCAAGCACACACTGCCAGTGTTTTATCACAGTAACAAGAAAGCCTGGATGACCCTAGTACTGTTTGAGGATTGGTTCATGACTTGTTTCAATCCACGAGCCAAGGAGTATTGTCTGCAACAACAGATTCCATTCAAGATTTTACTGATTTTGGATAATGCTCCGGGACACCCACCACACCTGGACGACATGCACCCTGATGTTAAGGTAGTGTACATTCCACCTAACACTACCTCTATCATCCAACCCATGGATCAAGGTGCTATTGCTGCCTTTAAAGCGTATTATTTACGCACAACCTTCGCTCAGGCTGTTGCTGTTGCTGCTACTGAAGGTGAGAAAATGATCAGAGAGTTTTGGAAGGAGTACAACGTTTTGTCTTGTATAAAGAACAATAGTGCAGCATGGGATCAGGTTACAAAACATTGCATGAATGGAATATGGAAGAAAATCCTGAAAAGATATGTGAACAGTTTCAAAGGATTTAATGAAAATGAAGTTATTTCGGATATTACCAACAAGATAGTGGAGTTAGGTAAACAGCTGGAGTTAGAAATTGATACTGAAGATGTTGGACAGTTGGTTGAAAGTGTAGCAGAAGAGCTCAGTAACGAGGATCTTATTGAACTAGATGCACAGAAAATTGAAGAGGAAGAAGAGAGACAAAATGTAGAAGAAGAACCTGCACCCCCCAAAAAGTTTTCAGTGAAGCAAATGGCAGAGGCATTTGCTACAATTAATAAAGCAATGCAAATGTTTGATGGCATGGATCAAAATTATGAGCGTTATGCCAAAGTTGACAGAACAATCCAAGATGCACTTGCTTGCTACAGAGAAATTTATAATGAAAAGAAAAAGCAAACTGTGCAGTCTAAATTGGACATCTATTTCACAAAGTCCCCCAGTGCTGTCTCCTCACTCCCTCAAGATGAACCAATACCTTCAACCAGCAAGTTTTCACAGCACATAAACCTGTCTGAAGAAAGCGACATTGATGACCCACCCAGCCCTGTCTCCTCTTCTGCTTCTTCCAATTAATATAGTCTCCATGTATCCTGTAAATAGAAAATTATGGGGGCCCTGTGTGCATTCAGCTGACTACATTTAAGGTAAGTGCTCAGTCACACTGTATCCATTCCTCATTATTTATTACTTTTACTGTACTGTATCCATTCCTCATTATTTTTTACGTTTAGTGTACTGTATTTCATTGTAGATTTTTATTTTTTTTTGAAAAAAAAAAAAAATATTTTTTATTTTTATTTTTATTTTTTATCTATGTTGGACTTACGACCTGGATTTGGGTCCCTAACCCCGTCGTAAGTCGGGGTCTAGCTGTATGTACGTATATATATATATACATATATATATATATATATATATATATATATATATATATATATATATATATATATATATATATATATATATATATATATATATATATATATATATATATATATATATATATATATATATATACTGTATATATATATATACTGTATATATATATACTGTGTATATATATATACTGTACTGTATGATTAGACAACAATTACTTTGATGTGTCAATACTGGTAACAATATAAAACATAAAGTCTCTATGATACTTACCACTACTTGACTTTCAAGCAATTTTAATGGATGGATTCGTTCCTGTGTCTCCTCTTCTTTTCGTGGCTCTTCTTTTTTCACTTCTTCTTTCTTTACCTCTTCTTTCTTTATCTCTTCTTTTTTCTCTTCAACAACCTCCGCTTCCTCTTGTTTAACTTCAACTTCATTCTCTTTTTCAGGTGTCTCTTCTTTCTCTGCTTTTGGTTCCTCTACAACAGGCTCTTCCTTCACCACCTTTTCTTTTTCTTTCTCCTCTTTTTTAATTATGTCCTTTTTATCCTGGGAATACTTAGAAAACTGCATCTCATACCCTCCTGGCTTCCAACCAAGGTAATTAGCTAATTCTGAGGCAGAGACTATCATTGTTCGTGACATTGAAGAATCTTCATTCATGATAAGCAGCTGGCAAAACTCCAGTGCACCCTGGAGTGATGTTATGTGCTCATGAGATTCTTTTCTAAATGTTGAACTTAGCCTCTTGAAAAGACTAATCAAACATGCCCTTTTCTTCTCCATAACACTGAAACAGAAAAAATAATAATAATAAAAATCTAAATAATTTAAAATACTCATCACATAATTATTGTCAGGAAGTATAGAGCTAACTACAGTGAAAGTGGGTACCATAGGCATGACTGCCTGTTAGGGACAGTGTAAATACAGCACACTGTATAATAAGCCTTCAGTACACAAGTAGGCAGCATAGCCCATACTGCAATCTGCTGTATTCACTTCCCCAAGTTATAAATTTAGGTACCTATTTACCGCTTGGTAAAATGGAAGTGCCTGGGAATCAAACAGGGGGCGAGTTTTATATCCACTTGTAAATATTTTAAATTTGATTCAAAATGGGGTCATAGATAGCAAAATCATGCACAAGTAGAGTTAACTTCTCATGGGAAATGGGGACAGTTTCAGGCACCTCAAAAAAGCATGCATTACGATCCACAATAAAAGATTTTTGACAAAATATATACAGTATGTTAATAAAGGTAAGCAAAAATTTAATATAAAATAACTTTATCTGCAATACAAAAGAGGAAATTCAGTTTGTAAATATTTTGGAGAGAGTGGTGGTGCATGGTAGTTGAAGAACAGCTCCTCCTCGACTTACGACCACCCGGACATACGACCACCTCAGTCGTACAAAAATTTTGTCAAATTACGTATTTTCGAGTCCCAACGTCAGTGATTGCTCTGTGTACTGACAAAATTTTCGTTTGTAATTCACTTTAAAATGGCTGGCAAGCTTAAAAGGGAGAGTTTTGTGGTGCTGAGAAGAAAAAGAGATACCTACCCATTTTAGATTTTCTATGTACTGTATTATTTAAGCATTTTCGACTTACGACCATTTCGACTTATGACCTGGATTTGGGTCCCTAACCCCGTCGTAAGTCGGGGAGGAGCTGTAATGGGATGGTAAATTTCTATCTTTATCGAATTTGAAATCTGTTCTCATCTTATTAGCAGCAGCAATTAGTAGGAGACTGTGCAGAATGCTTGAATGCCATTATAGTACACACAGACCTTGTATGCAAAAAGCACAAATTGATCTGATTTTTTTATTCCATGAGTCATATATGAGGGTTGTTACTGTATGCTTTTTAATAATTTCACTTTTTTTGTTTATTTAATCTGCACAAAATAAAGGTTCATACAAGAGGATAACAAAGCTTTTGTTACCTATGTTTCCTATAGGTTATGGAATAATCAATGCCATCAAATTATACACTAAATTAATACCCCATATTAACCATACCTCTTGATGTGATAGAAGCCATAGTCATGTTCCATGAGATGCATCAAAGCTCTGAGAACTTGCTGGATTGACTGATGAGAGCTGTGAAGGTTACGGAGGTGGTCTATCAAAGCGTCCACAATTGGTATCAAGGTATCTTTGTTTGGGACACCACTTAATGTGAGCACTGTTGGTGTATTACTATGCACATCTCCTTCTTGCATTACTGAATCCTGAGTAACATGCATTGCATTTTCATGATCACAAAGATACTGAATAATTGAAATTATGCAGTCCTGAGCCTGCATGTGAGCATGAGACCCGCTAGCAGCAACATTGAGGATACGACACCACAGAGCCACCAAGCCTGTATATTTATCTTCCCCTTTAGTCACATTGGTAGCCAACGTAGGTGTGCCTCCACGTAATAGGTGAAGAACCGCAGCCTTAGTGGGTGCATGAGACACTAACAAAGCGAGCATATTCAGAACACGCCCAGTTTGCAGAGAACATGGTCCAAAGTCCTCACCAGCAGCACGCTGATCCAATCTGTGCGCTTGAAGAACAAGATCCAGAGTTGCACGACCTACTAAAAGGGCCATGGGAGCAGCCAGGTCAGAGAGAGCAATGCACATCCTACGTAAGAGATGCATTTGAGGTGGAAAGCTGGTCACACCTAATCGTATGATGATCTCGTGAATGTTGGCTGAAAGGCAGTAAAGGTGGGCACTCCACAGTTTGCGTAGATTAATAATTTGGGAGGATTCTTCATCAGAGAGAGCTTTGCGGGTCTGAATAGGCAGGGGCAGTGGTAATAATTCTATGACCAAACTGATGACTCCTGTAAAAGTGTGAGGGCCAGTCAAAAGGTACTTGAAGATCTGGAAAAGAAAATATTATTTAATATGCAATCTAAGTATACATTTTAAAATGGCAGCAAGCATGAAATGCATTAATTGTACAGAAATAATAGATACAAGTAGTTATGAGGCATGAAAAAGAAGAATAAATCAGTATGAGATGATAATGACCCTTGGGTTGTGTAGACTATTATATTATTCACTTAATAAATATCTATTACTTTCCACAATTCAGAAATCTAGTCAGTGTAAACTTCTAATAAAACATTTTTAATACAATTACAGTCTAAACTTTATGCAATAGCACACTGTATTAATGCCTCATCTTTAGTTACTGCCAATGAGTAATTATACTTTCATCACCTACTTTTAATATTCTTTCAACCCAAAATTATCCTTAAACTTTATTACATCAGATAATCACACCATACTTGTGATATATCAACTATTACTTCACATGGTGTCAGAGCACTCACATATCAAATTACAAGTGAACTGGTCCAGAAATTCTTGGGATACTGCCAAGGAAAAAAAAAAAAACTTACCTCAGCCATCATCTTTGTCCATAGACTTTTGGCTAGAACCTCTTCTCCTTCAGCCTTTGAGTATACTGGTTGTGTATATACCAATAAAATGCTAATGACCTCCTGCTGCATATCTTGTGCTTGATTATAATGTTGTGATCCCATGGGGAAGGACTGCAGCAAAAGGTATGTTTGTACAAGAGGAACAATAGCAGACAAGTCTTTGAAATTGGTGTTCCTTGCCTGAATGACATATGTAAGGATGTTTTTAAGTAAAATTAATGTAGGTTGAATTACTGCTAGTAGTACAGCACCTTCTGAACAAGTGAAATTTGAGCTATGCACAGATGGTTGGGAGTACATGGAGCAGAGCTTAGTTAAGAGGTTTGTTAAGTGTGTGTGACAGTCTGCAGAAAAAAGCTGAACTGTTGCATATTTGTACTTTAATTCTTCTATTAGTTCCCCATTGTGGTCCTCAGGTGCAAGGTTAGACACAGGATATTTCGGTACAGTTAAATATTGAATAATGCGTAGATGTGTCACCAGTTCACCCGAAAATTTGTCAATTTTCTCCAACTGGTCTTTCAAGTTGTTGGAGAGATTTGCCAAATTATCATATGAGAAATTTTCAGAAGATCTCGCGATGGATATCCATGGAATAATCTCACAAAGTTTAACATGTTCATCTAACTTTGGTCCCTCTCGTGTTTCTTCATAATCCATTAACTCTAACAATTTTGCACCATATTGCTCAAGCATTTCCACATTTTCTGAGAATTTCACAGTTAACACTATGAGGTCAACAGCATAGCCATAACAAGCAAGTCTAGTTGGGGCATTATCCTGGTCATCACCAGCTCCAAGTTTAAGATATGGAAATAATATTTCTATATTCTTCCCAACGCTCAACAGTGAAGTAATTGCTTGACGACCGGCTGGTGAAAGAAGTAGTGATGTTAATGTATTGAAATGAACTACTGCTTGAGAGTAGTCAGTGTTGTGGGATGTGGCCAACTGTGCCAAGGCATCTAACTGTTGGAGAGCATGGAAGGTGTGCACCATCTGCATTCCCAGCTGGTGCAGAGATGTGTCATCATTCCCTTCTTCACGTCCATCCTCTCCAAGCTGGATAAAATACACAAATCTGTTAGTTTTCTGTATTTTAGTAAATATCTTAGTAAACAAGCAATCTTGCTTACAATAACTCAACAGTCAATATGTAATAACCAAAACAAAAATGATTGAGATTGAATTTCAGAAATTAATCAAAAAGCAGCTAATCTTTCAGTACATCACTAGTCCCTAGAAAATGGGAACCTGGGAGCCATCAACTAACAATCAGGCTAAAAGCTGAGCATCTTCACTGTCACAATAATATGCATGCACTTGAGGATCTTCATTTATCATAGGTTACAAAACAAATAACAAGACCAATCCCTTCAGTTTCAGCTCAGTATAGCATCCCAAAGGGAGGTGCAAGAGACCCCGAGTTGTTTGATCTTTGCGTGATATTAAATCTTGTATCCAGCATTGTAACCAAGTTGGGATTAAACAAAACCATTCAGTAAGGAAATCTGTGGATCAAACCCCAGACCCCAAGGTACTTAGTGAGAACCAAAATAGCAGAGAAACATGACGTACCTGTGTCAAACTCCTAGCAATGGTGGTGGATGGCTCTGGATGAGCAGCCATATATCTCACACCATGTCCACAGGACAACATGCACTCCAAAAGACTTTTGACATCTCCAATCAAAGCTCCACTTTGCACTGCACCCAAAGCTCCAAGCAACACAGCCAAAGATTGTAGCAGTTCACCATGATCAAATAGTAAATACAGCTGAGGATGAGCATCATGAGGGTTCTTGGGCAGCTGAAACTGCTTGGAATCTGGTAGCCACCTGCAATAATTTATTTTTTAAGTCTTTTACATCTTAATGCTGGATGGCTAGATTGTAAGGTTAATGTAGACAGGCCCACCCATTATCTACGTGTATCCACATCACCTGTGTAGACCCTGATCCTCTTTCTACCTGATACTTCTACCACTTGCACATTTCCTCCTAGTCCCCTGTTTATCATTATTCTTTGAATACCATTTACCTCATATAATGTTCTAGAGCAAGTCATTTCCATCACTGTTTATCTGCTCCTTCTAACACCCAGACACCATGCTTCATATCCACAATTAGTGTTAACTCAACAGTCCCCCACACAGCCCTGTCTTTGTCTCCCTTGATATGGTTCTTTCTCTCCACTTCATCACTTATCATTCAACTTGCTGACACATCCACTTCTAGATATCTGAAGTAATCCATTTCTTCCTCTCAGAAGTATCACTACTGAAGTCAACATTTATTTCTCCATCTCCCTTTATATTGTTATATCTAGGTCATATTAACAATCAATCTTTTAATCAATGTCATCTGCAAATAGCAGCCAATTCACCTCCCATTTATAATCACTTTCATTGATCACCAAACTTGTGTTTCTCTCCATCACTCTTCCCTTTACCTCTTTTATGAACTAATTCATAAATATGACATAGTATAATAAGATCAGATATTTTTGTCAAGAGAAATATATTATATCTTGGTAAAAGACAAAAGTTAACTGAATTAAAATGGAAAATATTCACTAATTTTCTGATAAAAATAAATTGCTTCTAATGTTCTTTGTATCTCTTTTTCATCATTATCATCATCACTGTTTATGACCATTTTCCACACTTGTGTGGGTTAGCCATCATTTCTTGATGGCATGGTGTCCAGGATGCTATCATGCAAATTTGAACCAAATTTTAAGGCTGGATACACCTTCCGATCACCAACCCATTTTTACAGAGTGGGAACTGAGCATTATATGTAGGCCTTCTTAGCTGGCAAGAAAGATTGCTACTCCTTGAGGAAATTAAAGATTACCCACCCAACCACTATAATCATTCAAATAAAATAAAATAAAATTCTAAAAAGGTTACAAAGAGAGTAAAGATCCCTCTTTTGCAAGAGGCCTACACAATATCTACAACAATTAATTAAAACACTCATGGACAAGAGCTATAAATATCCACTGAAATACCCTTATTACCACATACCTTCAACACAGTAAAACTACCAGTAAAATTGTATGAGAGGGTATACAAGAGTGATTTTTTTTTCTATTGACTTGTCTCCATTCCTAATTAAAATGAGTGAAACAGATGCAATGAAATTCCAGTAAAGTTTCTCCATCCACGATTTATGATACAGGCATCCACTGATCTATACCCTTAACTACATCTCCCACTATCTACTAAGATGGCATCTGTAAATGAATGTTGCAGTAAAGAAAGCATATAGCTTAAAAAGACAGGACTAGGATATAAATTCCCTTGGCACAGATTCTGTATATAATGGAAAGAAGCAAAAAGAAAAAGTGAATAATAAATGATGGCACAAAGATGAAATGCCAATATACATGAAAAGATTAATTGGAGTTTGGGACAGCCAACTGGTTCTGCTGAGAGAAAAGAATACAATATTAACAGTTGATTGGTTACCCATTACTTCCTCCACACCAACTCCTTACTGATGAGTGGAACTAGTACAGGTATCTGAATTCCTAATAATTATTACCCAGCATTACAGTCTAAAGATAAAAATTAATCATTATATGAGACACAACCCTAAGATCATACCTGTGTGGCTGTGCCAGTAATTGGTCAGCATATTTGTACACTCTTAATACTTCCCGCACACAAGAATTAATCGCCTGAACCAAGGAATCTGGGACATTACTGCTCCAATTTGATGGTAGATCAATTCGACCCTCTGCCTCATCAGTTTCCATTACCTCATCTTCAGGATTTAGCTAGAAAATAAAAAAACAATATTGTCATAGAGGTAAAGAAAATTAATTCTGCTATGGGATATAATCTCAAAGTTTGAAAAAAATACAACTACAGGGTACCATCTAGTTAACACAATGTGACCTACCTCGGTGAAAGTCTTTTTAACAATACAGTACTGCACATGGTTATAAATGATACAAGCACAATTTTCCTTACCACAGTTTGACTACATTAACATACTAGTGATGAACTCAAATTTCATACATTGTACAGTAAGTCCTCGCTTAACGTTGGGGTTATGTTTCTAAAAATGCGACGTTATATGAAACAACATTAAGCGGATCAATTTTCCCCATAAGAAATAGATAAAATATGGGAGTTGCGTTCCTGAGCCTCCCTTGCCCCATGAAATACATTACATATACAAAAAATCATTGCCATTTCTATAGAAAATAGTGCATACATATACAACTACTAAGTTTGTATTGGTACTCACCGATGGGCAATGTGGTAGAGCGAGTGTATGATAGGCAGTGAAGCAGAGGAGGCAGATGGAGGGAGGGGATGGAGTATGGCAGGAGCGGAGGAGGAGGGTGGGAGCGGAGGAGGAGGGTGGGAGCGGAGGAGGAGGGTGGGAGCGGAGGAGGGTGGGAGCGGAGGAGGGTGGCGAGTCACTGAGACTCTGCGGCGAGCCGGGAGAGCGTAGCTCGGCCAGACAAGAGAGGGTGGTACGCCATAGAAAGTAGTCCATGACGACGCAAAACAACTTACAGTGGTCCCTCGGTTAATGAGCACAATTCGTTCTAGAAGGTTGCTTGTTAACAGAAAAATTCGTTAACCGAAACCATCGTTTCAATGGATTTTTGGGTAATTGGTTCCAGCTCACCGAAAATTGCCTAAAGTCAACAAAAAAGGTAGTAAAATACACTTACTTTGAGGTGTGTATGTAGAAGGCTCCTGGATGATGATGATGGGAATTAGAATGGGGGTGGAGGAGAAGGAAGAAGAGAAGGCAGTGGGTTGGAAGAGAAGTCACCCCATGGTGCCATTTCACCCAAAAATTTTAGTTCACTTGGTGTAATTCAAGATTATTTTCTTTAAATCAACACTGCACTGCATTATATATTGTCAATATGTAAAATAAATTTCAAAATGACCAATAATTTGACTGGAAACACAGAAAAAAGCGTTTATGTTGAAGAGTCTGAAGCAAGATGTTACCTCCACTGAAAAGACACAGAGACTGACACCTGTATGGTGTGTTGACAGGCTGTTCGGCACGCTAAAAACTAGTTTCCCTGTACTTAAATTATGTTAAATAAGTGTTAAAATGACTAAAAATTTAATATAAGACTTTTAAAATTATTGAATAGTACAAACTTCTTGATATTTACTAAAATAGTAGGGAATTTAAGCCCTAGAACCGATTACTGTATTGGCGAACTAATATGACAACTAGTGTGCAAGCGAAAAAATTTTGAGGGACGCTCGTAAGGAATTCGTGAATCGAGGGATTGCTCGTTAACTGAAGTTAAGAATCTTATGGAAGATAATTCGTTAACCGAAATTTCGTTAACCGAGGCGCTCGTTAACTGAGGGATCACTGTAGTATCGGATCATTGGAAAGTTAAAACATTTTTTGGTATCTAAAGTTTAGCGACATAGTACCGAAACAACGTTAAGCGGGACGACGTTAAGCACGGACTTATTGTAAATGGATATGAAGAAAAAATGCAATGAAAATGCAACACATGAAATTTACTAAACATACCCATACATATAATTTTTATATGAACCTCTCACAAGGATTATCATCTTTTTATTAACCATTTTTTTGCTGTCTCAACTGTTAGTATTCCCTGGTGGCTCATCTTCATAACACTTTGTACCAAGGATCCATATCAAGAAGTTAAGAGGGGAGAAAATACTGTATGTAAGCAAATAACATAAACTCCCAATAGATTTTTTTAAGTTCTTCGTTAAAGGCACATAACAGACAATGAAGGCTGATTGGAGAATTACTTTCCTTGAATTGCTAACATTTTCCCAGACTTTCAAGAGTTAATCAATTACTCAACATGTTAATTCATGGTGAACTATGCTAAGGCACACTATCATGTGTACAGTAGCTAAGAAAAGTATCACTGCATACTCTGAATGAAACAGTATAAGACCACGGATGATAGGTCCTGTATTGGGATGTGCACCCTGTCTCCTTATACAGTCTCTCCTTGACTTACGACATATTCGACTTACGACAACCCGGACATATGATGGTCATGGTCGAATAAAATATTTTTCACATTACGTATTTTCGAGTCCCGACGTTAGTGATCGCGCTGTGTACTGACAAAAATTTTGCTTGTAATTCCCTTTAAAATGGCTGGCAAGCGTAAAAGTGAGAGTTCTTGCGGTGCTGAGAAGAAAAAGAGACACCCATTTTAGAATTTCTATGTATTATTTTCACCTTTTCAAATTACGTCCAATTCGACATACGACCTGGTCATCGGGACGGAACCCAGTCGTAAGTCGAGGAGAGACTGTACTATGTGATAGTAATCAGTTAACCGTTTACTTTATTCCTACATGCCAACTCACCCCGTGTTGGATACTGAATGGCGGTGGGTGAAGACACGCATACCAACCCTTCCGAAACATCACGAGTTATACGTATAATTTCGGAAGTCATCAGACTCACCCTGTCAGATATCTTTTTTTATGTTGAACTACTATTTGAAGCAGATGACATATCCATGCATTGACAAATAAAAATATCTGGTTAAACAAAAAAAGGAGAAAACAATGCTCATCAACTGTACACTAAGGGGTCAAAAGTCTTGAACACTTGGCAATATCTGGCATCTACTTCTGAGTTAAACATATATGATTGGGACATACTAATAACACTACTTGTCATCACATATGCCAGAACCATAAAATGGGATAAAACTCTCCTCAATACCTAACATCTTTGGGTACTTACATGCCAAATAGTGTCAAGTGTTCAAGACTTTTGACCCCGACTGTACACTATGGGCTAAGAAGCAGTAAGACAGGAAGAGAGAGACTAAGGTATGAGTAAAGGGGAATTCACATGGACCTGAGATACAGATAATGCAACTTTCTAATAACCAAAGACAATATCATGTGGTACATTGTCAACTAAACTACAGTACTGTAAAAATATGGCCAAACACACTGTTTCATTATTGCCATCAATTAACCTTTTTTATTCTAATCATTTCTAAATACATGATGTTTAAAGCTCCTGTCTTTTGCTTATATTATACTACCCTTTGTATATACCTCTTCTTTGCCTTTTGTATCATCTTCGAAGGGTGGCAGATGTTTGATGAGACTCTTCGTGTCTTCACTCAGCTGGTGGCAAATCTCCAGCAAGTGCACCTTCCTAACTATAGCTGACAAGGCCACCTGAAACAACAAAATACATCACTGACCATAACCATTACTACTCTTTACTTTCTTAAAAATTCATTAAACACAATTTTTTGTCAGATATTGTGTGGTAAAAAAAATTTTGTTTAATTGTCTACTGACAATGTTTGGGAATTACATTTTGCTTCTTTAATTATTGGCAATCTAATTTCTGAGTATTTTCAGCTATTGCCTTCTAAACTCCTAATTAGACCTTAGAAATCTTTTTTTATCATTCTAGGTCATTCAGAATAATTTATGAAATCCAATTTCATGGTTAAAGGAAAGAGACTGGTAGCATGCAAGTTTACCCTGCCAAGTGACCTCCTGGCAAAGCCCACCTAACTTATGTCTCAAAAGAGAAATAAGAAAACAAAACTTATAAAACCACACTGCATTAGTGCATTAGCAAACAACTCAATGTGACTGAATATGAACAATTATTTACAGCTAGGCATGGCCCCCATGCCTCCTTGCACATGCATGCACTTCTGCATCGTGGTTTTGTTTCAGTCAGCCATTTCATACCACATCCCACAGACTGCCCATTTCAACCTACAATGGTAAATTGGAGAATCATTTCCAGCCATAATTTGGGGCTTGCCTGTATGTGTAATAATAAAACCTTGCACTGCCTGTTAGCAATCAATGCAGAAGTGACTAAAATAATCAGAAACAACAGAGTGCCGGCTATGTGATGATCAAGTCATGCTGTGTGAATGTATGACTGGATCATGGTTCATCCATGTGATTGTAATAAATAACACATAAAAAGTCTGCACTTACCTTAGCTCGGGTTTGTGGAACATCGGCAAGCATCTCTAAAATAAGCTCATACCCATTTTTTTCTTTTTTTTCTTCAAGTATATCTTCAGACTCTCCCAGAAAGAATCTTAGTCCCAATGGTGTTCTTGTGATTGTGTCAATAGTTCTGAGGAGATGAAAATTAAAACTCACTGATTGTAATCTATATTTTGCTGCAGGTTAAATTGGCACCAATCCAAATAGTTGCAACCTAACTTAACCATTTTTGACCAGGGCTCAACAGTACTGGCACTAACTGATTGAAGTCCATTTGAACAGTCACCTAATAAAAATTTTAATGATTGTATGCACTTGATACTTACAAAATATGTAAAAAAAATCATATTATATATGTTTATAAAAGTATATAAAAATAGGGACTGATCCAGTAGTTCCATTCACCGGCAGAGTCTATAGCCAGGTGGCTCCTAGTAATACAGGCATGCAATATCCTTAGACAACCTCTAATAATAATTCATGAAGGATTGATATTCTGACGTAATGGGTAAACTAACCACCGTTCCATCCCCATTATAACAACTGCCCTAAATGGGAAGATCTGGTTCAATAGTTGTCATTTAGAGATAGAAAGCCTTTTAGTAAATGTGTCTAATCAATCACATTAAAAGCTATGCTTCCAACTGTTCAGGTAAACTCTGCCAACTGTGATTCATTTTATAACTGATTAAAGCATAAAACACTGGGAAAGAAAGTATTTGAGGTGCCTTACTATGAGTTCTGCCAGAAAAATAAATTTCTTGGATTACTTCCCCATTGCTGAATTGTGAACTGTGTCAGGTAACATCTTGTAACTCATAGACAGTTATATTTAGAAGATGAATATGCTACTTAAAGTTTCAGGTTTAGTCAGATAAATATTAATGAGATAGGTCAACCTTTTTATTCTGCCAACTATGTCAATAGCATATTATGTGCCCCCTACTTTCCCTTGCCATACAGTCCTGATGTCATCCATGAACATTTGGGAAAGAGTATTTTTTTAAAACAAACCCATAATAACCAGCCACATGGCTCCTATCAGAAGAGAGTCAAGTGACAACTTCTCTAATCCACGAAATATATATGTATATACCATACTGTAATTGTATTTATAAGTACTGTACTGTACCACTCAGGTTGATAAACATGGAAAGAGTTCACAAATGACCAAACAAGGGACTCAATGATTCTCCTTAAGTAATCTGAATGAAACAAAACTAATAATGCAGGAACATGAACAGGGGAAAGATTCTGACCAAAGTCAAAAAGGGTAGGAAGCCCTGCCTGCCTGTTCAAAATTGAGCAATAGAATAATGGCTGAACACAGGAATCAATTACTTTTCCTCCAGGTTGTTGAAAGTTCTTAAATAGAATTAATCAATTTGAACATTCAATTAATCCTGAAAATATTCCCCAACTCAAATGGGCTAACACACCACTCTACACTCTTAATATTTAGTGTTACACAGACAGGTAAGTACATTACATTATAAATAACAAACTTAAATTAGAGTTTGGAACTGCTCAATATAACATACTTGAGAACTAGTAGTTTGATGGAGAGTGCCATATGTGGTTTGTAATACAAGGAATATAGCCTTTCCATTATATTACGATTCAGGAGTAGTCTTGTCAGGTCACAAGAACATTGCAACATCAGTTGTGTAAGTCGAACACCAGCCTTGATGTGACGAATCTGTGAATATTAATTAAAGATGTAATTCCATTTTCTTCTACAGTATATCCTCACATTTGCAGACAATAAATTCATCAATGATTCTTACTAAATTTCTCTCAAAGGAAAACTACCATATAATTATCCAAGAACTGAGTTACCTGAAAACCTTGGGCAAAGAATATGTTGGCCATACAAAAATCTAAGATACAGATATCCCTCGCTATATGAACGTTCGAGATACAAAAATTAGCTTGTACAAATTTCCTAAATTACCACCTCTTATGAAAACTTCTCTCGCTTATATGAATCTGGGTCCCGGGAAAAATTCAAATCGCATGCCTCCAGGAGTCAGCTGGGGCGGCCACAACCCCCTAGCGCTCTCCCTACCAGGCTGTGGTAGGAGTTATGGTTACTGTATTTTGGTTATTTTTCAAATCATAATTTCGGGTAGATAAACATCCTCTCCCTGTACCCTCGCCTGACTGGCTCTAAGGTCTTGCCTAGCATAGATAACCACACCCCTCTTGCAAGTTTCTTGAGAAAGGTTCATAAATGAGTCATATCCAGCAATACTGAACTCACATTCCTCTGGGTTGATTCTCCTGTTCTTGTACAACAGTTCTACAACCCCTACAATATCGGGTTGGTGTACCTTCAGTAGTGTTTCAAAGTCCTCTCTCTTATCAAGGAACGTGCCCGTATTAGTGTACTGTACATGACATTCAAGCCAGAATTTGTTCTTGGAAATGTCTCTGCTCTTAGTAGTAACTCCACCCCTGCCCCCTCCACTCTCAGAAGCTGCAGCATTTGCTAAGTACACTGTATTTTGCAGGGTGTGGTTAGTAATGTCAGTATTTACACGGCACTCGCCTCCTCCCGGCTGGTAGGCGGAGCTGGTGCCACCTCCCGGGTGGGGGTAGAGCGGGAGGAGGGTGCGCTGCTGCCCTCTGGCTCTGTGTTGGCAGACTATGTGGTACATCACTTTCTTTCTAAATGATTTCTAGATAATGCCTAAAATCTTTGTAAAAAAGAAGTAATTTTGTTAGAGAATAGTACTGTACCAGGTAAAAATTAAGTATAAGGACAATACCTTGTAAACTGGCTGCTCTTGGAAAAGAGCTCTCTCGAAGTCCAAACCAATGTCAACCCAGTCACAGAGTGTGTTACATATATCTGTTAAGATAAAGTTTAACATATTTCAAAACATAATTCAAAGAAAGTAATACTGAACTGTTAGTAACATATTAAGATTAAAACAAGGGAATGATTCATTTCCTGGATTGGAATGTGAGAAGTGACAGAAAAGTCATCTCTACATCACCCCTATCCTATCTTCCTCTGTAAAGTACTAGCCAAGACATTACATCTTCAACACATCTCACAAACACTGATAAAAAAAAATTCAGATTTACCATTTCCAGTTTTAGCCACCAAGAATGGAAGACCTTTGGGAAGAAGTTGACAAACATGTTCCATGGCCTGTACCCATTTTTCCCCCTCTTCTTCCCTGGCTTCTCCTGTTTCTGTCTCTACTACGTTCTCTTCTGCAGTAAACTTAGGGATGACTGCCTCAGTAAGTAGACTTTCAAGCTTGACAGCCTGCAAGGATTAAATTCAGTTAAAAAATATCCCATCTCTTAGTTCATGCAGAGTATAGATGATTAAACCTGTCACATGACTTTAGAAAATACAAAAGGTTTGCTAAGAGATTCTGATATGCATGTGCTCAGGCCTAGCATAACCATATCCACTTGAGTAATGGAACACTTGGACTTGTTTGTACATAATGCAGTGTAATTAAACTGCATTTAATCCCTTATTGCATATCCCATAGCTTGTGCATGTTGGAAAATCAATACTGGTAATATAACTGACTGCCTCAACTGACCTGATGAGGTTCCTCTTCCAAATCTTGTCCTTCCAACTCAAACCTCGCCTTCCATCTCTGACACTCCACTTGGTAGTCAGTGAGTGTAGGACTCACAAGGTACTGCAACCCAACCATCTGGAACTGGCTTGGATTAAAAGGCTTTAACCAGTCTTCCCACTCATCCACCAGCCATTCTTCTTCATACTGGTATTCAGGAAGTTCTTCTTCATCACTGATAATCTCTTCATAACCAAATCCTTCAACATCCTCAACTGGAAATATTATATGCAGTACAGTATAGTACAGTACAGTATTTCAATTATCTTTACTTTATCCTGTCTTTGCTCTTGATTTTGGCCCCCCTCTATCATAGTGGGAAAAGACTTACATGAGTGAAAAAAAAAAGATAGAAATGATCTAACATCCATTTTCTAGCTAATTCTATAGCCAGACAGTTCTCATTAATGCACATGGCAGAATTTTGGGGTTGGTCTATCAGGCCTCATCCTTCCTCTTGGCAGCTTGGGTTTGAGCTTACATTCACCCATCCCTCCCTGTAAACAACCACTTGCCTCAAAAGAGGAAGAGTATACAGTATATGCAAAAGTTATCCTCTGGAGGCAAGAGTTCTGTCTAATTAGCCCTTGCACCCAAATGTGGTCATTTCATTTTGAATAAGTAAAATATACATCACCCACATTTTAACATGTGGGTTTATGGATGGCTACTGTGACAAAAACCACTACATAGCATAGACTTGCCAATTTACTTTTATGATGTTCTTTTGTACTTGTTTGGCATTAAGGACAATAAAAAATGATATCTGCATCATTCCAGATTTTGTGCTTGTTCAGTTATTAAAAAAAAATCATCTGAAATTGTGCCTTTATTCCCTTAAAGGCTTTAGATAATCAGTGAGATAAACAGTGATTTAATGGGTTGAGTGAATGACTTGTTTGGAAGTGTCAATCAATAGTACCAGAATAAATCACCATTGTATAGAAGGTGTGGGTGGACTCTTACTTGTTGGCTCAGTTTGTTTATGTACATATTTATCAGTGTTGCGAACATTTGGCAGCACATACTGGAGGGATGTTTCAAGGCCATGGAAGGATTGTTGGACTCTACAATAAAGGGAATACAGCTACTCCCCGACTTACGACCAACTCGACCTACGACCACCCTCACTTACGACCTGCCTCAGTCGGTACGACCACCTGCACATATGACCGCCGCAGTTGGTACCAAAAGTTTTTTCAATGAACGGGCTTATTTTCTAGACCGAAACGTTTCCATCCCGTACGAGAGCATCACGTGGCTTGGATCGCCTCGTGGCTACAGCACCCACGCCGTAGAGCGCTTAGTTGGTGTTTGGCTGTCATTGTTCCCACAACTGATTGCGCTGTGTACTGTCATTATTTTCGTATCTAATTCACTTTAGAATGACTGGAAAGCACAGAAGTGAGAGTGCTGGTGGTGCTCAGAAGAAAAGGAGACAGTCAATTACTCTTCAGATGAAAATGAAGATAATAATGCAGTATGAAATGGAAAAACTGTAGCAACCATTTCACGCGACCTAGGCTTCTCGCACTTGATCATATCTACTATTTTGAAGGACAAGGAACGTATTCGTGAGGTAGTGAGAGGATTAGCACCTATAAAGGGAACTATAATAACGAAGAAAAGAGAAGGTCCCATTCATGAGATGGAAAAATTACTTGTAATATGGATGAAAGACCAGGTACAAAAGCGTGTACCCTTGAGCCTTCTAACCCTACAGGCTAAGGCAAGAAGCCTTTTCGAAAGCCTGAAGAAGCAGGCAGGAGATGAGTGCTACCAAACCTTCACAGCAAGTCATGGGTGGTTTAACAGATTTAAGAACCACTACAGTTTACATAATGTAAAGGTGAGTGGAGAGCCAGCTAGTGCTGATGTTGGTGCTGCCGAAACTTTTAAGGAGGAGCTAGATCGTGTCATCGAGGAGGGAAATTATTTGCCAGAGCAAATATTCAATGTGGATGAAACTGGATTATTATGGAACTTCATGCCTGAACGGACATACAGTACATCCACAAAGAGGCGAAAACAATGCCAGGATTCAAGGACCGAATTACACTTCTGTTGGGGAGGAATGTAGCTGGTTTCAAGATAAAGCCCTTCATGATCTATCATTCAGAGAACCCAAGGGCTTTTAAACATGTCAGCAAGCACACACTGCCAGTGTTTTATCGCAGTAACAAGAAAGCGTGGATGACCCTAGTACTGTTTGAGGATTGGTTCATGACTTGTTTCATTCCACGAGCCAAGGAGTATTGTCTACAACAAGGGATTGCATTCAAGATTTTGTTAATTTTGGATAATGTTCCAGGACACCCACCACACCTGGACGACATGCACCCCCTCATGTTAAGGTAGTCTACATTCCACCTAACACTACCTCTGTCATCCAACCCATGGGTCAAGGTGCTATTGCAGCTTTTAAAGCTAATTATTTACGTACGAACTTCGCTCAGGCTGTTGCTGCTACTGAAGGTGAGAAAACGCTCAGAGAGTTTTGGAAGGACTACAACATTTTGAAATGTATAAAGAACATTAGTGCAGCATGGGATGAGGTTACAGGACAGTGCATGAATGGAATATGGAAGAAAGTCTTGAAAAGATATGTGAACAATTTCAGAGGATTTAATGAGGATGAAGTAATTTCTGAGATTAGTAACAAGAAAGTGGAGTTGGGTCAACAGCTTGAGTTAGAAATTGGTAATGAAGATGTTGAACAGTTGGTTGAAAGTGTAGCAGAAGAGCTCAGTAACGAGGATCTTATCAAACTGGAAGCACAGAAAAATGCAGAGGAAGAAGAGAGTCTAAATGTAGAAGAACCTGCACCCCCCAAAAATTTTTCAGTGAAGCAAATGGCAGACATTTGCTACAATTAATAAGGGGATGCAAATGTTTGACATAATGGATCAAAATTATGAGTGTTATGCCAAAGTTGGCAGAATGATCCAAGATGCACTTGCTTGCTACAGAGAAATTTATAATGAAAAGAAAAAAATTGGTAATGAAGATGTTGAACAGTTGGTTGAAAGTGTAGCAGAAGAGCTCAGTAACGAGGATCTTATCAAACTGGAAGCACAGAAAAATGCAGAGGAAGAAGAGAGTCTAAATGTAGAAGAACCTGCACCCCCCAAAAATTTTTCAGTGAAGCAAATGGCAGACATTTGCTACAATTAATAAGGGGATGCAAATGTTTGACATAATGGATCAAAATTATGAGTGTTATGCCAAAGTTGGCAGAATGATCCAAGATGCACTTGCTTGCTACAGAGAAATTTATAATGAAAAGAAAAAACAAACTGTGCAGTCTAAATTGGACATTTATTTTAAGAAGTCCCCCAGTGCTGTCTCCTCACGCCCCACCAGTGCTGCCTCTTCACTCCCTCAAGATGATCCAATACCTTCAACCAGCAAGTTTCCCCTGTACATAAACCTGTCTGAAGAAAGCGACACTGATGTCCCACCCAGCCCTGTCTCCTCCTCTGCTCCATCCAATTAATATAGTCTCCATGTATACCTGTAAATAGAAAATTATGGGGCCCCGTGTGCATTCAGCTGACTACATTAAAGGTAAGTGCACAGTAACACTGTATCCATTCTTCACTATTGATTACCTTTACTGTACTGTACTTCATTTTAGAATTTATATGTATTATTTTTTGCATTTTCGACTTACGACCTGGATTTGGATCCCTAACCCCGTCGTAAGTCGGGAAGGAGCTGTATTGTTTGATGGCCATGAAGAGAATCAAGCTAAACAGTAATAAATCTTCCTTTGACATTAGTCAAACTTGACATTGAAAAGGTTAAGAGAATGCTTTTGTGTACATTAATTAGTAATAATATCAACAGTTGCTTTAAAATAAAGAATAGAATGAACATATCAACTTAATGTGGTTTGTTGAAGTGATGGTTTTAAATTTGTATGTTAATATGTTGTATCATCTAACATTTCAGGGCAACATGTTACAACTTAAATGTTCTTCAAAAAGAATTCGAGAGTATGATGTGTGCTGACAAGTGTGGTTGAACAACCTGAGAGGTGAAGGAGCTGCCATGCTCCTCCTGCAGTCCACCTGATTCACATGTGATAGTCAATTAGACTTATAGCCATAGCATCTCTTGACAGTAGCACAGCACGGATAGCAACTCCTTGTCTTATGAGAAAATTTTACCAAACTTATTAAGTCACTACTAAAATAACATTTAGGATTTACCTTCATCTTGTTGAGTTTCATCAATTCCCATTTCTTCCATGCAGTCCTCTGGTGGGTACTCCTCCTCAACCTCACCCGTCTCTGGTGGGAGATCCGGAAGGTCTTCATCATCACTAATGGCCTCCATATCTTCTCCTGTTGGCAGTGGGGGCAACACAGTTTGCTGTTCTCTTGCTTCAAACTCTCTGGATTCCCTCTCTCTATCTCGTCCTTCTTGTACCTCTCTCTCACGATATTCATGGGGCGTGCCACCATGACTTCCTTCTTCACTGAAATTTTCTCCATGATATGGAGAACCACCAGGTGCTGGCTGGGTTTCAGTAGGTGTGCGTGGACGACGACCTGACCTATCTGACCTCTCTGATCGTCTATCATCCCATTCTCTGTGATAACAGGAATGTATCAGTTGTAAAATGCAGGAAATAAATTCTACACACACAAAACAGCACATATATTAGCAGTGATACCTAAGTTAACCCTTTGAGCAGTAAATACATACCATAACATTACATACATACACTCATAACCTTAAAATGTTGACAGTGAAGGTGGATCTAATAAACCTGATAGCTCATTATGAAGGGTGCAGATACAGCACAATGAAGACTAAACCTTCAGTATAAATACAAGGAATCAGTGTGGACACCAGTCTTCACCTTCCTAACTGTAAAGTCAGGTACCCAATCAAAGACCATGAAAAGTTTTTCTTTCACTTGATGGATGTGTCACTGTCGAATGCTTATTACTTGCACCAGATGAAGACAGATCATAAATTGCCACTGCTAGACTTAATAACAGGTATTATTTAGGTCGACATGATCATTTTGGATTAGTTGAGGAACTCTTGACTTATGGAGAAGATGTCACATGTGTGATGGTACATCACATGCCCCCCCTCCCTCTTCTCAGAAACAATAGGAAACATCTTATAAATGTCTCCAATGTTATGTCTCTTTGTGTATCTACCCTTGTTTAGAGGCATATTATCATACACAGGAAAACTACTGGAAATGTAAAGAAAAAGTATACACAGTGGCGTAGCTAGAGTGTGTGCCGCCCGGGGCGGCCCTTGAGTTGCCCCCCCCCCCCGTGCCCCCACAAAAAATACATATTGCACAGTGACTCACTCTTATATATATATATATATATATATATATATTAAATAGTTTGTGTACCATTATAATATTACTGTACTTTCACATACTCAAATATAGTATGCTTTAAATACACACCAAACATACTTAAACTTTATAAGTTTCCTTAATCCTCAACAGGTTACAGGTTGTGTGTGTGGCGGGGGCATAGCAAGGGTGTAGCTCATGACGTGGCCGTGATGATGTGGGTCAGGTGTTAGGTCAGACACGACAAGGATTAACTTGCCGCCGATACAAAGGGATGGATTAACGTCTCCAGTAGCTGCAGATATGGGTGATGAGCAGACCCAAAAGTGCCGCCGGGGCGGCCGCCCCCCCCCTAGCTACGCTAGTGAGTATACAGTATGTTTTGGGTAATTATTTCTATCCTAAGCACATGGTTGTATTCAGATGTATACCTTGGATAATAAAGGTACAATATATAAAAAATATAAAATTATACAATTTGCTATGTGCTAACACAAACAGTGATGTACAGTATTCTACTGCACTGGTGTAATGGAAACAAGAAAAAACTCAATTAAGACTGAAAAACACATTAATGTATAATGTACTATGCTTGTGCATCTGGCAGTGCTGCCCTGCTAGTTGCTACTAAAATGCTTGGTAATATGCTGCATGGTAAGTATAGGGATAACTCTATTGAGAAGAGTTAAACATTTCTGCAATCTGAGATGAGTACTGTAATCTATTCAATGAAAGTCAACATATGATATACAGTACAGTGCTGTATACAGTAAACCCTTGTTATTCGCGGGGGTCAGGGTTCAAGGAATGGAGTAAACCACAAATGGCAACTTATACTACCTTAGTGCACTACTGTATACTTATTACACCAAACAATCAACCAGCCACAGCAGCACTCATCCCCTCTTTTAACTTATCTAATAATTCAACTTTCTTTGTCAGGGTCATCACTGACTTCTGCCTTTTACATTTCACTCCACTAGCACTGACACTAGGCAGTCTTTTAAGGGCCACTTAACACTAAAGTTTTGAGAGTACAACACGAGATGTGCGTGGGGTAACTCGTCGTGCTGCGGGAAAAGGCTCACAAGCTAGCCACCATCTGCTTACCGCGAATCATCGGAATTGCGAATCGAAAACCCGTGAATCGCAAGGGTCGACTGTATTGTAGTGTATATGTATATTTTTGGAATATCCAAAAATCCACCGCACATTAAGTGGGTGCTGGTCATAAGCCAGCTGCAGTGAAAGTGTTAAAGCTGTCATAATTTTTTAATTTTCATTCCCAAGGAACATTCTCCAAGAAATCTGGAAATTCATTCAATCCAGAAATTCCCTTCCGTAATTAGTGCATTTCAGATGAGGTCTACAGTAACTGTTTTTAATCATTACTTGTAAGTACAGTGGTCCCTCGGTTAACAAACACAATTGGTTCCACAGAGTCGTTCGTTAACCGAATCTATTATTTCAATGGGATATTGGGTAACTGGTTCCAACTCACAGAAAAAGTATACATACCTGTAATAGAATTAACAAAACATTAAATATAAACTAAATACAGTACTGTACTGTAGATTATACTGCACAATAATAAATAAAAAACAATAGAAAACAGTATTTTAACTTACTTTGATGTGTGTATGTCATATTATCGGCAGCTTTGTTTACATATCAAACAGCTGATTGTAGAGGCAGTCGATGATGACATGCCATATTCTTTACAGAGTGCATTGGTTCTAACGCCTTCTTCATGTTTCATAATAATTTCTGCACTGTATATTACCAAAATATATTAACTAAATTTCAGAGTGACCAATAATTTTAATGTAAAAATGCAAAAATATTCAAGAGACCAACAAAATCGATGTTCACTCACCCATAAACAAAGTTAAACTGAGAAGGGTTGTTGGGTGATTCAATCAGCTGATGGGCACACAAAAACTGTTCCCTGTACTTTCTATATTAGTAATATGTTAACTAAATTTCAGAATGACCAATAATTTTAATATAAAAAATGCAGAAATATTCAAGACCAACTTTCTCGATACAGTGATCCCTCGGTTAACGAGCACAATTCGTTCCAGAAGGTTGCTCATTAACCGAAAAAATTTTAACCCCATTGTTTCAATGGCTTTTTGGTAATTGGTTCCAGCTCACCGAAAATTACATACAAACTAAAAATAAATGCAGTAAAGTACACTTACATTGAGGTGTGCATGTAGAAGGCTCCTGGTTGATGATGATGATGATGATGGGAATTAGAATGGGGGTGGAGGAGAAGGGAGAAGAGAAGGCATTGGGGTGGAAGAGAGGTCGCCCCATGCTGCCATTTCACCCAAAAAATTTTTGTTCACTTGGTGTAATTCAAGATTATTTTCTTTAAATCAACACTGCACTGTGCTATATATCATCAATATGTAAAATAAATTTCAAAATTACCAATAATTTGACTGGAAACACAGAAAAAAGCATTTATGTTGAAGAGAGTCTGAAGCAAGATGTTACCTCCACTGAAAAGACACAGAGACTGACGCCTGTATGGTGTGTTGACAGGCTGTTTGGCGCGCTAAAAACTAGTTTCCCCTGTACTTAAATTAAGTTAAATAATTGTTAAAATTACTAAAAATTTGAATATAAGACTTTTAAAATTATTGAATAGTACAAACTTCTTCATATTTACTAAAATAGTAAGGAATTTAAGCCCTAGAACCGATTACCCGGCACTGTATTAGCGGACTAAATCGACAGCTAGTGTTGAGCGGCGCTCGTAAGGAATTCGTTAATCGAGGGAATGCTCGTTAACCGAAGTTAACAATCTTATGGAAGGTAATTCGTTAACCGAAATTTCGTTAACCGAGGCGCTCGTTAACCGAGGGATCACTGTATTTACTTCACTGGAAACGAATTGGCGGACTAGCCGATCAGCTGATGCGCACAACAAAGCGTGTTTGTCATAAGGATTTCGTTAATCAAAGTTTTATTCGTTAATCGAACTGAAAATCCTTATGGGAGCTAATTCGTTCACAGAAATTTCGTTAATCGAACCGTTCGTTAACCGAGGGACCACCGTATAATGGGCAATCATTTACAACTTTGTAAGACAAAAATATTAGTTTTGAAAACTCACTATCCTGGGACCAGCAAACAATTTGAAGCTCAATCCTGAAAGGTGTTGAAAAAATTCTTATATTTGAAAGGTTACACTTACTCCATACTGTGTCTTCCTCTTGATGGTGGAGGTTCTTGGGTTGATAATCTCTCTTCTTCAAAGTGCTCTCTGCTCTCACGGCTGTGACGTCGTTCACGTTCACGATCCCGGTCTCTTTCTCTGTCTCTTCCTCTAGTTCTTATTCTTTCTCTTTCTTTTTCCCTGTCTCTTTCTCTGTCTCTTTCTTTTTCTCTATCTCTTTCATGATCCCTTTCTCTCTCATAATCCCGTTCTCTGTCTCTCTCTCTATCAAATTCTTTTTCACGTTCACGGTCTCTGTCCCTTTCTCGATCACCTTCACGGACACTATCTCGCCTTGAGTCTCTCCGGGAACCGCTACGTTCACTTCGTTCCCAAGATCTTTCTCTGCTCCATGATCTTTCAACAGATCTTCTTCTCTCTCGATCTCTGTCTCTCTCTCTTTCCCGATCTCTCTCCCTATCTCTGTTTTCTCCTCTATAGTTTCTTTGGTCCCTCTCCCTTTCTCTTTCTCTCTCTCGGTCGCGGTCATACTCCCGGGTGTGCTCTACGTGTTCCTCATCCCATTGTTTGGTTTCTTCATATTCCAGGGGTGATCTTGGAGGCTATGAAGAAGACATACAAGAAAGAAAAAGAACATAAGTCAATAATAAATTAAAAACAACATGGCTAACTTCCCAATATAACATATGGAAGCCACATACTGTATACAGTATATAATATAATTTACCACATCAATACTAAAAAAAATGATAAATCAATTTTGAAATATCACTTTCCTACTTCTAGCATGTTGAGAACAAAAACTGTTGCAAGGACTACAAAAATAAAGAGGAAAAATCTGCAACAGTCTGACTAAAATCTAACCTTTGAGTCCCACTCTGGCTGAGCATCCTCTGAAGGATCATGGGAAAATGGCTGCTGCTTGCGCTGTAGAAATAAATTCTAATGACAGACATGCAGCATAAACAAAAATCTATACTGAATACGAGGTGAAGAGCATGCGAGGAAGTAACATGGTATAATCTTCAAAACGCAGAAGAAAACTACATAACATCTATGTATACACTACATAGAAACATTCAAAATACTAAAGTATTCTACAGAGTTACACACAGCGAAGAGGAGAGACTTACACACTCCTGAGTATCCTCCAGCCAGTCCCTGATTCGATCATGTGTGTTGACTTTTTCTGGGGGTGGATGAGGAACAACTTCTCCACGTTTAGTTGATTTGGGCGGAGTAGGCTCTCTCTGAACTTTTGTTAAATGGCCGTATACAGCAAGAGTGATTGTATTATAGTTGCCACGAAGTAGTAATCCATCAGTTGGAACCTAAAGATATTTAATATTAAGATCAATTGTACAAGAAGGAAGAATTGATTCTCCTTCATAACCCAGCCTAAAGAGATAGTTCTATATAACACATTATGTAGCCAGGTGGTTCCTTGTAACACATCCTACCCATCTCATCTAGAGAAGACTGGATGTTTGCTTTTAGCACGTGTTTAGTCAATCAGTGGCTATTACACCATGACACTGGCTCCATGCTCTATGAATCTGCACAAAACCTCATTCTCACACTGAAAACATATCATTTCTTCACTGACCATGACAGTGAACACCTGTGTCTGATCATCTCTGCTGTAAATGCTTCAAAATCACTTGTCCCTAATGTTGAGTTATCAGGAGTGGTTACAGTAGAATAGATATTTGTTTAAGGAAACAAGTTTACTTTGCAACATCATTTCAAAGATTAGTGAACATGTATCTGACTCTTCTGAAACCTTGGTACTGTAGTCTATTAAGTGACCACAAGTTGTGTTTTTTATTATTGGGCCAAACATCATGCCAGACAATGCTAGCCTACATATAGAGTGTAAACATAAGAAAAGATCAATGGAGGAGTAATGGGTTCTGCTTTTCAGTCCTGAATCTTTTGCTGCACCCCCCTGCCCCCCCTTCCTCTGTTTTCAGGTGGCTTTGGATTCAATTAGCCACTTGACAAAGGGTGTTGAGCTAGAAATGGAGGAATGATCCCTAAATACCCTTTTTCTGGCATAGCCTGAAGACATTCATGTTTAGTCAATTGGAATCAAAATGTATGTACAATGAAAGGCAAAAGTCATGTCGTGAAATTTGGAGAAAACATATGCCGAAAGGCTAAAACTTTTGGTGCGCTCTGCCTTGTGGTAGGGCTCTCATAATGTTTCACGAGTTATATTTAATCTTTGTGACAAAACCGCAACTAAAACTTTTGTCTTTGATTGTACAGTATTTTCAATGTGTGAACCCAGATTCAAGAAGGATGGAGCCAACATCATGATGTGGTGGTTGCCAATTAGTTAGATACTGTACTGGCTCAAAGCAGTCTTCCAACCTTCTCCTCCCTGCCCCTTCATTTTAGGTTGAGTATGTAGGAGGGACAGAAGGCTGGTCAGTTAGACAATACTGTAATTAACAGATCAACATTGTCTAACACTCGGGGCCCAGTCAAATGGTTCACAGATCCCTAGCATGTCTCCCTATTTTATAGGAAATGCCCACTTCTAGGTTCAACAAGAAAATGGGATTTCATGATCAATTATCCACTTACAGGTGGTGAACCTTCCATAAATCTTAAGTGACTGACCCCACCAATCTCAAGACTCTGATTGAAGAAATGAAATGGGAAAAAAGAAGAAAAATTTATAAGACAGAATACTGTACACATAATTTTTAATAACAACTAGACACTCAATGGCAAAGTTTGAGTTCATAAGCTCATGAATATACTGTTTGATACCTTAAACATGTGTTCAGTGACTGATTTTAATTGTATTATTTATTAAAGACAATTTTAAAATTAAGCTAAAATCTGGGTTAACCTCCAGTTTAAAGTTTATATTATACACTTGTTATCCTGAAACCCATTACATAGTGAAGAGTGGCAATGGACTAGTGTCAAGCCAACAGTTATACTACTGTATACAGTGCTGTACCGAATATGGATTGCTTTGCAAAGATTGTAATGAGAAATATTCCTTAAAATAAGGCATTTCAATGCATCTGCATATGATTACAATACTGTACTTTATTTACATTAAGATGGAAAACCAGAGGAATGACTTGGAGCCTTGTTGTAGAATGGGAATGAAATAGAAGAGCACATCTGAAAAGGCAGCTAGAGAGTGAATGACAGGGAAACAAATGTGTACTGCATCTGTGTTATTTTTGTACCCAGCCACCTTACATCACTGCATGAAATAATAGAAAATAAGAAAGTACTAATTCTGTTATAAACTGTACTACATTACCTTCTTTTCAAAGTCCATATGTATTTTCCCATGCTGATTGTACTGCAGACAACCAACACTTTCAAATGTGCCAGCTCCCCGTTTGCTGAGGTCATTAACAAAGAACTCAATTTCAAACTGACTTGGATTTGTTGCACTGAAAAAGAAAATACATAATATCTTAAAATTACATTCAGAGCATGTAAAGCACAATGTTTATAAATAATTCACTTCCTATAGTCCCTATCAAAATAATCTAGGGCATCAAATTTGTAATGTTTTCTATACCATCAATGCTATGCTAATACAAGCAACATAGATTTTCAGCTCAGGTGAATACAGACTGCATAGTTTCCAATTTCACATCAGTACAGTATTCATATTTAATACAGTTAGGTTGGGTAGGCATCAAAATTCTTCAGGTTGAAGCACATCATAGTTATTAACATGGGGTTTTGGGGTCAAAAACTTTTAGGCTAGGACACATCTCACCTTTTAATAGTTGAATCTTTGGGAAAAATTATTCTTATTTAACAAGAAATCTCCTAACAAACACTTTTCCAATAACCCAAGAGAGTGTAAGAGACCGTGCAGCATGGAGTGCTGCCATCAGGTAATTGTGGCTGACTCACACAAAGATGGAAAATGTTCTTAAAATGATGATGATGATGACATGATTTTCACCCCACTGCTTTGAATGAGTGCAAGACTGGAAACTGAGGAATAGAGGTAAGAAGCCAGTAGCAGCTTTCCTCCCTCACCATTCATTACCTCATACACATAGCCAAGGCCATTCAGTACAGTATTGGGAAAAATCTTTATCATATTATTTATTTCATTGATGCCAGGCATGGTGATGTGAGAGACTTCTCCATGTGATATCTCCGTTAGCTGGAACAATTGATGCAGAGCACTTCCGGAAATGAGAGATTTCCGCGTAGCAAGATGACTCTCTCAAAGCCGGAAAAAAATCCCTCATCCCCGGAATTTTTCAGGTAACGGAAAAATGTTCTCAGAAGTTCCAGAAATTGCCCATTACATCTTCTCTCGAACCCAGAAAAATATCCCCCATACCCAAATTTTCCAGCTACCGAAAAAATTTATCGGAATTTCCAGAAAATGTGTCTGATTTTCATCTCTCAAACCCAGAAACAGCTCCCCCATCCCCGGAATTTTCCAAGTATCGGGAAAATTTTCTCAGAATTTTCCGGAAAATGTACCCCTCGGAAAATCGTTCCGAAAGCTGGAATTTTCAGGAAAATTCCGGCTTTGGAAACGATTTTCATTGAAAATTCAATTCCGGCTACCAGAGAGTTCCGGGTTTGAGGGTGTCTGGTTAACAGAGATATTACTGTATTCGTATTTTTTTTTTCAAACCTGCACAATGTACTGTAAAGTACTCTTATGAAGTATAATAAATGCCCTTTACGTACAGCATAACATACACCCTTTAGGTATGTCTCTCAGGGGTCACTTCCTTAAACCCCTATTTCTCATTGGACCCAGACATAGCCAACCACAGTTTTGCCAACTGTGGGAGAATTCTAGAACATATCCCCCATGGTTGGCAAGGAATTACTCTACTGTACAGTATATAATAATTTCTTGTTTAGTACACTTCAATATTTAACAAAGGTACAGTATATTACTTACCCAAGACGTACTCCACCAGGAAAATCTGCCTGTACTCGAGCCCCAAGTGGAATGGCACGAACCTCAGTCACTTGTACAGGCCTTGGAAACTGTACTAAATCCAACTGCACTTTCTGATGGGAAATATAGTACGTACAGCATAGAAAGTAATAAACAAATTAAACAACTGAATTTAGCTTGAAAATAAAAGTTCATGAAAATTATTAGGAAACTACCAGGACTGTATCTCTTTCTTTCATACAATATACATTTAAGTCTCCCCATGTCAGTAGTCATTTTAACCCTCCCACTCAGGCAATAAGTTTTTAAATTTCTATGATCATGATAAAAGTCATATGGGACCACTCACATGTAGTCTGGTCATCTTCGTTCAACGGTCAATTTATCCTCTTTTTTTTTGTTACATAATTTATACATCACTGGCTTTGTTCTTGTTTTTGCTTAACATAAGCAAAAAAAAAAGAGGAAAATGAACTGTATTTTTCAGTCTGAATAAAGAATAAAATTACATACACTGTACTGTACAGTATATGCCAGGAGTCTAGGGAGGCAGAGCCCTCAGTTAGAAGGTTCAGTTAGGTCGTTTGCAAGAGAACTGTCATACAAGAAAAGTGGGTAATCCTGGAGCAGATGGCTAACATCAGAACACGTTGTTTGACTTCGTTCATTTTTTCCACAGATGTTCTTTGGATGACAGCAAGTAATATAAATGATACAACAATGCACAGAACCTAAAATAACCTGACCTAACCAACCAAGGAATCCTACTTTATCTTACCTAACTTGTAGCACCCCTCAACTCCCTGCCATATTAAACAAAAAGTACTTACAGCACTTTGATATCTGAAAGCAACTTTCTTAAAGCAGCATGGTGTAATTTTATGATTTTTATGGACGTGCTAGTACACATGGACCAAGCGGGTCAGTTGTAAACAAACAGAACAGATAACATGTCAGATTTTTCGGAGGAACATTTACAGTAAATACGGTAATTAATTTCTTCGTGTATAAAGCACACAGACATCATTTCAGTGTCAAATGATCAGTTTTTCACGGTGTTTTGCCCAGCAATATCCATCATCCTTCTTCCCCTGCCCGTTACAGGTGATTTATGATAATAGATAGAGAAAAATTAAAACATTAAAAATACTTATATTTAAAACAAAAGTTGTATCATTTTTATTATCTTACTATCATCCAAAAAATATCTGTGGAAAAAATGACAGAAATCTAAACTCCTTCTGGTGTTACTCATGCGCTCCAGTATCACCGAAAAGTGTCTTAGAATTTTCTAAACTATTGATTACAACCATAAAATACTCAAAATTCTTTAGGTGGCAACAAGTGAAATTTTACCAAATCAATGTGAAGTTCAGTGAATGGTCACTACGGAATATTAACACATAAAAGTGATATTTCATCAATTATGTGCTAAGGGCGCAATACAATCTCCAAGTACAGTACCAGTATTGTCGGTAAAATTATCGTTTCGGTCATCCACCTATTTGGAACCTAACCTAACCAGTAAAATTCAGTAACAGCACTATTTCTCAAATGCAGCCTAAGCTGACCTATCCTACTAAAATTCGCTGGATGACCGAAACGATAATAATACCGTATTATCTACTTTACCATGATAAAAATCACTGGCACTGTGGTGTCATGGAAGACAATCCTAGTAATAAAAAAAATAAACTAATATAGTTAAAAGAGTATGAAGAAATTAACTCAATATGTAAAAGACAGAGCAAAGATTAACAGTCAAAATTATAACATAATAAAATACTGAATTCTTTAACAAACTGACAGTTCTGTGGTGGTGTGCCACATCAGGCCACCAACCCGGTCACCAGTAGTAGTATCAAAAACTATTATGAGTAAACTTATTCATTATTTTATAACAAAATACATTTTAACCGCCATATGTATCTTTTAATAAAAATATATAGTATAACTTACTTCGCTAACTTCATGTGAGAACGTGTCAAAAAAGAGGAGTTCATACATCTTCTCAGTCTGTTCCTCATACCTTGTCTGTAAACAAACTCACAAGAGACAACAGCAGACTTGACAGTATGAGAACACTGCCAGGCAAACTTGATGGCCCGAGTGAGAAATGGTAGAATTACCTGAAAATAGACATGTAAGTTTCCATTGTTTTATCATAAGTAAAATAGTGTAAGCTTACAAAAAATAACATATGGCAAGTTATTGCAGTCATGTGATCCATGGATATCCCAATAAACCTGTTGATTCCTTGTTTTCGTTGGGTAACTTTTTAATATTCATTACAGGGGCGGATGCAGGTGGGGTTACGGAGGTCCGAACCCCTGTTTTTATTTGAAAATTCCGATTCTTCTTCTTTAATACAGTATTGAACTCAGTCATTTTTTAATAATAAAAAAATGATTACAAGTGACTTCAGAATATTTCCAAATATTAAGGGCACATGGCTTCAAAATGGCCTCAAATGCCCATGATATTGGTTGTATTAAAAAAAATTCAGGGGGCTTACAGCGCCCCCCGCCCCCCCCAGCTGAGTGGGCGCGCTTTGCTCGCCATGTTTCCTCACTTATTGGACCCCCCCTTTTGATATTCCTGGTTCCGCCCCTTTAATATGAAATCTAATATAAAGTTTGGTAATTTTGTTTGAGTGCAAATATGACTACAGTAATAATATTCATGACTTTCCCTTCTCCATCCTATGGGTATCCTACCATTAACAAAATAAGACATTACCCAAAGCCGAGGTGGTTAATCTTCATGTGAAATAAGCTTGAATGCGTAATATTCAGGTGAAATGAGCTAGGGGCCTAATCTTCAGGTCATTTGTTAAATATTATCCAGATTTTGGATTAATGACAAAATCTAACCATGAAGATTAGACTGGCCACGAGGGGGCTAGTTTATTAGGCACCCCTTTACATCTTGTGCATAGTGAAGCGCAGAAGCGTTTACAGTGCCCATCGGGGAAGCATGCAGAGTTCATGCTTGCCTTTATGACTCATGCATTAAGGACGTAAAAGCCTGAAGGGTCATGGGTTTCGTCAGCAAGTTACATTAAGTGACAGAATGATGAGTGTGTGGGGGGAATATTCCCGGTACAATTTATCTGCTTATGGCAAAGTGTGACAGGTCCCTAATAATGTCAAGTGCCAGGCCTGTCACTAGGAGGAGGGATATCTGGTCAGGGATGGGGACCTGTAGGAGGAGGACCTAGGGCAAGTGAGGTAACCACATAATTGGTTAAGATTGGTTAAGGTCATGTCAGGTCAGGTTAAGTTACACTACTTTAACGTTGTTAGGTTATATATATTTTTTTAGTTTAATGATATATTCTGCTATTCTTAGGTCAATGTTCCAAAATAATCAGAGATACAACTTGAGGCACCCAGAGCTACTAAGACCACCCCCCATGCGCTCCTTTCAGTCCCAGACCTCCATAAAATATCATGGTGTGAAGGTGTGAAACAACTTACCCCCACCCATCCCAGCAAAGACTACGCTCCCTTCCTTTAAATCATCTCTTAAAAAATATCTATTGTCTAAGTATTAATTTTTCTTGTAACACCTACTATGTTTACAATACCTGTTTTTAATGTACCATCAAAACCGTTTTGTCAGAAATTATCATGTAAATAGATAAGTAATTACCATTACAATAAACATAATTGCCAACTAGACATAATCCTGACGGCTCTGTCCTCTTGTTCAACCTTATTACTGTACAACCCATGTTGTACTGCTCCCCATTCTACTTATATTTTTCAATTCCACTGTAATTTGGGTATATATAAATAAAAGTAAATAAATAAAGAAAATAAAATGAATAAATATTGAAGTGATAACCGTGGTAACATTATGAGATGTTTTTATTACCACCATGCTATTGTACTATTCCAGATTATACTAAATGTTACATAATACTTCCTTGAGATAAATGAATATTATATATCAGGTGTCTAAAAGAGAGCTCAGGTTCTCAACTGGCTCAGCCATGTTAATGTTGTTATTATTATCCACTCTGTATCTGTGTTTTTCTGGCTAAATAAACTGTTTCAATTCAAGATTAAGGCTACGTTAGATCATGAAGTTAGATTAAGTTGAGGTTAAGGTTGGGTTAGGTGAATGTTTAGGTCATCTTTTACTTTTATTTTTATCCTCTTCACCACTAATCGGCTCGTTAGCCGCTTGGGCGATTGGTCACGTCTCTGTCACTTTTATCTTTATTTTTTAGATTAGATTGCCCCGGAGGGGGCTAGTTTATTGGGCACCCCTTTACATCCTGTGCAAGGTGAAGCGCAGAAGCGTTTACAGCGCCCATCTGGGAAGCATGCTAAGTTCATGCTTGCCTTTATGACTCATGCATTAAGGGCGTAAAGGCCTGAATGGTCATAAGTTTTGTCAGCAAGTTACATAAAGTGACAGAATGATGAATGTGTGGGGGGAGTTCCCGGTACATTTCATCTGTTTATGGCAAAGCGTGGCAGGTCCCTAATAATGTCAAGTGCCAGGCCTGTCACTAGGAGGAGGGATATCTGGTCAGGGAGGGAAGAAGTGTTGGTAACAGCTGAGGACGTGAAGGAGGAGGTCATTGGGCAAGTGAGGATGTAGTGACGGAGGGTGTGGGAGTCGGGTTGGCCACAAAGTTTACAAACAGTGTGGCCAGGCTCAGGGTTGCCAATGTACTCCCATAGGTACCTGTACCCTAGGCGCAGTCTCATGTACATAATCTGTTGAGATCGAGTCAGGGATTGATACTCTTTGTAGTGGCGGTTGTCGTCACCGGTTACAGCGTCATAGTGGCGTAATGTGACGCTACCCCGTTGTTTCAGGTGTGTCCAATTTTCGTCGAATGCTTCTCGTGTATGCGAGGGTGGCTTTAATATCTTCTTGTGTCGCTTCTTTGGCAAGCCGATCAACAGTCTCACAGGCAGTTATATTCCTATGTGTGACGGGATCCAAATAAGTTAATAGGTCACGTCAGGTATGGTTAGGTTAATATTATATTAAGTGAAGATCAAATTTGTTTAATGTTAGGTTAATTTTGCTGAATATGGTTTTAAAAACAGGTAAAATATTATTATATATATTTTTTGCCGATTTTCTCGGTCGTCTGTAGTATTGCATCAGCCTTTGAACTAAGTTTCCTAAATATCTTGGTGAAAACAAATACTTATATTTTTATTAAATCCCTTAAATAAAGTAAATATTACCCCCAAAAAATCATTATACATTTAATATTGCTTGATTTATATTTTAAAAACATTTTTTTATTGATTAATATATTTACCAAAATCTTTGTGTCTGTTTAGATTCATTTCATTCCGTGGTTCAGTTGGTCAGTGTCATCAGCGTGTGACCGGTGTAGCAGTCAGATGTGTAGTCATATAAGGTTAGAGGATTATTGTATAAAACTTGGTTCTCCTTTTATAAAACTCGACATTTAAAACATTGAATATTTCAAGTTTGTTGTTTAATGCAATTTTAGATGGTTTTCGGACTCCGTAACTGTCAGAGGAGGTTGTGTATTCTTTTGTGAAAGTTGTGGCAAATGCTGGATGTGTCCACTACTACCAAGTGTCACAGATGTGAGGGTTTTTGATACGCCTATCTGGAGTTGTAACCCCTGTATAGTTTTTTATGTTAATGGACTGTGAATATATATATTTTGGAGCATTGTAAGTGAAGAGAATATACATGATAAATCGTTAAATGACATTGGTCACCTACACACAAACTAGAACGAAGTTCTTTTCAGTGTATGTGGTAATGTTAAAGAAAAGCCTTGCTACCATACAGCGAGTTATTTTTTTTGCAGGATCCTTGTGGATTTGCATGTTTTGACTCAGAAAACATACCTGATGTAGTATACGGCAAGAGCAAGTGTGAAATATGTTTATTCTTTGAAACTGGCTCAGCCACATCAGCACTGCTCTGTAAATGTGAAGTTTGGACAGCACTTGTTAATTAAATGAAGACAGATAATGATACTGAGGAACATGGTCACATATTAACCAGCAACTTTAAGAAAATTTTCCCAGGAAAACAACTTTTCTTACCTTATGAATATCCCAAACAGGCAGAGCAGTTGCAGTACAGGTTGTACCTCTGTAGTCCGGCATTCTGTGGTCCGGAAACTCCCGTGGTCTGGAACGATTGTAGTTTGTCCAATAGGTAGATAGGCAGTTTTTTTTTTTTTTTTTTTTTTTTTTTTTTTTTTTTTTTTTTTTTTACTTATCTGAATTATTATTATTATTACAGGAGTATTAAATTTTTGCCCCTCAGGCCCCAATGTGGGTCAGTGACCTATGCCCGGGTGGGCTAATCCCCTTAAAAAAAAAAAAAAAAAACAAAGCCGCGGGAAATTAAGGTTTGTTTACATCCGGCAGTTCGGCTGCTCTCTCTCTCTCTCTGCTTGTCTATACAGAGTACAACATTTAACCCTTCAATATATATGAGCAGTAAATAAGTGTTGCTTTCATATTCTTATGTAGAGTAATGACGATATATTTTCACATGTGCGCACTTACATACGAGCAGTCTCACTTTTTTTTTACCATTAATGGTTAGCTACTTATATTGTTCCATTTATTAACATTAAATAACATTACAGGTACTTCAAGCAACCATATTCATTTTTTACATTAATTTTACTACAGCTAAACTCAGGGTCTTATTTTCTTCAGTTTTATATGTAGAACCAATCAGTCACTGGTTTCGTAAGCTTTAACATAAACAATGCCGGCAGCCGTCTCGTCTCCTCTAATATTCCACGTATTATTAATTTGTATTGTTAATTTTGCACACACGTACATTAATTCAATAAAAACAAATTCAGAAACATTAATTAAAATATATATGAACAGTAAATAAGTGTTGCTTTCATATTCTTATGTAAAGTAATGACGATATGTTTTCACGTGTGCGCATGCGCACTTACATATGCGATCTCTCTTTTTCTTTACCATTATCGTTAGCTACTTCTATTGTTCCATTTATTAACATTAAATAACATTACTTAAAACAACCATATTAATTTTACTACAGCTACAACCAAGGTCTTATTTTCTTCAGTTTTATATATAGAACCAGTCAGTCACTGGTTTTGTAATAAACGAAAACAATGCTGTGTCATTTCCTCGTGTGTTTTAATGTTCTACGTATTATTAATGAATTGTATTGCTCATTTTGCACACATAAACATTAATTCAATAAAAAAGACATTCAGTAATAAACAATAATGAATCTTTTGTACATAAGAGAAATGACGCTGTTTACACGATTATGCACGTCGTCTGCACGTTGGCGGGCCGTTCAAACCCGTCGAAATTCAAGTTTCCGCCGTCAAAATTTTTATTTATTTATTTTTTTGTGTGTTCCAATAAAATACGTGAAGAATTAAAAACTCGCGAAATTTGAGAAGCTACTATACGACATTTAACCCTATACGACATTTAACCCTTCAATATGTCTTCAAAGAGACCATGATGCAGAGAAAGTGGTGCTAGTGCTTCCAGGCATAAGCACAAGTCACTATCTATCCAGGAAAAGGGTGAATTTCCATGGTCCGGCACCGGTCAGGTCCCGAGGTTGCCGGACTAGAGAGGTACAACCTGTATTTCTAATTCGTTTGGGCGACTTTTTTCGTCCAGAACACAAATCTCTGCCACTACATCTTGACGATGTCATTTTGACTGTCATTGGAGCATAAAAAAATCACTAATTTTTAACCTAAACTAATCTAACCTTTGACTGCATATTGGTTGAAATTGCAACAGTACCCATTTGTTGGACAGAAAAACTTCCTTTCTACTGTTTTTTTTTAGATAGTTTTTTTCTGGGGAAAAAACAAAAAACTATTGTTTTCCTTATTTAACCTAACCTAACATAGCCTGATTTAATCCCCTAGTGGGAGTGGGGTGCCCCCTGAGTGGCTATATAATGATAGCATTTTACTTATCCTTATTTAACCTAATTTAACCTAAAGTAACGTATTCCCCTATTGGGGAAACGTTATTTTTTCAGAGTTGGGTCATGTATTATATAGCATGGTAATGCGATTCAGACGACCCGCGCACTACGCACTCCCCCTCCCATAGCTCGACAATGGTATTATAGTATAAATTGTAAAAAAGAAACACATCCCCTAAAGAGAACACTGTCACTAGCAATTAACAAAAATTATGGTGGAAGAGCAGTGTGTTCTTGCTAGATCATTGGCAGTATTAACCTACATGTTAACCCAGATGACTTCACTAGGACCCAGTATACAGTATATTGCAATCATTTCCATCCACCATCTTGGAGGTAGTCTTAGCAAAGCAATGTGGTTAACAAGTGAGGTTGTTTTGGCTGTTAAATATTAAATCATGCATGATGATAAACTCTTGTGTTTTCTTTGGCCGTCACAGTAGACAAGTTCCAATAAGAATGGAAGAAGGATATCTTTTTATTGTATACCCAGCATTTGTCTCCGGTATATGTGTTTTTGTTTTTAACTGAATATGAATCTGGTTTGAGCTTTAAATCAATTTGATGAAATAATCATATACAAATTACATTTTAAACTAGTTTGTACCGATGGATGTTCAGCTGTTGTTGCTGGTCAGCTGATGCAGTGACCAGGTGACAATAAACATAAACAAACCACTAATAAACCTACCTGAGATGGTCTCACTCTGCCAGAAATCAACAATTTGTTGCTTCCAAATATCACATGCCTGACATCCTTCACTTATCCACTGACGAAATAATTGTACGAATCCAGAGACTTATAAGCTTTCAACTCAAATGTGTACTGTATACACTTCTGGCATTTATGAGGTAGTTCACTAGTTCAGGATAGGTAATCGTCGGCTATTGATTTACTTTGGTCGACCACTCTGCCTCCGGAATTTCATATGGGTCTTAACCTTCGATCAGCTGAAGTTTATCACTGTATCGTGTCCAAGATATGGAGTCTTAAGAAATCTGCATAGTACTTTTGTTTTGCTGGTTTAGCTATTTCTCCCTCAGGGTCTCCCATTGCAGCATATACATGCATTGATATTATGAAATACTAACTCACAAACACAAGGTCTCATGCAACGGCATGCTGGGTAGGCATGACATAACTGCGAACTATTAATACACATGAGAAAATAATAACTAAACAATATTTGGTAATAGTAGTGTTCCATAGATGACCAACTCTTGAGAAAGAACAACTCTACGGAAAGATTGTGTAATTCTTTAACCTATCTTGCACATCTGAACTATCAACTGTGGGACATTTCACCACAGAAGATAAATGCTTTCTTCCTTTGTGAAAATAGCTTAAGTGGATGAGGATAATGTTTCCCATATCATCATCTTCATGACTTTTCCATCCTGAAGACACTTGCATGGTTAGGAGAGCTGCAATGTTAACAAATCTCTATTTACATTGGTGCTTCTCATCTCTAAGGTCTTGGAATATTTGTTAATAAAATGAACCAATCTAACTTAACCGACCTACTCAAACCTACCATAATCAAGAATAATATGGTTATCTGTAATTACCTATAAAAAATATTTATGAAAGGAAATACACACACAGCTTGTACGTTTCATCCACTGGAACACTTCCAAAACTTACCAATTACCTGCTACATAATATGATTATCAGGTACAGTACAAGATAACCTAACCTACGTAGTAGATTAGAGTAGGTTGATTCAATTTACTTCTGATAACTCATATACAGTACAGTAATATAGCAGTAGCTGGTAAGTTTTTGCTCTGTGAAAATGTGGATGTGTGATGAAACATAAATACAGGACCATCAGTATTTGAGATACTGGGTGATTTATGGAAACCCTCTCCCCCATCTCTTTTCCTTGACAATTGCTTAGTTCAATTTGCTCTACTTGCCTCGTACATCATTTTAGCATGAGGCATTAGTTTGGAATATCTCAGATGCCTTAAATGGAGACTTTGGTTTAACTTGCTGCTAAATGTAATACAGTATACTGTACTCTAAAAAAAATTATTTACTGTGATTTTCTTACTTTTGCAAAATATAGTGCTAACTGCTGAGAAGTGTCGATAAGGGTAGCCCATGTCACTCTTCTGATGTGCCTCAGACAGAAAATATTTACTGTGCTGAATTGTTATTGCTTTTTTTCACCGCTCTACTTGCTTTTTCCCCACTTTTTACTTTGTCTTCTAATTTCAGAATAGAAAAATAAAACCTTCAAGATGCCACTATTTTGTCGATATTACGCACAGAAGTACCCAGAGGTGGATGATGTGGTGATGGTGACTGTCAGAAGCATAGCAGAGATGGGTGCCTATGTTCACTTATTAGAGTACAATAACATAGAGGGGATGATCCTCTTGTCAGAACTCTCACGACGACGAATTCGATCCATGAACAAGTTGATTCGGGTGGGCAAGACTGAACCAGTTGTAGTGATCCGAGTAGATAAGGAGAAAGGTAATGTTCTCTTCCTACTTACTCAAAAGCTTCTTCTAGAATGTAAGCCCTACAATTGTAGAGGGGGATTACTGTATGTTTTGTGGGATATGATAGTGTCTCATTCAGTATTTTAGAAATGTTAATGTATATTAATTGGTCACTTCCACTTGTCCTTCTACCTCCTTCTCTTAGTAATTCAAATTAGCAAGCTTTTACTGTACTGTACTGTATATGCTGATATCATGGAAGTCACGTTGACTCTAAATTACACTTTCATAATTGATAGTGCTTTTGGATTATTGCAGGGTATATTGATCTATCCAAAAGAAGAGTTTCAAAAGAAGATGTTGAACGGTGTACAGAGAAATTTGCAAAAGCCAAAGCAGTTAACTCCATCATCAGACACGTTGGAGAGCTCCTTGATTACACTGCAGAAGAACAGGTTGAAGAGCTTTACCGTAAGACAGCTTGGCATTTTGAGGGGAAATATAAGAGGCAAGCTTGTGCCTATGATGTCTTCAAGCAGGCAGTCATGTAAGTTTTGTTATGGTATCCCCCTTTTTTTTTTATTAATAGATAATTTAGAGGCATTGTTGTGGTACCACCATAGCAGAACACATCTATTACACCAGTAAGAGCAAATGACTCACAACAAGTAGTGGGAGAAAGTGTGTTTGGTGTTGCTTGTGGTCACCCTGTATTATAGTGGGAAAGAATTGACAAGAGCTCAACAATAAAAAAAATTTCCCACCCACTCCATTTTCATAACGTGCTTCAGATATGTGAATTTTTGTGTGTGTTTGTTATACTGTACATACCGTATATAGTTCAAGATATCAGATGAGTGTCATTGTCAGTTCACTTCACCAAGGCATCCCCTTGCCAAAGACTGAAGATAATTTGAAACTGGATTTTTTGAGGCAATGGAGGTTATATGACACAGGAAAAACATTGTGGCAGGGAGTTCTACAGATTGCTTGTCTGGGATTTAAATAAGTTTTGGTATGCAGAGCTGCTACAAAATGGAATTTCAGCAGAAATGGCACAAGCTCTCCCAGGTGACCTCTAATCCAATGGAGGGTGCTGTACAGTGGCACTGTTGAGTGATCTTGAAAACTCACTGAGACAGTGAGGAAATTACAGTTGCTGTGTTGCTCCATGTATTATGAGCCCCCAGTTTTCAGTAGCAGCTAGGGGTTTTTAGGCTCCTTAGGGCTAGGGTTGCTTTATAGAGTAGACTAATATTTGGATTAACTCCGGCGACTATACTTCAGGGTTCCTTGTTTCCAAAATCACAGGATTTGGTGACTTTTGTGCACTAGTCAATCTGTACTTACCGAGTTGTTGAATGGGTTTTCGGGTTCATACCTTTACTTGTGACTGAATCTTAAACGGAGCAATTCATATGTACTCCCACTTCCATTTGAGTAGTATGGAAGTTGACTGGAACTGAATGGTTGGATATCTGACAATCGCAAAGTGGATGACCTGGATAAAGGTCAAGTTTTAGCTGAGACGGCATTTGACTCGCTCGCTCCTTTTTTTTAATCGCAGATTTTACGAATGAAATTACCTTTTTGGGATCTGGTTGTTTTATGGTTACCAAGTTCACTGATTAGTCCTAGTCTCAGATGTTTAAGGGTTAATCCAGATTTATCAGTCCAGGACTCTGAGCTATAATTCAAAAGTTACATACTGTATTTGGTAGTTCATTCATAAAATTGGATATTAGAGTCAATCCTTCAAATCATTTTACCTTTACAGTGATCCTACCATCTTAGACGAATGCAATTTAAATGAAGACACTAGGACTGTCCTTCTCACACAAATTCAGCGAAAACTCCAGTCACAAGCTGTGAAGATCCGTGCAGACATTGAGGTGTCATGTTTTGAGTATGAAGGTATTGATGCTGTTAAGAGTGCATTGCGGGGAGGTATTGCACAGTCCACAGAAGAGATTCCCATCAGAATAAACCTTATTGCTCCACCTCTGTATGGTAAGTTTTCTTCTAAAATCTTGTTTTTTCTATAGTGTACTGTATTGACAGGTTCGTCATTTGATTTTGTACAGTGATAATCATAGTTTTGAGAAAATGTAATACTGTACTCTAGTAATTCACACTGTAGCATACCTCTGTTTGGGGATTTGATAACAGTGTGAAAAATGCTGGGTTAGGGATTTGATATATTTTCATTTTCTTGGAAATATTAAAATGAAGAATGCAGGTAAGCTTTGTATATGGGATAGGTTTGTTTCTGCAGATAATTTGGGGAAGCAATAAATTGTTGAGTCCATTTGACTACAACAACAGTAGGTTCCTGCCTCTGAGGATGTCTCTGGACTGTGTCGGTGAGTTCTATTATGGGTGACATGATCAGTGCTGGAGGGGGTGCTAAAGCCTGCTCAGTTGCAAGAGCTGGAGGAAGTTTTGGGAGTTGCTGCCTTTATTAACAGCAAGAGGACCTTTCCTCCATGTGAAAGGAAAGATGGCATGAGCAGTGTGATGTACAGTTGTGAGAAATGGGTAGTTAAAGAGGATGATATACACAGGCTTCAGTGAACTGAAATGAGAATAGTGAGATGGATGTGTAATATGACATGAAAAGAGGGGGAACCCTGTTCAGAGCTAAAAGAGTGGCTGGGTATTGAGAGTTTTGACAGACTTTTGTGTAGATGCAGACTAAGATGGTTTGGCTTGTGGATAGATTAGATGATACTAACTGGATCATGAAGTGCATGAGTAAATGTGGAGGGTAGGAAAGCCAGGGATAGGCCAAGAATGACATTGGGAGAGGTTGTTTGAAATGACTAAGAGTTAAGAGCCTGGGAAGAGAGCCTACTTGAGATTATGCAACATGGAGGGCTGCCATCTGGTAACCATGGCTAACCCACACAAGCCTGGAAAATGGCCTTGAAACATTGATGATGATGATGATTGTACAGGCACTCGCATAGTGATTTGTCAGTTTGCATGAATGTGTGATATGGGTAAGGGATGTCATCCCTTAAGTGGAACTGAAATATAAGGGAGGTGACATCCAGATACAATATACTGTGCTGTACTGTACTGTATCCCATTAATGTGAGGGAGATTTTTAGACCCCTTCCTAAAGAATTAGGGGAAGGGTTATTGTATTCTTCATTGACATATTAGTTGGGGTCTGCTTAATATTTACTCCTAGGTTTTTTGTTTTTGTCATGGTGGAAGGCTGTTGAAATCTGTTTTTTTGGGGTAATATTGAATGTGTTTAAACAATACTTTAAATGAGTGAAAAGAGGAAGTAATTTTGGGTTTGGACAAGTCTGGACAGGGCTTCTCCATTGGCAGAGTCATAGGACATGACATTGCAATTTACTACACTTATGAAGAGACGAAGTCTTATTTAAAAAAAAAATCAAATCAAAATGCTATGCTCTGTAAATAGCAAGATAGTTACAAAAAATAAAGTAGCTAAATGATCTGTCCAGTGATGAGCAAATTGCAGATAATGCAATTCACTTTTACAGTTGCTTTTCACTAGGGTCGTCATCCTTTATAACTACTGTACTGAATGGTGTGATAGTTGTTAATTTGTCCCTTGATCTGTATCAACAGTTTGCCTTAACTTTCCTCTATGTAAATGAATACTGTACTGAGATGCAGGAACTGGACTGGTAAAACTAAGGAATGTATTCCTTTTCAGTGATGACCACACAAACTACCGAGAAGCAAGATGGCCTACGAGCTTTAGAAGGTGCAATTGAAGAAGTTACATCAAAGATTACTAGCTTTGGGGGAACACTTACTGTAAAGATGGCTCCTAAGGTAAACCTTATTATTTTCTGGTCATGCTTTAATATGTGATGCATGTTCCTTTACAGAATATGTTGTAGGTCATAAAGGCTGTATCTACCCTCATCTGTTTCTGCATAATTCAGGTGGTTCTCGTAATCTGCGGTTAATTGGGACCGGAAAACCACCTCTGATAACAAATCCACTTAAAGTTGGGAAGTAATCCCATAAGAAATAATGGAAATAGGTCAAATTGGAACCATGACATTGTACACACACAAAAAAAAATTATATGATATATTTTAACAATTATTTACCTTAGAAACATTTGTTAAACATTTGATAACACGTTATTTTAAGAAATTATTTAACTTATAAGTTATTTAACGTCCGTAGAGTTCATTGGGGTCGGTGTGTTGAGGCAACGTAGGCAGTGCCAGCTGGTGCATACTCACTCCAGTAGTTCATTGAGGCAAAATACCTATTCTAATGTTTTGAAAATAAATAATGTTAAGATAATGAAATATTTTTATTGGCTTAGCTTCAAAGGTAGAGATATTTGGATTGATTGCATTGATGGAGGTGGGTGTTGGGAGAGGAAGATTAGTCGGAGGATGAAAAAGAAACAGGACTAGGTTGATTGTACACTCCCACTCTTCTTTTGCCAAATCACATCTATACTATAGCTAGTGTGCTTCCTTTTGAGTGCTGCACCACCCTGTTTGGGTTGGGAACTCGTGGCTACAAATATGTTAAAATAATTCAACACAACATGCACGAAAAGACACAACAAAGGCAGGAGTAAACACAACACATCATTGGTCTGGACGAAACAAGGCAGGAGACTGGCGCCGAGATATGTGCGTGCATGCATGACGCCAGGAAGAGGATGAGATTTCAAACGCTTCAGTTCAAAATCCGTAGATTTTATCGGGAGTTTTAAATACGTAGATCTTATCCAGAGTTTTTGAATGGAATCCACTTAAATGCAGGGACTTTTTACATGGATGGTCACAAAAAGTTGACCACTTAACTGCGAAACCGCTGATAGTGAGTACAGTAGGGTCGGGATATATCGTGAGATAGGGTCCAACAATGTTCGCTGTATACTAAATCGTGATATATAATTACATGTAATCAATGGGGAAAATAGGGTTAGGTTCTGGAGGGAAAAAAAGGTGACTAAACTTGACTTAACGAGTTCATTTTCTTATTAACTAAAGCACCAATGAACACTAGACTCGGGAACAACAGGCTATTTCATTGTCAGTATCAATATCAAGGAACACCACTTGGCAGTAGATGCCACACTGCCACCCTCACTTGACAATCCCACACCTACATAAAAGAACACCAAAAATATTAGTTACAGTATTAAATCATTTACATTAAGCTTTCCATTTTATTCACTTCACTTTTCATGTCATTAGCAACCCATTTACACTCTCTTTAGAAATTGGAATCTGCAGCAGAGTTGACAGCTGACGCACCAGCCCGACAACAACAGACGACACTGCCACCCTCACTTAACAATCATAAACAAACAAACCAAAAATATTAGTTACAGTATTAAATATTTTCCATTAGGTTTTCCATTATCTTCACTTCACTTCTCATTTCACTAGCAACCCATTTACACTCACCTTAGAAGTCGTAATCTGCAGCAGAGTAGGCTGCTTTCTCGTCACTCACTCAAAGACTGAGCGGGCGAGTGTAAATGCTTGAGTGAGCAGCCACGGTGGAGCCTCTGGTGAGCAAATAATGCATGTGTTTGCCATGGTGGTACATTTGAAATATTTCCTGCCTGAAATAAAAAAAAATATCGCTATACTGTACATAGGAAAACGTCGATAATTTTGGTAGCCACGATATAAAGAAATTGTTATATAAAGTCGTGATATATCCTGACACTGCTGTATACTCTTATAATGAGGATCTCCTGTAATAATAATTTATTTATACAGTACAGTATATATAATATACCTGTACAGTATATATATATTTTTTTTTAACAGACTCATGCCATGGGCAACTCATATACCGTACAGTACTGTGGTTAGTAAAACAGTGTACAAAATATACAATTTGGTTACTTAAAACCATGGTTGGCAAGGGATTACTAAACTACTATCTACAAAGTACTGTATTTCCAGGCTGAAATTACTTTATTGTAGTGTAAATTATGGTGGTACAGTATTAATATTTTAAAGTATGTTCACTTTAGCATACTTTAACATCCTGTTTCTTATATATACTCCTGGTATGTAGTACAGTAGATACAGGTGGTCCTCCCTATACATTGTAGTGGTATACAGTACATCATTTCATATGTCGGGAATAAATATAGGAAGAAATTTCTATTATAAGTCGATCGTTTCACATATGTCATCTGCATCATTACTATTTTATACTAAATCACTGTGTACCCGAATTTGATGCATAATTAAAACCACATAATATAATGTAAAAATAATCATCATAAGTATTACAAGTGCCTTACAAGTGTCAAGTTCCTAACATGCCAAAATACGTCAGTCTCCTCTCACACAATTGAGTGCTATTCCATTGTCGTGTAAATAGCCACAGAATTTGCCGAAAAGCCATTTCATCGTGCGAGTGTGAAAAGCTACAGTATGCATTATTTACAGGTATTTTGCCTATTGCCCACATTAGTGGGAGGGCTGGTACACTGCATTACTTTGGTTACCCTATCTTTGTGTACCCTCTCTACTTGGCCTTTTCTGATCTTTAGTTGAGTTTTCCCATATTGTGGGCCGCTGCATAGCTCTTTCACACTGTACTTGAGCGCTTTGTCATTTTTTTGTTGGTGAATTGTTAGGTGGAGGATTGTGTACACATTACTATACTGTTACTTTTTTTTTTTACGGGAATTAGCCCACCCGGGCACAGGTTACTGACCCACATCGGGGCCTGGGGGGAAATTTAATAATAATAATAATTCATAGTAAATAAATTTTATAATAAAAAATAAAAAAATTTAAAGTAAAATAATAAATTAATAATGATAGTAATAACAACACTAATAATAATAATAAAGTAATACAAAAATGAAAAAAAAAAAAATAAATAAATAAATAAGAAACAATATATGTATGTTGTGTTGTCAATAGTAAGAGAAACAATTGAGACCCTGCTGTTGTGTGTAAATGAGGCAGAAAGTCAGATCAGCAACCTGGGATTTGGTCACAATTTTCGTGGTGCCGTATGGCAGCAGGGTCTGGACAACACATTATGCTTCCAATATCTTCCCAGGCAGTAGTACCTCCCTGTTTGATAGCTGCTTACTACCTACGGTTACATGCCTTCTTTAAGATATCCCTCCCATGCTCGTGTTTAGGGTTGGTGATCCTCAGTAACTGCACTGCATTTATTAAGTCTTTCCACATTTGTGATGTGGAACTCCTCTACAAAGTCAGGCAAATTTCTCAGCATCTGTCTGACTAATTGTTCGTGTCTGACCCCCCTTCATCTCCAGGTTCTTTATAATGAGGTTGTCCATGCGTTTGTCTCCAATTGTTCTCGCATCTCTTCCTAAAGATTTTGTGTTGCATAGCTCTAACTCACATTATCAGTCTGAACCACTGTAGGTGATGATTTGACCCTGATTTCTTGTAAGTTGTTTAATCCTTCCTGGATTGATTGCTGGAGTTCTGTTATTTTAATATCCAGATTATCATTTTCATTCTTTTTCTTTGCAAAACATCAAATCATTGTTCATTGTCTTGAGGGGCTGACATTAAATGGCAAAAAAGGGAGTAGCTTCATTTATGTGACCCCTGAAAAGTGTATTCATGAATAGTGAATTCTTGCAAGCCATGGGATCCTTTATGTATTTTAATAATATTTAATAGTTTACTGAAGATCACTGTATCAATAAATCTAAAGATATTCAAAAGACATAGGTTGTATATTTGTGCTATAGTGATGTGGTTGAGAGGGTTGTTTAGCAGAAAATTTCATTGAAGTTACAGTACAAAAAGAAGAAAAGGCAAGAAGTGAACACACAAGGTACATTATCTCGCTCATACACAGTAAACACGCACACACACATATATATTAAAACATAGCTGAGATATTGTTTTGAATATTACAGATTGTGACAGATGTTGAAGAAGCTGACCTGGCAAGACAACTTGAAAAGGCAGAGGAAGAAAATAGGGAAGTTGGTGGTGATGACGATGATGAGGAGGAGGAAGTTGGTATGGGTGAATTAGATATAGATAGTGAAGGTGAAGAAAAGAAGGAAGATAAACAGGATGGGGAAGAAGTAGATGAAGAGTAATCAAGTTAAAAAAAGTAGATGAAAATAATTTAGTGAATTTTGACTTGGAAGATTTTTTCCCCAATTGTTTTTCTTCGCCAGACGATGCCGAGTTGTCTTCGAAGATGAGACATACAGTAAATATTCTTCTTATTTTGAGTTTATTTTCAGATATGTTAATTAAAGGAAGACAATTCTCTAACTGTCAACACAGTACTGTACTTGAAAGTGCACAGTTGTTGTCATTTCTATTGGAGTAAGTTAGATATTTCTGAGATATTTATACTGTAATTAGGTGAAAAGCTGTACTCCATCCTGTTATTGGTTGACAGTAATAAAGTGTAGATTTTTTTGCTCCAACCCATTTTTGTTTCATTAAAAACTAAATTAATGGGAATACAGTATATCAGACAGTATGCATAAATTAGTTTTATTAGCAACTATCAGAATTTGTCCCCCACCTGTCTCTTAATTTCTTTAACCCAAATCTAACCTCCTCCTTTCCATACCTTAATCCTTAGTCCCATCTACCCTCTTCAGGGCTCTATTCCCAAGTCCTTTAGCCTTACTGCCTGTCATTCTCTCACAAACATTCACCCCTCTTTCCAATTCCTGTGTCCTTAACTGTAACACATTTTGGTTCTTGTCACTTGGCCCTAAGATCCCCATTCATTTTTCTGCTTTAATTGCCCCATTTCATTAAACTCTGAATCCAGTACCTCCTGCCCCCTTCATTCTCTCGGTCTATAGCCTTCACCTCTCCATTCAGCCTTATCCTCTTTCATCCTCACTTACTTTAACTCTGTCTTCTTTCCTTTCCTCCATCTTCATTTTTCTCCATTCATACAGATTCATGTTTTAATCTTAACATGTAGGACATCACTTATTTTTATGAAACTTAAAGTGAAATCATTCATAAAATGGGATCATCAAATGGATTTTTGTCTTATTATCCCAGCGTAGTGTTGTATATTATTTTTTAGAAATTATTCAGAATACTTTACAAAATGTTAAGTACATAAATACTTCAGCTCAGACTACTCTCTCACACACACACACAACTGTCCTACTTAAAGAGTTAGTGTATATTAGCTTAAATTCTACTGTGATTTCCTCCTAAATTTTTTGAAGGCTGCATTATTTTCTTTTTACTCCTTTCTTTTGTCTTTTAAACTGATATTTATAACATCTATTTTGGTGTTATTGCTTAACCTAGGGCTTTTACATCATGAATAGCCTATTTTGTACTTTTCTTCTAAGGAGAATATATTAAATGACTTTCAAGGGGTCTTTTATTTACAAAGTCCATGTTTTCCCTTTTTAATGGTTGCATAATACTGCATAACACTTAAGTTCCCTCCTCAGAGATGTAATGCCAGGTTCTCTTGATTCCCAAATTACCAACCAAAATCTTAAGATGAAAAATCCAGATTCTACAACAACTGTGGCTGGAATGAGCTGGATAATTAGTTCAAAAACTTCCATCACAACCATACCCTTAAAAAGTGGGTGTTGGAGGTGTCAGTCATCACTTAAGGTTAAAGGGTAGAGATACTAGCCACAAGCTGTACAACATTTATTTGACTTTGTTACAATTATTTCATGGATCAACCCTCTGTTCCTCTCATCTATGCGATCTAAGCAGTTTCCTCCCTGCTTGCCAAGTGTAACCCCTAAACTTATTAAGCAGTTTGTGCAGGATTTGATCATAGCCATGCAATCCCAAGTGTTTAATAGTAATAATAGTTGTTACTTTTTTTTTAGTGTTTACAATTAACCTACTATCCAGTTTAAGGTAAGCTGGCATGTTGATATGGAAGCTCAAAATTTGTCCAGTAGACAAATCTTGATTCATTACATATTTTGTTAAGTCTCCACTTCAGTTGTTCTATACCCAGGTCCCAATCATGAAATTCAACATTCACACTTTGGGGTCAAAGGTTCATCCATACTGGCAAGCTTCCACAGTTATTGTTTTTATTATTTTTCTTTCTTCAGTTTTGGGGAGGTGCTTTATAGCTGTTACCCCCAGGCCCCTATCAAGACAACTCAAGGTCACACTTTAGGGTAAGAAAATCACCCTGTTATGGCAAGCTGTCAGAGACGTGGAATGCTTTGTCTTTAAACTATTGTTATATACCATCCCCAGGTCCCTATCAAGAAGGTTGAGATCATGCTTCAGGGTCAGAGGACACCTCACTCTGGCAAGCCATGAAAACTATAAACTCAGCAGTATTTGCTATAAAGCCCTCAAACCCACCACCAACACAGCATGTAACAAACTCTTGACTGTACTTTTTCTTGTTTTATTTCTGAAGTATTAGTGAAGTTAGTTACAAAAACATTAACTTACCAAGAACAAGACTACAGTTTTCAGTGTATGCTACCACAGCAATTATTACTACCATCAAATAATTTTATATTCTCATTTTTATGGGATTATCATAAATCCTACCATTAACTATACAGATACCTTAAGTTATTTCTCATTAAGTCATATACAGTATAACCCCTCTTTACGCGGTCAATTGAACCCACGAAGGCCCGAGTAAAACGGGAAATGCGTAAATGGAACAACAGAACATATGGGATTGATTGAAATAGAGACTGGGCCGACCCCCAAACTCACTTTTTCAAACACAATACCTACGTTGTAGTAAAAATAACTTCTTAATTTTATGATGGTATGCACACAATTAATAATTAAGAGAAATATCAATAATATTAGGTTTTTTAACGCTTACATTAGTAGAAAAGATGGCTGGGCACACGGGGTTGGTTCCGAGGCAGAGGGCAGATTATTGGCCCTCACCTGTATCAATTGTATCACTATCCACCACAGAGGCTTGCAGGACCTCTTTGTCAAACCCCTCAAAGTCCGTATAAGTCCATATCCTCACTTTCACTATCACTGACTTGGGGCCAGCTGTGGTGGGTGGCGGGTTAAGAACTCGGTAATGTTTTGATGACTGGGCGACCTTGTGCGCACCCTGCCCGCGCCGCTTCCCGCGTATACGAGTAGATGCACTGCGTAATGTGGGAATTCCGGTTCTGGCGGTGTACCGCGTATATGTGGAAACGCGTTAACGAGAACCGTGTAAAGAGGGGTAAATCTGTATTGTAATATGATTTTTCCTAATGCTGTACATGCATTGGGTTGCATTCCTGAAAACCCAAATATCAAACTGTATTTATCCATTGATTAATATTATAAATTGGAAGATATATTAAAAAGAAAATCTTTCACATACATTCTCAGAATTCATTTTGTTAAATTTACATTTATCCAATTAAGAGTCACAGTCCAGGGCCTCTATCTAATCTTACTATACAGAGTACAGAAATTGTATAGAATTTCATGTAATTTTCTTTAGGGAATTCACGACTAACATAATTGTTAGACTTAAAACTGCTTGAAGCCAGAAAAACAGATAGAATAGTAAAATTTACCCAATCTGAAGTAACAAGAGATAAACAGTAAAAGTCCAAAAATCCGGATGCCAGAAATCCGGACCACCCGAGAATCCGGACTTTTCGAAAACTCACTTTTTTTTTTTTTTAACTGACTTTTGTGTGTATATGCGCATGCGTGAGCGCCACAGCTGCACAGCGACAACAAGCGACCACGCGGTCGCCACTTTAAAACGAGCAATCAAACTGTGACAACGTATGTAATTTTGAGTCCTACTGTTTCCATTTACAGAGCCCATAATAATGGCTCCTAAAGTAGATAAACTTCGTTGTGTGAAGAGAAAGAACACGTTGAAATTGAGTGACAAACTTGAAATAATTAAAATAGAACGTGGTGTGAGCAATACTGTTTTAATGGAAACATACAACATTGGAAAGTCTATAATTTATGATATAAAAAAGGCAAAGAATAAAATTCTAGAATTCACAGCTTTTTCTTTAAAACTGCTCGTTTTGATAAATGAAGCATGCTATATTTGCTAATGAATAAACTATCAAAATGTATCTGTTCATCTCTTCTTTATTCCTCCTTAAATTTTAATTTTAAAAGTGCTGCCTCAGAATCCCGAAAATCCGGACCGACCCAATCCCCAAGCAGTCCGGATTTTTGGACTTCTACTGAACTATGAAAATTAATGAAGACAAATTATCATAAGCATAATACTGTACAGCAAATGTTCTAACACAAAAATGTGCCGAATCATGTGGGCCATAAGCAAATACATGTACGTAGCTCCAGCCTGGAGGTACTGGTAATATACCGTAATTCTATAATATATCAACACTGTGCATTTGCCTCATGGTATCTCAGATTTAATGGATATAGTAATTGGAGGATATCAGACTTAACTCTTACCATAAATGAGCATGATAATCAAATTTCACCTAAATTTGGCTTGCTGACAGTCTATCTTAAGTCTAAGGAGTCTTAAGGATTCATGAATGATTCAACAATTAATTAATATCAATCAGTCAAGGTGCCATCATCATATCTGAGGGTTGGCAAGCATGGCCTTCCTTATCAATAGTTTTTGGGTGTCTACCAACTCCCCAGATTTTGTACCATTTCAAACACCCAGCTTTTAATTCATTCAATTATCTGTGTCTGCCTTCCTGTGGCCCTCCTACCCTCAGTTTTACCCATTAAAATCTATCATTACTGTGTTCCTTCACCTCAAATGGCAAAAGTATACTAAATATTTTGTTATTATTTTATACATTACCAGCATTTCTGTTATTACTGTAGCTGATTATTTTATTTGTATTCTGTCACTGACATAACATTCCCATATATCATCACATTTTGTGATCTTTTAGTCTCTTTTTAGTGTCTTCTGAAAATGTCCATGCTTTTGACCCATATAGTAATGCTGATTGACTGAACATTCCATATTATCAGCCTTCTCTTCAAAATAAAACCAATGTCCTTATTTAAAAATAGTATATTAAATTTTAGTGATTTTGATATACAAATCTGTCCAATCCTACATCAAATACCGAAACAAACTTAGTTGATAGTTCCTATGCAGAGCCCATTTTCATCTGATATAATCCAGTCAAAAAAAACAAATGAAATGACACATCTACTGTTTTGAAGGAAAATTGTAAAATTTTTGTAACTGAGGCTAGCCACTTAAAACATGTTCACCAGGTCTCATAGGGTTCAGATAAATCTAAATAAGACTACAAAATAACTGTGCAAAGCAAGCTCCATCACTTATGCAGTACAATACATAACATCTGGTCTACACTGTCTCCCAGTTAACTTCACCTAATATCTCAACACTGGGGTAAGGGACTTACTTTTTCAAAGTAGAAAACATATTATATAAAAAATTATCAAGAACAGATGTTCCTTGTCATGACGAACCAGGAACTAATGTGATTTTCGTGAGTAATTCTATATTTGTGCAGTCTTGGACGTGAATCCAGTGCTATGGCATTGTGGTTGTTGATTGGTTAGATATCAGCTCAATATGGACTTTAAGCTATCTCCAATTAGCCCCTTAAATAAAGGGTTGACAGGTTGTTCTGGGGTAGGGTGAAGGAAGAGAGATCATGTGGTTAGTAATTAACAGATCAATTTTGGCCAACACAATGGGCCTAGCTAAAGGGCTCAAGAACACCTAAGTAAATAACTATTGTACATATTATGAGAGCCACTTATGAGAAAATTAATCCAGAAACAGAACTTAAATGTGTGCTTCATTGCTACCACTACTACAATCTAATTTATTGTAATTGGTCATTAAGGCGCCCTGCTTACAAGAAGTTCCATGCTCCACACAGGGAGACTTACTCTATGTCCAAATACCAATAAGTATGTAGAAACCCAAGCAACCTCCCAGGAGGGAATCTCTATGATGAACCAACTACAGATTTGATATAATATGGATCCAATCATACTGCCCAGACTAAGCCATATTTCACTTCACTGCATGTAATGGGTTCCCCAAAATCCACAATACAATGCATCTAAAGCTGCTCAAAGCAAAGCAGCTCTGGGCTGCACACCTTAGTTCAAGGACACTGTCAGCACTACATTGGGGTGAACAGCTGACTACCATTAACCACACCCGTTGCATTTGCAACATTAATATTTCTTACCTTAAAAAACAAATCTAGCAATGTATATACAGTGATCCCTCGGTTAACGAGCGCCTCGGTTAATGAAATTTCGGTTAACAAATTACCTTCCATAAGATTCTTCACTTCGGTTAACGAATTCCTTACAAATTTTTCCCAACATGTTTTCTCCTGCATTTGGCTTCCCACCAACTGTAGTATTAGTCCGCCAACACAGTAATCGGTTTTAGGGCTTAAATTCCTTACCATTTTAGTAAATATCAAAAAGGTTGTACTATTCAATAATTTTAAAAGTTTTATTTTAAATCTTTTAGTAATTTTAACAATTATTGAACATAAATGAAGTACAGGAAACTAGTTTTTTTGCGCACCAAACAGCCACTCAACACACCAAGCTTGGTGCCAGTTTGTTTACAGGTTCAGAGGAAGGAACATCTTGTTTGAGACTCTTCACGTAAATGCTTTTTTTCTGTGTTTCCAGTCAAATTATTGGTCATTTTGAAATTATTTTACATATTGATAATATAAAGTGCAGTGCAGTGTTGATTTAAAGAAAATAATCTTGAATTACACCAAGTGAACTAGAATTTTATGGGTGAAATGGTGGCATGGGGTGACTTCTCTTCCACCCCAATGCCTTCTCTTCTCCCTTCTCCTCCACCCCCATTCTAATTCCCATCACCATCATCATCAACCAGGAGCCTTCTACATGCACACCTCAAAGTAAGTGTACTGTAGTGGATTTCTCCCCTACAAACGCTGTTTGTCGCTGAGTAGCCGACCCCACCAATTCCCCAGTGTATGCCTCGTGGTCTGGGTCAACCAGCGCCGCCATACATCACGGAGCGGGGGTCAACTACTAAGCCACGCCTACCCCCCGCTATTTAAGACCTGACCTCGTGGTGACCTGCCTCTTTCTACCTACACCAACCAGCCAGCAACACCTCCTCCTCCTCCTGCCTGGCGGTCCTCGCTCCCGCCGGAGAGCATGGCGACCCACAAGCTGGTCCTCCTCTGAGCACCCTCACCAACCAGCTCTCTCTACATCACGCTTGTAACCACACTGCCTTCCCAGCACCAAGCTGCATTGTACATCCAATACAACATGTATATAGAGAGCACATTGTGAGTTTCCTTTCTCCATTCCATCCTGAGTGTGAACCAAACATCCTGAACCCCACAGTACTTTACTGCATTTATTTTTAGTTTGTATGTAATTTTTGGTGAGCTGGAACCAATTACCCAAAAACCAATTGAAACAATGGTTTCGGTTAACGAATTTTTTGGTTAACGAGCAACCTCCTGGAACGAAGTGTGCTCATTAACCGAGAGACCACTGCACCCACCTAGAAAAAACCCAAAGTGCTTTGTCAAGCGAGCATTTATATTTCTGATGAACAAGCCTGGAGAACAGATAACTTTTTTGTTGGGCAGGCAATTGGGGAAGTGAGGTGGTCATACATCCTGGTTTATGACAGCCTGCATTGATCAACTCATGCATGCTCTGTAAGTGATGTCTGACTCAGGTTTCCTACATGTAAGTGACTACAACTATAGTACTTTCTTACTCCGTTAATGGTTAGCTGTATTTAACTTGAGTGATGTTCATTTTTTTCTCTTAAACAGTTCCTATGCATGCCTAGTTAAAAAAAGAAAAAGAAAAAAAGTGGTGTACAGTACATAGAATTATTAATATATATATATATATATATATATATATATATATATATATATATATATATATATATATATATATATATATATATATATATATTTTTTTTTGGGGGTCGTGATTTCCGAATGTATTTATACCCACTCCACTGTGCACACCAGATGGTCTACAAACCACCCATACACCATAATAAAATATTCCCTGCTCCTGATAAATATCTACACCTGGTTGTCAAACATCTACACCTGGTAAACATCCACACCTGGTAAACATGTACACCTGGTTGTCAAACATCTACACCTGGTAAACATCTACACCTGGTAAACATCCACACTTGGTAAACATGTACACCTGGTTGTCAAACATCTACACCTGGTAAACATCTACACCTGGTAAACATCTACACCTGGTAAACATCCACACCTGGTAAACATGTACACCTGGTTGTCAAACATCTCCTACACCTGAGAGATAAACATCCCCTAGTTGTGTTATGACGCCCAGTTTTAAAGACAAGCCGTGTGGCGTAACATGGCTCTAGGATCAATGTTGCGCATCATCTGGTAATGCACTTTTATTTTAAAGCTTTTATACGGGATACTTAATGAAATTACACATTATAATGGGTTTTGTGGGTTTTAGATGTGAATAGTCGATGGTAGAGCTCTAACTAATGAGCGTGCTTTGTTTGAAGGGGCGTGAGTAGGTGAGACCACTTGGGCAAGTTTGTGTGACAGTTAACAGCGTCTGTGTGTGTTTTTGTTTTTTATTTTAGAATATAACATTTGTGCAGGTGTCCGCAACTCAGAGTAATGTGTGTTGATACAGAAGATCTTTATGTCTTTCCGAGTTATTTAGTTGGTCATTTTTCATAACGTTTTGTATCAGAAGCAGTTGTTTATTTCTAACATCAAATTAAGTGACTAAGAGGAATGTATTAAGAAAGGTAATATTTAGTTGTCTCTTCATATTATTGAAATAAATTCTAAAATTGTACCAATAAGAACCCTCTGCTACTTCTCCTCCAAAGAACAGCGTATTGATTGGTTAAACTATATCACATGACGTAGGAGCTAACCAATAGGAGACAAGCTGAGGCGGGTCGTCACCAGGGCCGTCACACCGGGCCAGAGTGCTCAAGCAGGTCGATTGTGGAGGAACAGTTTCTACGTCCTTAACAATTCGTTCTCCATTTTATAACTTCGCGTACCTGTGTCATGTTATCGCTCGCGTCACACTTGTTAACTTTAAGTCGACATTTTTAGCAGCGAGCGAGGTAATTTGTACCTTTCTTAAGGTATTTATTCAAGTTTTAAGTCCCTCGGTTCGCGCTAGGCGACGTCCAGCCGACCCCATGAAAATGGCCGACACTAATAGGAACGTCGTCGACAATATCAACAACCTGAATGAACGGAAGAACTTTGTGTGTGGAGTAGTTGAAGGTTAGTGGTGGCAACAATTGCGTAGTGGTGATTGTAGTGTGTTGGTGACAATCATGCAGGAGGTGGAGTAATATTGTTTAAACAGCTGAGTGACGTCGCTCAGCTGGGTTGTGCAGCTGTCGGCCATCTTGTAGAGCTGTGCTGATATCCCTGAATGTTACTTACCTAAAACAAATCTGTATTCCACCCATTCATCCCCGTATTCAAAAATAAAAGTTATAAAGATAAGGTAGAATTGTTATTTGTCCAGACTCACACTTGTTTGGCTATTGGTCACGGTAAGTCGTGTGTTCACTAGGGTAAGCTCAACAGCCTACTCCGAAGAAAAAAAAAATTGGTCTTTTAATGGTAATTTAAAAGACTCGACAACACTAAGACAGTAGACACTGATTAAATCAATCTTAATTGTAATTGCAGTAAGAATTTCAAAGGTTTGTTTGGTTTTTATTTTTAATATTTTAATTATTTTACCCCACTTTTGCCCTCTACTTAAATCCCCTGCCCACTTTGAATAAATAATATTCTTGGTAATTTTATCTGTAACTACTCGAAAAATATAAATTTCCGACGAAAACACCATACAAGAAAGGTGTCTTGGAATTGTCAAACTATTGATTCCAAAACTTTAGATCCTAAAATACGCGAGATAACTGAAACGATAATACAAAATACAGTCATTTTAGTTTCGGTCATCCCTGAACAGTATTTAATATTCAAACCTACCTAACCTAGCCACAGAACCCAAGACTACAGTATATCTAACTTGGGGTAACCTAAATTCTTAAGATTCTTCAGATGACCGAAACTAAAGTAATACCCAGACGGTTAGCACCGGAATGTGTTTATGTACCTGTATTTCGTTCATATTCTCCGTTTATATAATTCCATATAAAGGAACACTTAATGCAATGCTATTGTATGATTTATAGGAGGCAAGATGAACCAACCTAGCCTACTATTTTAGGTCAGGTTCGTGAATTTGATTAGGGTCATACCTCCAGCTCGGCCCACACATGACTAACTCGGCTCACCTTGCACTCTTCAAACAAGTAGCTGACTAGAGGTTCAGGAATAAGTTTGAGATATGTTTTCTCTCTTTTGGTTCACTGAAATATGAAGAGTGAATGGGTGAATACCAAGGGTTCTATCGGTATGAAGGACGAATTTTACGAGTTTGTTAACAACTTGGTCAATGAACCAGATTCCCATTCGTAACTTGTGCTTCTCCAGGTAATTTCAAATAGTTTGAAATTATTGCTTCCAGAAATTTCCCTAAAGTTGATGTTAAACTGATTGGACAGAAGTTAGAGGATAGTAATCTATCTCCCTTCTTGAAAATCGGTATCACATTCGCTATCCTCCAGGATTCTGGTTCTACACCCGTTTTTAATGACATGTTAAACAAATTTGCTAAGGGCATACTAAGCTTTTCCTTTCATTCCTTTAATACTCATGTTTAAATTTCGGTGGTGAAAACTGTTGGAAAAATACCTGTTCAGATTATTGCTAATTTTTCCGTCGTTATCAGTTAGCTGCCCGGTATTGGTCCAATCTTGTCTCGTGTTTTAGTTTAATACATTTGAAAGAATCCCTTGGGGTTTAACTTTGCCTTCCTTGCTACCTTCAGTTCATTATTCCTCTTTGCTTTTCTTATCTCAGTTTTAACCCTACCGGCCAATACCTTGTACAGAAATAATCTCGGAGGTAAACTTCACGATTTATTCTCCAACCTATAGCCTTCCTTTGGCCAATAATATTCTTTAAATAATTATTTACCCATTTGAGGTCATTGTTATTTGATCCGAGTTTTCTGTATGGTATGTTCTGTAGGGGGCAGTGAAATTTTGCTCAAAGCTGCACTCTTCAGGCATTGTTCCTTATACATATCTAAGACTCCATGCCAAATTTGAAGCTGATATGTCGAGGTTTAGTCTGCCGCATTTTCTACTGAAATTTTTAAATTTACCTACAGTACTAGCCAAACAGCCGCTGTGGCGGTGCAATGTTCTGTTCAGTGTTTATCAACTTTTTTTTCATATCTCTTATTTCATTTAAGTTGTCTTGTTGCAGATGAGTATGGTGCTATGTCTATATTGATTATCAGCCTTTTCTCATTTCATTTCTCAATGTTGTGTTACTGTACTGTAATGTAGGGGAGACCTGGGTAAGTTGGCGCACTTGAAATGGCTAGTTTAGATAATTTGACGTCACTATTTTGATGGTAAGAAGACCGCCACTCGTGTGATGATAAAGAATGAGAAGACCGAGAAATGGAGTTCGAGGATGATGGTGAAAGATCATTATGTCATCATGGTTGAGCCTGGCAATGAATATCTCACACGTGACTCCCAAGACTGGACACGGAAAGCAGATTGCCAAAACTATTCACGAGTTTCTGGTGGAGAAAAATCTAACCCAGCAGCCCATTGTGTGTTGGTTGTGATGGAACCAATGTAAATGTAGGATCAGAAAATGGAGTCATTCATCATCTTGAAATGTTACTTGGTCACCCGCTCCATTATTTCATATGTCAGCTTCACGGAAATGAGCTGCCTTTCCGCGCAGTTTTTTATCACTATGATGGTAAACCAAGTGGTCCTGAGCATTGGCGTGGTCCCATTGGAAAGCAGATCAAGGAGTCTTTGTCTGAGCTTCCAGTTGTCGCCTTCCAGCCAGTCAGTTTCCCTGATTTCCCTGTGTTTAATGATGAAGTGGAGAAAGATCTGTCCTGGGATCAGAAATACCTGTATAGGATTTGTAAAGGAGTTATCACAGGTGTTGTTGAAGATGACTTGGCTGCTATTGAGCCAGGTCCTCCCTGTGTGTCAAGGTGGAACACCTTATGGAGTAGAATCCTCAGGCTGTATGTAGCAACATCAAGACCCAGCCATGAGTTGAAAAGAATTGTCATTACAATAATAAAGTTCAGTGCTCCAATGTGGTTTTACATCAAGATACACCCTTACGTAACACACGGCTCAAGGAACGTATTCCAGTCCCTGCTATATATGAAACACCTGAATAGTGAGGAGGAGACGATAGTGAAGAAGGCTGTCCAGAGAAATGCATACTTCGCCCACACAGATCAACTTCTTGGTATGTATGCAGATGAGGACATGACTGTTAGAGAAAAAGCTGTCTCAATGATAAGAAAATTTAGAGAGGAAAATCAGCAAAAGGAAGAATGCACTGGCAGATCTGAAGAGGAGGAGGAAGAAGATTCTGATGCTGCTGTTGACGAGAATTTGTTAAACTATACTGATGAGGAGGGTAAAGATGGAGATGGGAATGAGGATGTGCCTCCTGTAGTCAACATGAGAAAGGTGGTGACTCCGAAACTAAAGTGGCAAGCAAAAAACTATCATTCCATGATTAACTGGAGGAATGAACTCAAGACTGAGCCTCCTTACATTGCTTCTCTGTCAAATCTACAGGTTAATGACATTCTTGAGACACCATTAGTGGTGCCCAAGTGGCCAAACAGCACTCAGGCGGTCGAGAGAGGCATAAAAGTGATGACTGAAGCTTGCACTGAAGTGACGGGATACGAATCGAGAGATGGATATATTAGGCAAAGATTATTGTCTAGGAAAATGATGCCAAGGTTCCGCACAAAAAAGAATTTCAATATGAACTTGTAATGATTTTCTATACGGTGTACCTGTAAAATAACATGTGAATTAAATCGATGTCACCCATGTAAAATTTATCATTATCCTGGAAAACATTAAATGACACCTAATTTTTGGTATACACTAAAAGTTGACAAAAAGTCGTTCGCGATGCGGCAAGGTAAGTATGCATGAAATGGCATGAAATTTTGCACAGGTGTTTGTTACAGCCATACAAACGATGCCTGAAAAGTGCAGCCTGCAACTCAAATAAAGGTGTTTTTCCCTGCCCCCTAATGTTCTGCCTTTTTGCATTAACTTACTATTTAAATTGTGATCTCGTGATCATAAGAACATAAGAAAATAAGGAGTCTATCATAAGAACATAAGAAAATAATGAGTATCATAAGAACATAAGGAGTCTGCAATAGGCCGGTTGGCCTGTGCATGGCAGCTCCTGTCGAGAGTTACTACCACTCTATCATCCATGAATCTATCCAGCCTCCTTTTGAAACTTTCCAGCGTACCAGCACTTACCACAAAGTTGCTAAGCTTGTTTCACTCGTCCACCACCCAATTTGTGAACCAGTGCCTTCCTATCTCCCTCCTAAACCTAAACTTGTCCAACTTAAATCCGTTGCTCCGAGTCCTATCCTGCTCGGATATTATAAGAACTTTATCTATATCCCCTTTATTGATTCCTTTCACCCACTTAAATACTACTGTCATATCTCCCCGCACTCTTCTTTCTAGGGAATGCAAGTTTAGTTTCTTAACCTATCCTGATATGGAAGGTTTCCAAGTCCCGCTGCACCGACTCCAGTGAATTGATATCCATTCTATAATAAGGGCACCAGAATTGAACCGCATAATCGAGGTGCGGCCTGACTAGCGCAAGATATAGTTGCAATAAGACCTCTGCACTCTTATTACTTACACTTCTAGGATATAAAACCCAATACTCTGTTTGCCTTATTGCGAACATTAACACACTGTTTTCTAGGCCATAGGTCCGGGCTTACAAGTACCCCTAGGTCTCTTTCATAAGTCGACTTCTCTAGGTTGATGTTAAGGCTGTATACATCGACAGTATTTGTTCTTCCAATATTAAGTACGCTGCACTTGCTGGTGTTGAATTTCATTTGCCATTTTTCAAACCACCCCTGCAGTTTATTCAGATCCTCCTGTAATGCATTTGCATCCTGCCCTGAATTAATCTGCCGCCCTATCTTGGTGTCATCCGCAAACTTGCTTTTATCACTGCTGATCCCAGTATCTAGATCGTTAATGTAGATTATGAACAAGAGTGGGCCTAATACTGACCCCTGGGGAACCCCACTGGTTACACGGTCCCACTCAGATTTAACACCATCTACGCTGACCCTCTGCGTTCTATCGGTGAGCCATGATTTTATCCAATTTAAAACTTTCCCCTCGATACCATGAGCCTTAATTTTTCTCAGAAGCCTCTGATGCGGTACTCTGTCAAATGCTTTGCTTTAGTCTAAGTAAATAACGTCGTAATTTTCGTCATTATCTACTACCTCAAAGACTTTCCTAAAAGACGTCAGCAGATTTGTTAGACAAGATTTTCCCTTTGTAAACCCATGTTGAGGTTATCCTCAACCGTCATAGCTTGTGAGGGTGTCTTTGTCAGGTCTCCAGGTAAAGTGATATTAATTGTGAACCAAATATAAACTTATACAATATATAAAAGAAAAAAAGATCGCCTCTTCCACACGTACATTAATATACAGTATTAATATGATAGAATGGAAAGATAATTAATAACAAATCCATCCCCCCCCCCCCTACAATCTATGCTGCTTTTTATCATTGTACTTTTATCATTCGTGCAAAAATGTGTAAACTTTTACTTTTTAGCCCAAGTTCATTAACTTGGTGATCTGAGTGGTTATCCACGATGGTCTGAGTTGTTATTTGATGGTCCGAGTTGGGTGTGAGCTGAGTTGGACTACAACGTGATTAGGAAGGCATGGAAAGGTCTCAAATAAATGTTTGTCAGCAGATAGTGCCACAAATGACATTTTCTGTATGTGGTACCGTATATGCTGATAACCACAAGAAAACACAAAGTTCCCAAGCGCTTTCGTGTAATTATTATTGAATTACAGTACCCTACTCTGCACTGTTATGGGCAAACCACCCTCACCATCTAAAGGGTTAAGAATTTATGGTAAAGTTTAAGTTACGGTCAACCGGGGAATCTTAGGAATTCAATTACCGTATTGGAATCAGTAGTTATGACAATTCTAAGATACTTTTCCTTTATGACGTTTCCCTCGCAAATGTCCTGACCACCTAAGTGATACGGGTAGTCCCCATTAGAGGTTCACGGCGCCATAAGCTCGTTGAACAGGCTTCGTGTGAAATATATATAGTACAGTATATATTATATGCTTATGTGGATGTCCGTAGCATTTTACCGAATCCAGCTAGTATGAAACGCGAGGTACCATGTATACTTCATTTTTAGTCCATATAACACGCGGGCTGTTCCCAATGAGAGGTTCACAGTGCCATCAGCTCGATGAACAGGTTTTGTGTGAAATATCACATAGTCTAGAACTGCTTTTAGTGCTCTTGTGGTATGGTCGGTAGCATTCCCTGGTCCCATGCATTAGGTCCAGGGTTCGAGTCCTGGCTGGTGAGGTCGTTGATTACTATATGTTTTGTACATCAACATACTAAAGTACGATATTAAAGTTTGTCCTTATACAGATTGACAACCCTTTATCCGAAATTCCGAATACCGAAAAGCTCTGAAAACCGAAAGTTTTTTGTGGAGCATTTTTTTTTTTTTTTTAAACATACAGGGATTAGCCCACCCAGGCATAGATCACTGACCCACATCTGGGCCTGGGGGGCGAAAATGTAATGGTAATACTAATTATTATGATAATAATTATAATAATAATTATTCATAGTAAATAAAAATTTTAATTAAAAAATACACCAAAATAAAATAATAATGGTAACAATAATACTGTATTAATAAAATAATAATAATAAAATTAATAACAATAATAAAGAAATACAAGAATGAAAAAAGATAAAAAGTGAGAAACATGACCTAGACCTATGAATAATAATAATAATTATTATTATTATTATTATTATTATTATTATTATTATTATTATTATTATTATTATATCCCCCAGGCCCCAATGTGGGTCAGTGACTTGTGCCGAATGGGCTAATAATAATAATGATGATGATGATGAAAAAAAACTACCCATTCTGAAAACCGAAAAATTCCGAAATGCCTCTGGTCCCAATGATTTCGGATAAGGGATTGTCAACCTGTATGTATGTATGTATGTGTATATATATATATATATAAGAATTTTCTATGTCCTTTAGGATGGTTTTACTTTTCTAATAGATTGTGTTGTTTCTGTTGTCTTTACATTGTATTTGGTATTGGGATATGTACAGTACCTGTACTACAATAAAGTTTTACATTTCAGGTTTCTATGGTCGACCTTGGACACCAGAACAAAGAAAGGATCTCTTTTCAAAGTAGGTTTTTGTTGTATGTTTTCTAGTGTTAAATGTTTACATTTTAAGTCCTAACCTAACTCATTTTATCTCTAGTGTACTGTCTGGTTCAGTATCTTTTACTCCCACATGTTGCTGTCCTCACCATTATTTGCCTACACCAAATTGCATTAAATGTTAGCTGTACAGTACAGTACTTAACAGCCAAAAAATATTCTGTCTATTGGGTAATGTTCCATAGGGGACACGGTTTGCTTTTTCTATTTTGCTTAAGCATATGTGCATTTGTCCATTCATCTGGAAAAAAGTTCTCAGGTATATTTTTACTATAATTAAAAGTTTCATTTACACATTTTTCACTTGAATATTTAAAATAGACTTGTATGTTTAGGTATCTAACTTAGAAGTGTAGACTAAAGATTTTAAAGTGGTGTCAGATGTCATTATGCTCAAGAAGTGTAATCTTACTTTTCAGGCAACAAAAATGGGGCATGAATTGCTATCTCTATGCACCAAAAGACGACTACAAGCACCGTGCAAACTGGCGTGAATTGTATACTGTGGAGGAAGCTGAACATCTAACGGCTCTTATCACTGAAGCTCGTGTACATGGTGTTGCCTTCTTTTATGCCATATCTCCTGGTTTAGATATCACATATTCAAGTCAAAAAGAAGTTTCAGCCCTCAAAAGAAAACTTGAACAAGTTGCACAGCTGGGGTGTAATGCTTTTGCAATATTGTTTGATGACATTGATCCTGAAATGAGTGGTGCAGACAAAGAAGTGTTCCATTCATTTGCACATGCTCAGGTGTCGGTTGCCAATGAAGTGTTCACACATTTGAGTCAACCAAAGTTTATGTTCTGCCCCACCCAGTATTGTTCCACACGAGCCGTGCCTAATGTTCAGACTTCTGAATATTTGAATACCATTGGTCAAAAGTTAGCCCCAGAAATAGACATCATGTGGACTGGACCAAAAGTCATTAGCAAGGTTAGTACTCTAAAACTAATAGTGCTTTAATCAGTTCTTGAAGAAATCCCTGTAAAGCACACCGTTTGTTATACAGTATTTCAATTTTGTTTGTTTTTGTAGCATTATTATTATTATTTTGTATTTTATTTATTTTCTCCAGATTTTGAGTGTTGAGCACATCAGAGAAGTAACAGAAGTAATGAGAAGACCTCCTGTTATTTGGGACAATCTTCACGCTAATGATTATGATCAGGCACGTCTCTTCTTAGGACCTTACTGTGGCCGTTCACCAGACCTTATACCCCTTCTTAGGGGTGTTGTCACAAATCCAAATTGTGAATATGGACCAAACTTCATAGCTATTCATACTTTGGCTCAGTGGTCTAGATCATCTACATTAACCAGCTGTGACAATAGTAAGTGGTCATGTTATTGAACTAAATTCATAAATGAAAGTACAGTAAGGGATATTAATGATACTGTTGCTAGTCTTGGAAATTTCAGCATAGCAAGGTTGATCCTTTTTATTTGTTTCACTTTCATAGTTTATACAATGAAGTTTTTTTTATTTGGTACTTTACTTCATTGCATTAGGGTCATGCTGAGCATTCTAATTGTGGGTGCACACTTGAATAGAGCATTTAATAAGTTCTATGCATTTATTGAGAATATCAAAGAATGAATGCCTGTGTCCATATACCAGTACAACCTGGTTTATGTACCTCCCCCCCTCCCCTTGTGCTTTCAACCATCATTGTGCAAATAAATCCCATCCCAAAACAAAAAGTTAACAGTAAACATTTACACTGCACTAATTTTTATTGTAGCAGATGAATCATAAGGTGGAGGACATTGGAGGGCTGCTTACACTTACAGTATGCATGTTCACTCTCTTATATTTAATTACTTAGTTTTAGTATGCACATAAATTGGCTATTATTTCGTGGCTTAATCACCGTTAGAATTGAGGGTGTGCATTAACAGATCAAGAGGTACAGTATATGCAAATCAGAGGTGTATGGGGAGTTACTTAGTTACTTTTCAGTTGGTAGAGTTCTGAGCACCTTTTCTTTTTTCCCGATGGTTCTCAGTGATGTTTTTACCTTCACTGTACAGTACTTGCTGTAGAGGCCATAATAGTATAGTAAGAAGCACTAAAAATTAACAAAACAAGAGGATGTGTGGTGGAGCAGTAGTCATGATAACAAACAAGTGGGAACTGAAGCTTCACCTAGCTGATGCCCGAAGTGACCCCCTCTCCCCAACCGGAGCTTGTCTGACTGGGAGTTTCCAAGTTACAGAAGTTAAACCGAGAGGATCTTACTGTAATATCATTAGAAATAGGAAGAAATAGTAAAACAATTGGAGAATCGTGTCAAAAACCAGTTGGTTTTTAAAATTAAAAGGGACGAAGATTTAGTTGAGAAAAGAAGGGGGCCCATTAAATGCAAGTTTGAGCTCTTGAGTGATGTACTGTATTTGTAAATTATGAATTGATAATGTATAAAAACAAACTGTTTATAATTATGATGAATAGAAAGACCAAGATGGACAGGAGTAAGATTGAAGTTCAAGCAAAGAATTTTTAATTACTCTGGTCTGGAGGATTGTGTTGGTCCTCCTAATTGATAGTGGGACACCAATAATTGAATTGGTAAAAAAGAAAGGGGGGGTATAGTAATATCATTTCTGTTACAGATGATGCAGTAAGTGCAGATATCAGACTGGAAACTGAGGGTGATGATTCCAGTGATGATTGCCCGACTGGTTTGTCTCCAAATACGTACCATCCACGAAGAGCCTTGCGAATGGCTCTCCAAGATTGGCTTGCCGAGTTTAACCATCCAGTTGCAGCAATTGGAACTATACAACAACCTCAGATTCCAACCCCTGTGCCTATACTTCCATCAGTCAATACATGTATGGCATTAACATCCACCACTTTGGCCACACCTGGTCTCCCTCAACCAAATATCAATATTTTAGCTGAAGTAGTACAAGACACAACTTTCAACCCAACTATGAATCCTGTTATGAACTCTCTAGTCTCAGAAAACAAAGTAATTGTGGAAACAATACATGAAGAGGCAGATACAGCCTCAACAGTTTCCCAAGATGCTTCGTCCACATCTGGTGTAGAACCAATGGATTGTAATCCCTCTCCAGCAACATCCCCACCTCATAATGAAGATAGTATGATGATTGAAAATGGTGAAACTTCAAAAGTAGAAAATGAAGACGACAACACAACCCCTTTGATTGAGACAACCACTCAGGATGAACTAACTGCCTCTGTCAAGACATCACTCACTCTTCCATTAGATAGTACTCAAGATAATTCAGAAGAACTCACAGTAGATGACTTGCATTTGCTAGCAGATCTCTTTTATCTCCCTTTTGAACATGGTAGACAAGGCATCAACATCATGAATGAATTCAACTGGCTGAAAATAAATTCACACTTAGTTATTGACTACAAGAAAAATGGAGAGGCCAGACCCGAGGTTAGTGTTCTACTGTTTGTTTATAGTTTTATCAGTAATTTGCCGAGTGCGCTCTTATATGTGACTAATGATCCGTCCAAAATAATTCCCTCGCTTGTCAAGTAATTCTGAGGCAGTCCTGTAGTTTATTTTGTTTAAGTATTGTCTTCTGTAGGTTACCTTAGATGTCTTGTCACAATTGATATACTGGTACAGTAGCTTTAATGTTCTTAGGAAGTTTTCTGTCTTTATTATTAACCCGATAAATGAGACAAACATTTTTTAGTGTTGAGTGGAGGAGTGCGACATACTTTCTAGAATTCAGAGCTTTTCGAATGCAGCTCACAAAAAAATTAATTAATCGCAGGGTCAAGTATGGGATGTTCAGGGGTCAGCTGCGAATAAGCGGAGTCGCGTACTATTGATACGTGTACTCTGAAACCCTACTGGGCTGCTGTTTCTGCCAGCTCGCTGTTAAAGAATTTGTAGCTGAAAAGTAGGGTTTTTTTTTTTTTTAAAGATGGTGAAGGCCATTGGTGCCAAAAGTGTACATTTAAAGGATTAATGGTTTGATTTTATTTTTTGGATTTTGGGCAAATCTTGGAATTTTTCATGAGTATGGCAAGTTAAAATTGCCATCTTTTAACTTTTTTTCTTTCAGGTACAAGAATGGGTTGACAGAGCTGCAAGGTTTGATGAAATGGCCAAAAATGTGAAGAGAATGGCAAACAGATTGAACCAGGTCAAGAATCGGTCCTTGTTGTATGACATCTATCCATACATATGGGACATGAATGGTGTCATCTCTCTTCTTAACTCCTACGTCAAGTGGCTAGGTACCTAAGTGAAATCCAGGTGTATCCTGAGGGATATACAGGCACTCTTTAACTTCACCATCTAGAAAATCAGTTCTAGATGTGGAAGGTGATAAGATGCTTTAGATATATAAGCAACAAGGCTCATCTTTTAGAATTACGTGGCACTTGCTAAGCCAACGATGCGCCTTGAAAGCTTCCACTTTCCATGCAACAACACATCCGTTGACTGTTAAGGGCAGTACTTAATAATAACTTTGCCAAATAGATGCCAGTCAATAACACAATCCAGGGGGAACAAGCCTAGTCTACTACAAATCTACTCTAGAACATATACATCATGTCTAGTGTGTGTAGACCCACAGCATTTATGTAGAACACCCATATTCCTGGGTGAAAGTGCTTACTCTCTTGAATAAGAGCATGTATATCTCTGTGATCTAGATTATGTATACCCCTGGTTCACAGGGAATGGGATGCTGCAGAATACACTTGCTTTGACCAAAATGCACAGTTTAATCTAGGCACACACAAATGATATACCATGTAGTTACTGCATGTCTGAAGCTTTAGCCTATGCCACATTCCCAATCCAATGAATACACAAATGATAAAAACAGGATTTTCAAGTAAAAAAGGCACTCCCTTTAAAAAATTTAATCAAAAATACCATATGCAAACCCTTTTGATCCAAAGTATAGATCTTGCCCAACACCTTATTCACCAGCCAAAAATGCCATGCCAGGCAATGCCCTACCACTCACTTGTCACAAGTGATGCTCATACTGACATCTCATGTTAATGCCACTACCAACAACTAGAAGCCCACATTTACAAGTATTTATTTATTTTTATTATTATTATTATTATTATTTTTTTTTTGAAAGAAAGCATTGCCATTAGGTTGTTTAGATTGAGAGTTTAATTGCTTGTTCAACGTGGCATTGAGCTCAGTCCTGAGTTTTAGTATTTGTCCTTGGTTCCAATTCTTGAGTTAGCACACTATGAAGGACCTTATATAGTAATGTTACATCAAAACAGCAGTTTGTCTTATGACAATTTGTCCATTTGAGAAGATTTCTGTTGTAAGTTTGTGAATGTAGATGTTTTTGTCCAGGTTTAGATCCCTCGCCACTTTATTTTTCTTCCTTCACTAACTGCACATACAGTACTGTAATGGGTACAAACAATTTTAAATAGACTACTTACTAATTATGGTCGTGGAAATCTTGAAGTACGGTATGTCATTAATAAGTAACACCTAATCTAATGTAATGCTTGGGAGTTAAAGAGGACTGTGAACTAGCCCTTGTAATGAGGTTTAAACTTGGTGAATATTTGTGATACAGTATACTGTACTGTAGAGGATGTAACAGGATTCTGGCTCCGATTATGTCAGTTGATGAGTTCATGCACTTTGTTCTTTACATTGTAATTACTGATCATTAGCATATGATTATAATTTGAGTTGATGATCTTAGAGATGAGATGTTCTGTAACTTTAAAGTACACTATTGAGTTTAACTTAAAGTATTGAGGTACAGTAATTGATTTTATGCTACAATTCAATGGACTGCGAATTGGCAAATTGCAAAATAAAAATCCACTGATTTGGCAGGATCTACACACACACACACACACACACACACACACTAAACAATTTAGAATATTAACTTGACATTAATTTTGAGTGATTTATGAATGTGTGCCCAAAACAAACATGGATTCCCCAGTAAATTAGTAGGCCTTGCCAACTGGAGGTAATCTGAAAATCCGTCACATTATTATGCTGTGCATTATATTCTTTCCAATGTGCCATTGGAGTGTCATAAACAAAATTCACTTACAGCTTCCAGTAAGCAAGAAAAATTTCCCATTTTAGGTATGAAATAAGTTTGAGTTCATTCCTCTTTGGTACTGGGATTGGGCTGACCCATGTACTGATATTGTGTTTTATAAGGTAAGAGTGAATGTTTTTCTTGTCCACATAATTTTGTCTTGGTTTTAATCGAGAAGGTGGTGAAATGGCAGAAAGAGAAACCAGTCTTAACCAGGACCATGGGTGTCCAGACCTGTAGTTGCACCCCATGAATGTTTTTTTTTTTTTTTTGCTTCTTATTCTTCCTCCTCTTCAGTATTAGGTAACTTTATAGGAAAGGGTTCCTCTGATTATTCGTAGGTGGTATTGTTGTAATGAGGTTTGTGATACTTGATTAATCAGGGATGTACGTCATTTTAACAGAAATTATACCAACCCATAGGGCCTGATAAATTGGCATGTTGAGTTGTTTCAATTTAACTAAAAACTGGGTATTTGTGGTGTTCTTGCATCTGGATAATACCACCCACCACTGTGCTTCACCTTTTCACACAACACTCCAAGGCTCTTTCTATACAGCACCATAGGGGACAAACAAGGAGCCTTGGTGCATTTCACCTGCAGTTTGATATTACTTTAAGTGGTCTTCTTTATGTGTGGTACCAATCCAGTAGGACCAAAATCCTAATTTATTTTGTGGTCAGACCATTTTGTGTACCAAAGACTTCAAGGGGTCAGTAATTTTTTTATTTTGAATGGCTCTGCACTTTCGAGGGTTACGGGGTACAAGTATTGAAGATTTAAGTATCTTATTTTTATTAATATAGCTTCAGTGGCATGTATAAGACACAAGATATTAAGTCTTTTCCTCTGTGGATTGATTCCAAGGCAGTACAGTATGCACACTGCCAAAGGTCTCCTGCTCATATAGGGCATCCCACATAGATGGGGTGCTTAATATCAGAGAATGGCTAGGTACATAGTCTCATGCCCTGATACTTATTTTTCAAGTTAATGTGAATTTTCCAAGTTCTGATAGGCTTGCTTAAGGAGGGTTGGGTTTGGCTGTGTAAGGCACCCAAGTTTTTATGGTCAATATAAGTGCCAATTGGTTCTTTTTTTTTTTTACTAACTTGGGCTCATTCCAAAAGACCTTTTGCTGGCAATATTGTTGGGTTCTTAATTAAGGTATAAGAGGTAATCATGAAACCTCTATGCTTTGATTCCATGTCCTGTATTTCATGGATCACTCCTCACCAGTTACATAATAAGTCGATTTTCAGGTTTGATTCCTCATATTTTTATTTTGTTTTGGACTGAGCTGCATTTGAAATGTCAAATACAGTAATTGTAGTCAATCAGAATTTCCATTTCATGGCAATATGGTGTTAAAGCTTTGTCTCCAGTGGTCAGATTTTAAATTATGCAGTGTATTTAGTTCTCTCCATTAGCAGGTAAATATTTCCGTAGTAATTGAAGTTTTTTTTCAATTGATCATTTATTGGCCTTTAACAAATTAATTACAGGCCTTCAAAGGATGCCATAGCTTCTAGGTCAGGAAAATTGATAATTGGTTTTGGGAAAATTATGGTTTGCTTGTGGTTTCTGGCCATAAACTTATTGCATTTTACGTTTGCTGTTCTTCAGTGGGTTTTGCAAACATCAGTTTTAAAAAAATTGAATCGTGTTATGGATCTGTTCCTTTGAGAGTCTTTAAACTTTACAAGTTAGAAACCTAAATCTGGTATCAAAACATGTTTTGATGGAACATCACATACAGTACTTAAAATATTTAGATAAAATTGTGGAACACCAAACTCAAGTCTATTACAGTATATCATAAGCCCAGTTTGTCCAAAAATCCGGATGCCAGAAATCCGGACCACCCGAGAATCCGGACTTTTCAAAAACTCACTTTTTTGTTTTTTTTAAAGCTGGCTTTTGTGTGTATGTACGTATGCATGAGTGCCACAGCGACAACAAGCGACCACGCGGTCGCCACTTTAAAACGAGCAATCAAACTGACAACGTATGTAATTTTGAGTCCTACTCTTTCCATTTACAGAGCCCATAATAATGGCTCCTAAAGTAGATAAACTTCGATGTGTGAAGAGGAAGAACAACACCTTGAAATTGAGTGACAAACTTTAAATAATTAAAATAGAACATGGTGTGAGCAATACTGTTCTAATGGAAACATACAACATTGGAAGTCTACAATTTATGATATAAAAAAGGCAAAGAATAAAATTCTAGATTTCACGGCTTTTTCTTTAAAACTGCTCATTTTGATAAAAGAAGCATGCTATATTTGCTAATGAATAAACTATCAAAATGTACCTGTTCATCTCTTCTTTAGTCCTCAAATTTGAATTTTATAAGTACTGCCTGAGAATCCGGAAAATCCGGACCGACCCAATCCCCAAGCAGTCCGGATTTTTGGACTTGTACTGTGGTAGTCAGTATTTATTAGCAAAGCATTGAAGTGTGACCTTTTAAAAATTACCGAGGAGATGTTTTTTCTTGTTCACCTGTTTTGATTATTTTGCTTATTACACAGTATTAAGTATTGCCCTGGTATTACACTGTTTGTAGCACAAAAATTGGGAAAGGAAGTGGGAGTTTAGGAACACAGAATGTAGTTATGGTGTGTTGTTGTGTGAAGACTGTTTATTTATTGCCATAGAATCCACTCACTTGTAAGTTTGCACCTTTCTATTTGTGAGTGCTCCTTTCATTCTGCTCATTGTTTTTCTTGTTAAATGTGAGTAAAATGAAAGACCAGGGGCCATTCTCTGACTTTGCCATTGTTTATTGTGTATATACTCTTTCTATAATTTTTTTATTTCTATTATTTCAAGAAGGATGGGGAGAAGATTTTTTCAAAATTTATTACCGAGAGATGTAAGTAACCACAATGGCTAATGATTTGAGAGCTGCTGGTTGTGGTAAGAAATTTTACTACGTAAAAGGAGTTAGAGGCAGTGAGTAGCCAAGCTATCCACACACTTTCTCAGAAGCCAGCTCTATTAATCAGGAACTCTTCTTTCTTTCTCCCTTACAGCTTTGGGCCAGGTTTCACCTCTGGTCAGCAACTACGTTCATGGCAACTATACCTGTACGTAACTCAGCACATGGGTAGTATGTATATATATATATACAAAACACACACATGTATAAAATGAAAGTTATAGTAATTCATAGCTAGTGTCAGCCACATGCGCTTGCGATGCGCTTTAGGGCAGCACTGCGTGCGCCAGCAAACCCGCGCTTGGGTGTTGCGTTACTTTGTGGAGAGCTGCAAACAGGTATGGTAAACTTGAACTATTCATCCTGTCTCAGATATTCTTTGACTTGGAGCACAAATATCTGGACAACTATAGTCCAAATCCCTTTTGTTCAAACCTCTGTAGCTCATTAGTCATGATTGTGCTGCGTGTCCAGGAACATCTGAGGGGTATCTTGATAAGGATATTAAAATGGCTTTCCTTCCAGATGGTAGAGCATTTCTCTTGTCCTCTGTCTCCTTTTCTTTTCATTTTCTAAGTCTCAACCTCATAGACTGACTTGTTTTTCCCCTGGAACTTTCATTATGGCAAGTCAGTTTTATTGAGAGTTTAGCATTGTAGATGTGCACAATGCCAGGTCAAGTCTATTTTGATGTATTAAGTTGAAACCATTGGTTAATGAATTCAAGGAGACAGAGAAGGAGAGACATGCTCAGTATTCTCATTCATGTGCGCGCATCCTGCGTTGGCGCTAGGCAAAGTTAGACAGGGCGCATCTGCAAACTTATACTTTCAGACACATACCCTCCCCTTCTTGCAGCTGCAGCTGCTAATAGCTATGTGGCTGAAGTTAGGCCCCCTTGAAAGTGTCTGGAGCTGCTCTTGAAATATATGTTTTTCTTATTAACCTTGCAGTTGGATGAGCCTCTCTCACCAGATATAATTGGCTTGATTCTAGCATTGCTCTTAAGTACTAAGGTTCTTAGATAAGCAAGAGCAGGACATTGCTGGCTGCTCTAAATGATATATAAGCGTGATTAACCTAAAGCGCTGAGTTGCGTGTAGTGAGTGGTTACCATTTGCATCGTCACTTCAGGGTTCAGTAAGGGCTGGCGCGAAGTATTTATGTCTGGCGACCAGGAGCCATGGATCTTCAGGGGAGGACTGACCGCCGAATTGCAAGTATGTATGAACATGACTTGAGGAAGGTTTGGATGGAATTCCTGATGGTTATACTCAAAACCTTTCTCCAGTGGTACCAATATTTTCAAGCTGATGTACTTGAACATTTCTTAATAATTTATTCTTTGTGTAGGAGAAAGAAGCAGTCGGGGATTTCACCTTGCCTTACCTCATGTGCGCTGCGCCGCCTTGCGACCTGAGTACCACTTTTCTTGGATGAATTTAAAATGATATTGATAGTAGTTAGCTTTTGCAGGTACAAGAGGAAACAGAAGAAGATTTTCGTGATGAAGTCACCATCAGCTGCGCTTCAGCGTTTTTCCATCAGCCGCGCTTCAGCATTTTACCATGTTTTGATGCCATAGGCTTCGTGCAGCCTAATCTTGATTGAAAGGAGTAAATCTGTTGATATGAAGAAGTTGAAAATGTGGTACTCAGGTACTCTTTCTCTTTCACTACCTAGGGATGAGTTGATATCCTCCAGGAATTATTCTCTTCAGGGATAATGGTATGTAAATAAACCTAACAAACATTGGGTTCTGGTAACAGTGTGCATATCATGCTTTTCCAGTAGTAATTCAGTATAAAGTAAATGGGTGGCATTTATCTTTTAATTTTGAACCTTTTACTGATATAGAAAAACTCACTGGAGTATCTACAACTTCTCCCTCACATTTAGTAATGATGACTTGGAACTCATGCTTGTTGCACTGCCCACAGCGGCTCATACCTGTAGATGCGAGCAACGACCTCTTTGTGTACAAAGCTCCAGAAGTACCAACAAAAAACAGCTATTGCATCCGGCCATACCTGCCTGAAGATCGACCTAAGCTATACAGCCTGATACTCCGCACATCAGATGATCGAAGGGATGGCACTACCTTATATGCAGCCCATCCAGACTTGCCAGGCGACCTGTAAGTAGTTCTTGTTTTTAATGATTATATTGATGGGTATAAAAAGATATAGATTTTCTCGAGGATTGTAACCAGTACCCCTTGTTTAATTAACTGGGCTAGTTACAAGTTCCCTGCTGACTTAGGCCATTAGAATAGGATTGTTACCATCTGCATATGGTGAGTTGACAGGTTTTAAAGCACAAGTTTATATTGCCTTCAATAGATATGGATTTAGAAATAGAAGGGACTTGAAGCAACAGTGTGGAAAAAGTATTCTTAGGGCATCGATTTTTGTACACAAGCTCCTAGGTTTTGCGCTGCATGTATGGAGATTCATATTACTGTAATTATAAGCACTTTGCCTGTTTACACCAAGAAATGGTGTTACAGTAATTAAATAAATAGTTGTCAGCATTTATTCTTATTATTCCTCATTCATATTAAGTTTGATGTGCAACTCTTGGTTGACCTACATTTTGAGTGACTGAATAGTTTAGTTTTGGGCTTTCAACAGGTTTATTTCTAAAAACAAAAAGGCATTGGGAGAGATGAGACAATTTTGCTTTTTGAATATATTCAAGGTGTCCCCTTATCGGAGACTAAAAATATTTGGAGTAGGTTCGTTTAAAGAAGTTATAATAGTACAGTCAACCCACAGGGTACTGCAGAAAGTGAGAAACGCGTAAAGTGAACAACATAACATATGGGATTAATTGAAATGGAGACCGGCTGACCCCCAAACTCCACTTTTTCCGACACAATACCTATGTTCTCGTAAAAATAACAGCTTAATTTTATGATATGCACATACAATTAATAATTAAGAGAAATATCAATAATATTAGGTTTTTTAACACTTACATTAGTAGAAAAGATGGCTGGGCACACGGGGATGGGGGGTTGGTTCCGAGGCAGAAGGCAGATTGTTGGCCCTCACCTGTATCACTTGTATCAATTGTATCACTATCCACCACAGAGGCTTGCAGGGCCTCTTTGTCAAACCCCTCAAAGTCCATATAAGTCCATATCCTCACTATAATTATCACTATCACTGACTTGGGCCGGCTGTGGTGGGTGAAGAACTCGGTAATGTTTTGATGACTGGGCGACCTTGTGCGCACCCTGCTCGCGCTGCTTAAACAACATGGCGGGAGGTTTGGATCAAAAAATGGCGCGGCTCGCCAGCCGCTCTCCGCGTAAAGGGGTACACGCACCGCGGAATGTGAGCATTCCGGTTTCGGCAGGGTACTGCGTAAACGTGGAAACGCGGAATGTGGGACCGCGTAAAGCGAGGGTTGACTGTATAGGAAAAACTTGCTGTCAGGAAGTTTCACAAGTTGCAAGTTAAGGATATAAAAGAGTAAATAGGCAGAGGTTCTGTAAGATGGAATGTCAGCAGACCTCATTTGTTGAAGGGTGCATGATGTGGGCAGTATAAAGCGTACTGTATTTCAGGGTTGGAAGTATTAGTACTGTGGGAAAGTTGCAAGGTACCCCTGTGAATTTGTAGTGCCAGATATTTTTTGGATAACACATAATTACTGTGTTGTTGAAACCACCACCTCCACCTATCCCACCAGTCGAATAAAAAAATGTGAAGTGCCCCAGCATTTCCGCTCCACTCATGAAAGCAGTTTTTAATCTGGGACAGCATATAATATGGTTCTGATTGAAGTGTGTGCAATGAAAAATTCTTAGATAATCCTGCATATGCTTACTAACAAGTAAACATCTATCATCCCCGACCTCGTCTTCCTCCAATTATTCCCAATGCCCCTTGAGCTGTTCTTACACACTAGCACACAGAGAATGGGGAGGATATTACTGCACCCCATTTGTAGATTTATTGGAAACTATAATTTTGTTATCTTCTTACAGGGCAGTTGGAAGCTACTTAGAAGCACTTAAGGGTGAAGGTATGAAGGATGTGGTTGTTATGGTGGTAGAAGATGAATGGGGTGATCTCGTTGCATATAGCTCAATCGCTGGGAATGCTATGGAACATAACAGACGTGAGGCTGTGTATCGTGAGAGTATTCGAGACAAATACCCAAAGGTAAGTTCTTATGGTTATGTGTAGTACTGTAATTACTATATTTCTTTCATGTTTCCTTTGCACCTCACTTGAATGGTGTCTTTATTCCCTGTATAGGAAACCTTTAAATGACCATGGTTATGAAATTGGCCTTTGATCACAAGTCTTGCTATAGGATTGTGTCATTGTGGTGGCTTGGAACTTTTATCATTTTTAATGTCTCAGTAAATTAAGTTATCATTAAAGCTTTGGGTACCAATAGTATTTAGTCCCAATTTCATAATTATCATTAAAATAGTTAGTTTTTCCCTTAGTCATTACCTTATTCCTATTCTTTTACTTGAATCATCCTTTATATGCCTCTATTCTCTTCCTCTCAATTTTTCATGTAACCCTCTTTTCTCCTCTATTCCTTACCCTTTCATTTCGGAACACACAAGGCAGCGTGAAACAAATACAGACTGGTCAACAAAGTGACGATGGGAACTGAGTAATTAGATGTTGCACAATTCTTCTGTCCTGGGCCAAGGTAGCCTTCATAAAGTGATTTTAGAATAGGGAATCATGTACTAATGCCTAAAATTCATGTTTTATTGATTTGTAAACAAATACTGGTGACATCAAGGTATGTGTTTACAATATGACAGCAATGCTGAGCACAACTGCATTAACGATAGATTGCAGTAGATAGACTATTTATTGTAGTAAAGAGAAGTGAATTATTCAAAGACATTTATCGGTTTCAAGCTTTTCCATGGGAGTATGACCTTTTCATTTCCTTGGGTGTGCAGTGCCTTTGTTGCATGCAAGTTGATGAGTATTTTCATTTTCCGTTGCTGGCAGCTCTACATATAGTAAGTTTTTTTGTGTGTATTAGGAGTGAAGTGAAGATAGAAGCTTGATTAGAGAAAGGATGCACACACACAGGTCTTTGGTGCAGTGAAATAATGTGTAATAAACATGGCTAAGTTTACATGTATTTGATATTCAGAGTTGTAATACTGACCACTAAATGACATTTAAATATTGTACTTTCAGGTAATCAGAGAAGAAGGGATGATGTTGACACCTTGTGAAGAGCTCCTAGTGTCATTAGCCTCAGAGCCACAACCTCCCCCAAAAGCCCTTGTTGCTTCTCACCCCATCGCTGTGTCCCTTTCTTGTCTATTCTCTCTTAATGATGAGTCTATTAGCAAGAGATTGCTAACTTGTATGCTCGCATCAGTCAGAGCTCGTGGTAAGTTTTGGTCATGTTCTGAAGACCATTCTCATCTTGATTTTCCACTTTGGCTTGTATATTTTTTAATTTGTCTATTAGTATTCATTTATCTTTGTGCCTGTTGTCTAGTTCATCTCCGCCCTTCATCAAATCATAACAAATATCTTTCTTGAGACATTATTTTATGCTCATCACAACCTGTTGTTAAATCAAAGCTGCCAGGTTCTACATAGGCCAGCAATTATCTCAGATGGTTCATTTGTATACTTAAGTGTGGATTGCACAACTGAAAATGAGGTCTATGGTGTTGCCACTGTATAACATGTGAATCTAAACCAACATTAAAAACGTAAATTTTTGGCAGTTATGTTATGTTAGAGGGAATGATGAGGCTAGTTTATATGGATTAATTGGATTTGGTGTGAAAGGTCTGGACTAATTCTATATATACCTGAAGTTGAAATTATTGGTATTTTTTCACATGTAGCTGGCTAGTTACTATGATGTGTGACTTAAATTAATAATTCTCCAACACAATTGTTTAAAATGCAATAAACAAATGTAAGACCTATCTTAGTGTGAATATCATTATTTTCACGCTAAAATATCCGCATTTATAGTTTTGTTGGTGCATTGTCACTTGAATTTAGCACGACAACTTTACATTCCCAGTTTGTGGAGCTCATTAACTATAAGTAGTGTACTGTACTTTACCTTATAATGAATATGGTTGGATTCACACTACACTTAACAGTTATGTAAGGCTTAATTTATTTTGAATTGGTGTTTCACTATTTTGGCAAAAGCTTGAATCGATATAGGTCAAATCATGTTGAAGCATTACACACACAATAAGCAAATGTGAATTGTTCAAGTAGAAATGGGACCCACAGGCTTGCTTTATATAATCTTAATATAACAGTGCAACATCACACTGAATTAAAGTATGCAGTGATCTGGCAAGACCATCCATTTCCAATCTAGTGATTCAGTCACATGATCTGGAGGTCTGCAGTATCATTTCCTATAGGGATAGTTTATGCTTAACAATATGAAATTTTTTTCAGAATTTTAGTTAATTCATCCTTATAATTTGTGTGTAGGAGATAAGTAAGTAAGTCAGGTGACCTCTTCCAGTTTGGTTGGGCAACACATCTTAATAATCCATTATACAAACATTATCTTTTACCAGATAATACAAACCTATTTTCTAAGAGTAAAATATCCATGAGCGAAAATAGAGACGATACTCATTCCAAGCTAACCTGGCCCGTAGCCCATGCCCCTCTTCTATACAGGTTGTACCTCTCTAGTCCTGCAACCTCGGGGCCTGACCGGTGCCGGACCATGGAAATTCACCCTTTTCCTGGATAGATAGTGACTTGTGCTTATGCTTGGAAGCACTAGAACCACTTTCTCTGCTTCATGGTCTCTTTGAAGACATATTGAAGGGTTAAATGTTGTACAGTAGCTTCGACGTTTTCTATTTGAACACACAAAAAAAAAAAACATTTAAAAATTTTGCCAACGATAATTAATGGTAAAGAAAAAGAGAGATCGCGTATGTACGTGCGCACACGTGAAAACATATCGTCATTACTTTACATAAGAATATGAAAGCAACACTTATTTACTGTTCATATATATTTTAATATTTCTGAATTTGTTTTTATTGAATTAATGTTTGTGTGTGCAAAATTAACAATACAATTTATTAATAATTATACGTGGAATATTAAAACACACGATGAGACGAGACGGCTGCTGGCATTGTTTGTTAAAGCTTACAAAACCAGTGACTGATTGGTTCTACATATAAAACTTAAGAAAATAAGACCCTGATTGAAGCTGTAGTAAAATTAATGTAAGAAAATTAATATGGGCGTTTGAAGTACCTGTAATGTTATCTAATGTTAATAAATGGAACAATATAAGTAGCTAACCATTAATGGTAAAAAAAAAAGTGTGCGCGTATGTAAGTGCGCACATGTGAAAACATATCGTCATTACTCTACATAAGAATATGAAAGCAACACTTATTTACTGCTCATATATATTGAAGGGTTAAATGTTGTACTCTGTATAGACAAGCAGAGAGAGAGCAGCCGAACTGCTGGATGTAAACAAACCTTAATTTCCTGTGGCTTTGTTGTTGTTGTTGTTTTACGGGGATTATCCCACCCGGGCATATGTCACTGACCCACATTGGGGCCTGAGGGGCAAAAATTTAATACTCCTGTATTAATAATTCAGATAAGTAAAACAAAAAAAATGTCTATCTACCTGTTGGACAAACTAAAATGGTTCCGGACCACAGAATGCCGGACTAGAGAGGTACAACCTGTACTAATAGCCGATTGATTCTTAAGAAAATTCAAACTAAATGTGTTAACAATTGGTAAGCAGACCTGTTATTATCTAACATAATGTTAAATATATGATTTATCAAAATGCAAATCATTTCAAGGCATTAGCACTTCAGAAAGGATGTTAGAAATTTTTTAATATCTATTACAATACGTTGACATAAATACGTGTATATACTCGCAGTTAGGGGGGGGGGGGGGGGGTAAGCGCTCGGGAACCAGTCGACTCTTTGTAGCTATAGACGAGGCCAGCTTAGCATGGAAATACTATAGTGTATGTATCTTATGGCTTAGTTTATTTGGATGAGTGAACTTTTCTGTGAGGTGTCATCTGCCAGGAACAAGTGGCATCACCGCATAAACAAACACTTCCCCTCATACTGGTATAATTTGAGACAGTAGGAATACAAGACGTCTATATATACCTCTCTTGAACATCAACTTGAGAATAAATTGTAAATGTGCTGTGAGCTTTTGTTTATTTAATGCATATTTGTTGTTGCTAAACTAAATCATTACTCAATGTTCTGTACAGCACTAATGTGAGCCTGTGTCATGTAGACATAGATAATGCAGTACAGTATATCCTTAATGTTTTGACTATTAAAACTTTGTTTTATTGTGCATTTGTGGAAAAGTGATCCCTTAGGGCTGTAATTTAACAGTATCTTGGAGGGAACATTGCAGTAATGGATGGTTTCGGTAGTGCCTGAAACGTAACCCTCATTTTTCCATTGCATAATGAATTTCATTTTTTATTTTATCAAGGCATGTATGACATATGAGACAGTTAGGGGTTGCACTTTGATTGCCTCACTCATTTTAAGTAGTTAAATCAAAGTGTTTTGAACTTATAAAAAGTTTTTGACTGCCTGTATTTATAACAGTAAAAAAAAAACTCCACCAACAGTTCCACATTCACATACAAAAATTGAAAAATTTAGCAATACTGTACTGATTATAAACAGTACCTACAGGAATTTTTAACTAAAAATGCATAAACTGCTTGACTGAAAGTGTCCAACTGCATTTTGGACATTGTGTGTGTACACCATAAAGCAGTCTTGCCCACATGAAAATTAGCAAAATATGTTGATCATATTTAGAACAAAAACAAATCTTCATACGCAATCCTGATTTATTTGTATTATGTAATTTTCCAGGTATGTTTGCCGGGCACTGCAGTGTGAGTGTAGGAGAGAAGAACAATTTGGAGCTATACAGTCGACATGGGTTCCTAGAGGTGACAACACAAAGTACAACACTCTACTTAGGAAGATCTTTCTGATGATCATCTTTGCCTAACAGTGCAAATGTCAGGCGCTGCTAGTACCTGCTATGTTGCAGCCAAATTTGAGTGAGAACTCATCTCGGGTCCCTTATGTCAATCGTTGGTATCAAGTCAGTTTTACCTAGCAAACATTTCCAGTCTTCAGCATTAATTGATATGCTGGGTCGTGGAATTGGAAAAGCTATTACAATTTCACTCGACTTCCACTGATTGTCTTTGATACTGAAACTATCGAGTGATTTGGGAGTGAGTGATCATTCTCAAGGCTGTCTGCATTCAGTTTAAGCTATTGCAGCTGTTAAATGTGATATTTATGTTGACAAGTTGTTAGCAAATTTCATAAGAGGAATAGTTCCTGGTTTAAGAAATTTGAATCATTTCTTTAAATCATTTATTTAGTCTTTGCCAACAATTTGTTTACTTATTTTTTATTTTTTAGTCATATACATATTACAGAGTATGTTTGAATATATGTAGTCATGTAAAGTTACAAATCTTTTTATCAATAAAATTATTCTATGATGATTGTCTTTAGTGTTTCCTTAATAGTTCTAGTTAGGAACAAATTTACTAATACAGTATGACAATAAAAAACAAGAGGAAATTATATGGTGTAATTTCCTCTGGTGTTCCTGAGGAGCAACAAATTTATACCCAGGAGGCAAGGTCTGAGAGAATTTGCAAGTTGATGCATCTGGGACATGGAACAAAGTTGGACTCGTACTATTAGTAATTAAAAAGTGCTAGTAGTACTAGTTTGAAGTGGTGCCAGTATCCCTAGGTATATGGTGCCAGTAGCCCTGGGTACACAAAGTAGCACCAATACCCATGGGTACACAAAGTAGCACGAGTACCCATGGGTATACAAAGTAGCACCAGTACCCATGGGTACACAAAGTAGCACCAGTACCCATGGGTACACAAAGCACCAATACCCATGGGTACACAAAGTAGCACCAGTAGCCCTGGGTACACTTGCTACAAAGTATCTGCGAGGTGGTGTCTGATGAATGTCAAAATGAACACTGCGACTCCTGTTGTCTCGGTAGGGTTGTCAAAATCCTTCATCTGTTGTCATATTGTACAGCAAAAAAATTTGCGGAGACTTTTTGTAGCAAGTTTACATGAATTACCACCAGTAACCTTGGATACATGAAGTAGCACCAGTAACCTTGGATACATGAAGTAGCACCAGTAACCTTGGATACATGAATTACCACCAGTAACCTTGGATACATGAAGTAGCACCAGTAACCTTGGATACATGAAGTAGCATCAGTAACCTTGGATACATGAAGTAACACCAGTAACCTTGGATACATGAAGTAACATCAGTAGCCTTCAGTACATGAAGTAGCAACAGTAGCCCTGGGTACATGAAGTAGCACCAGTACCCTTGGTTACATGAAGTAGCACCAGTAGCCTTGAGTACATGAAGTAGCACCAGTACCCTTGGTTACATGAAGTAGCACCAGTAGCCTTGGTCACATGAAGTAGTACCAGTACCCTTGGTTACATGAAGTAGCACCAGTACCCTTGGTTACATGAAGTAGCACCAGTACCCTTGGTTACATGAAGTAGCACCAGTACCCTTGGTTACATTAGGTTACATGAAGTAGCACCAGTAGGTTACATGAAGTAGCACCAGTTACATCCAGTAGCTACATGAAGTAGCACCAGTAGTAGGTTACAGTGGTACCAGCACCAGCCATGAAGTAGCACCAGTAACCTTGGATACATGAAGTAGCACCAGTAACCTTGGATACATGAAGTAGCACCAGTACCTTGGTTACATGAAGTAGCACCAGTACCCTTGGTTACATGAAGTAGCACCAGTAACCTTGGATACATGAAGTAGCACCAGTAACCTTGGATACATGAAGTAGCACCAGTACCCTTGGTTACATGAAGTAGCACCAGTAGCCTTGGTTACATGAAGTAGCACCAGTAACATTGGATACATGAAGTAGCACCAGTAACCTTGGATACATGAAGTAGCACCAGTACCCTTGGTTACATGAAGTAGCACCAGTAGCCTTGGTTACATGAAGTAGCACCAGTAACCTTGGATACATGAAGTAGCACCAGTAACCTTGGATACATGAAGTAGCACCAGTACCCTTGGTTACATGAAGTAGCACCAGTAGCCCTGATACATTCCCTTCTATTTCACTTTCCCCAGTCCACCGCCGAGATTTGTCCCCGGAACTTTACCAAGTCTGAGACTCTGGATCCGCCAGGCAGGAGTTGTAGACCTTTAGTGGGGTGTTCACTACAAGCTCATTCAAGACCAAACAATAGTCCAACACTGGCGCAGTTACAGATACATTCATTTCTGGAACCAGTACATGCCTTGTGCTTTCCAACAGTGTGTAACAGAGACGTCACCAACTACCCAAGCGGTTAACAGAATTTATAACAAGCCGATCTTCCTACAACCCTTTAACCCTAGATAGTTTGTGGGGTCCAAAAAATGATATTCGGGAGATGACTGGACAAACAGTAAGATCAGAATCAGGTTAATTGTAAGGAAGTTTGATACAAGAATATTTCCTTTTGTAAAATATGTTAGATTGGATGTTTATATTCCCCAAATATTTCTAGAAATAAATATCAAGCGATCATATGAATATGCAAACATCTCCTTGTTTTGCTGACCAGACCCTCATTTTCGTAGCATGATTTAATATGGAATGATTTTTTTTATTTAATATTGATGGGATAACTGAAGCAGGGAAGATACTGTTACAACTGTCGGAACGGTTGAGACTTTTACTGTCTCGTGGGAACCGACATTATACTCCATAATATTTTGCTCTACCTTAAGAGACGAGTATTTGTTACAGTTACTTTGCTGCTATTATGATTAAGCTTTGAAATCTCACAATAAAGCGTATCTTTTACACACAATTAAAAACTACAGGCGATTTATTATACCCGAAGTCTGAGGTAAGTTGGCCAACCCACAGGGAGTCGGACCCATAGTCCCAGGCCCAGCAGTCCAGCAGCTGATCACCAAAACAAACCACCATGGAGGCGATGAGGACGTCTTTACTCTCGTGTATCAGGTCGAAAATAAGTCTCTATGGTATGGTGATGAGTTTCGTTTTATAAGTGAGGTGAAATCTTTGATTGTGTGCAAATGGTGTTGTAATTGAATTCGTAATATAGTGCTTAAGACTGTATGAGTGTGATGGTCAAGGTCCATTCTGATTGTTTTAACAATACTGTAGCTAGTTTACTTAATGAGGTCTCGGGTGTCACACATTTATTTATATATAGGGTAAAGGTGTAGTTTAGGGCTAACACCAGAAGGAGTTTGTAGAAATCGTTGAAAATTTTTCTGCACTAATAGCATACAAATAAGCACAGAAATGGAAGGACAATGCATTGAACCTAATAGAACCTGACCTAACATACCTTTAGGTTGGGTATGTTTGGTCAGGGGGGGGTGGGGGGGCACGGACGTATATTTGATCGGACGTTGTTCGGTCAGACGTTAACCAGCGCATGACTGTACTTCAATTATGTTAAATAATTGTTAAAATGACTAAGAATTTTAATATAAGACTTAAAATTATTGAATAGTACAAACTTCTTGATATTTACTGTATTGGCGGACTCATACAACAGCTAGTGAGCAAGCGAAAACAAGTTGAGGGGCGCTCGTAAGGAATTCGTTAATTGAGGGATTGCTCGTTAAACGAAGTGAAGAATCTTATGGAAGGTACTGTAATTCGTTAACCGAGGGATCACTGTACGTTTATTAGCTACACGAACTGGGCGACTGCTCTCGCGTCCACAAAAGACTTAAAATTACACCATATCATTGTAAGGTCTTGTTGTTTGATATGCCAGGGTATCTGAAGGGTGGAACCCCACTGCTAGGAAGTTAGGTAAGGTTAGGTAGATTTCTTAGGTGAAGTTGGTGAGGTCTTCTCATAATGCTTCCGTTTCTTTTTAACACATATGCCTAAACTACGACAGTGTCCACTATAAAACACAGTGAAATTGCAGTGTTTTTAAATTCGCTTTCTATGAAAACTCAGTGGCGGGTCAGTCAGTAATTACCCACATATTTGTTTTTGTTTTTTTTATCCTCTTCTCCATTGATCGGCTTGTTAACTGCTTGGGCAATCGGTCACATCTCTGTTAGGCACTGCTGACAAGTACTGGGCATGCACTGGCTCCTGAATATATCTGAACCTGCTCCAGTGTTGGTCAAGTCTTAGAAGGCTCTCTGGCAGATTGTTCCAAGAATTCACAATTATCACTCCTTGAGAGGCTGATGTCTGCCAGCTCCAGGTATGTGCACTCAACTGAGGAGTACCCTCTGAGATGCTTATACACTTCAATTAAGTCACCCCTTGCCCGTCTGTATAATAATCTAGTCAGTTCCAGGCGTTCTAATCTCTGGGTAGCTGAGGTGCTGTAGTGCAAGCACCAGTCTGGTGGCCCTCCTTTGGACATTTTCAACCAACTGACAGTCTCTAGCATATTTTGGGGACCAAACGGGGTGACAGTACTCCAGGCGAGAATTCTTCACCAACTTTCCTTGGGATGAATGTTGCTTTTCCACTCGGGATGCCTCGGTATGTGCTGACAGCATTGCTGGAGTTATACAGGGTGGTATAAGTGCATTTATCCCATCTTCTACCAAAACTTTCACATTACAATCATGGTTTGATTGCTCATGCTCTCTTGCATGCAGGGTGAGAGATAGGGCACATCGAGCTATGAAACCATCTCCTCCTATTACCCACACCTCTTTCATTACTTCTAGGATTCGTTGTAAGGCTATTCTTCGAAGGGCCAAGCGGAATTTTTTAGAAAGAAAGATCGCTGTCCTGACTAATTCTTCCTCTAATAAATTGTTCTGGTCCTTAACCAAAAACATCTGTAACAACCTCTGCACTCCCTCTTTTCCTCCTCTCTTCCGATCTGATAACTTTATAGCCAACTCTCCCCCTGACAAAGCCAATCTCTCTGGCACCTTATTCTCCTCTAATTCCACCTTAGACAATTCCCACTTTATCCCTCCTACCCCTGCTCCTCCTACTGAACCTATGCACTTTCTTATAATCTCCACTTGCTGGGTTTGCGGTGTGTTATCCAGGTTGGATGTGAGTAAGGCGCAAGGACCGGACGGAATACCCCCTCGTGTTCTGAGAGAGTGTGCTGAAGCTCTGGCCTCTGTGCTTGCTCGCCTCTTTTGCCTCTGCCTCAAAACCCAAACTTTTCCTTCTTCTTGGAAGCATGCCTTGGTTCAGCCCATCCCGAAGAAGGGTGACCATTCTAATCCTTCTAACTGTCGTCCCATTGCCCTAACTTCATCCCTCTCTAAGATTTTCAGAACTATCTTGAACTCCCATTTTCTCCGTCACCTTGAACGCCATTCTCTTTTGTCGGATCACCAGTATGGCTTTCGCCAGGCGAGATCTACTGGTGATCTGCTCTCCTATTGCACTCGTCTTTGGTCATCCTCTCTTAGGGATTATGGGGAAACTTTCATCATGGCCCTTGACATCTCCAAAGCATTTGACAGGGTATGGCATAAATCTTTGCTTTCTAAACTTCCCTCTTATGGTTTCTCTCCCCCACTTTGTTTTCTAATCTCTAGCTTCCTTGAGAACCGATCCATGGCAGTTGTTGTCGAGGGATCGCTCTTTCTCTATCAATAGTGGTGTTCCACAGGGTTCTGTACTTTCACCTACTCTCATCCTTATTTTTATCAATAATATAATTTACTTCACACCAAAACTAATTCTATCCATTCTTACGCTGATGATTCTACTCTTCACTCTTCTTCACATTTTCCCCTTCCTCCTAACTCTTAAACTAGATCTGTTTCTAGAGCTTATATCATTACTTCTATCAATGCAGATATGTGCAGCATCTCTGAATGGGGAGGTACAAACTTGGTAAAATTCTATAGTAATAAAACTCAGTATTTACCAATTACACTTTCTAAATAAGATGATTTCCCACCAATTACATTTCAGGACGCTATCATTCTGTCAAATTCTGAAATAAATATGCTAGGCCTCACCATTTCCTCCAATATGTCCTGGAAATCACACATCCGTAACATAGCTAAAACCGGCTTTCTTCTCTATTTTTAATTTCTTTCTGTTCTTATTTTTTCGCCCCCCCAGGCCCCGTTGTGGGTCATTTGACCTGTGCCCGTCTAGATATCTGGACAACCTTCTTATAAGACCTACAATAAAATGACATTTACAAATTCCTGATGAAAAGCTATGAATCATCGTTTCATTGGTATTGTGGAAGGTGTAATATTTTGGCAGCGAAAGTGCTAAGTGCTAAGTTAGCTTGGCCATTCTATGGACCAGCTAGCTAACTTGTGTAAAAAACTTATCAGTGTTTGGAAAATTATTAATCACATTTATTGAAGCCTTGTATGTACTGTTTAACCAAATATATGTTGGATAATCCCACGTTGGACAAGACCTTACTGTATTTAAGTCACCCAATTTAGACTTGACAATAAGATGGGATTTCAGGATTCAATTGTTATTTCTGAGATTTCTTTACAGTACATTGTAGGGGTATCGAGATATTAATGTTGTCTAGCACTCAGGATGGAAGGAAACTCTAATGTGGTTTTCTTGTATAATATATAAGTTATATGATAGACAGTCTGGTGCTGGAGGTGCCGTGTGGTGAGGGGCTGCTTGGTAGAGACGTGCGGTGAGTAACTTGTTGAAGGAGGTAGATGTGCAGGAGCTTCGTTAGAGAAGATGTTGCCTGTTGCTGGCCTCCTGGTTGAATGAAATGTTAACAGCGTGGAGCTTGCTGGAGGAGATGTTGCTTGTTCAGGAAGATGGGCCAGAATGAGAGTTGGTTGGTGAGGAAGCTCAGGGAAGGACATGCTCGCTGGCGGGAGCGAGGACCGCCAGGCAGGCGGAGGAGAGGCGAGGGTCGCCAGGCAGCGGCAGAGGAGGAGGTGTTGCTTGTTCAAGAAGATTGGTCAGAGTGAATCTCAAGGGAGAGACAGAGCTTATATACCCCGCAGCAGCCACTATGAGTCATGGTGGGAAAACCCGAGAAGTAGCCGGTGAATAGTTTCGTTGCTAAGATACGGTAACATCTGGTTGGTTGCTAGGGAAGGCGGCACATTGGAATGTGATAGCAGGTGGTGGGCTGCTACGCAGTTAGTTTGTAGGGGAGACGTCCACTACAATACTCCCCCTCCCCTCCAGGCGGTGTAGGAGACTTGTTGATTGTAGAGTTGCTTAGCACATGTGAGGAAGACCGGGCGGTGCATGCCTCATGTGAGACAACGGCGATGGCGTGATGAGCCGATCGCTGAAATACAACTGTCTAGATACACACTATCTGTGGGAGAAGGGAGAAAAAGGGTGTGTGGAGGCGATGAATGTTGTGCTTCCCTCACGACAGGTACAGGGTCGTCAGATGCGCCTGCTGGGGTGTGTGTGGGCCTGGATCAGGAGCAAGGGCTGGGTCAGCAGAAGCGGGTTAGGGCTCGTGACAGCAGCTGGGTCCACGACAGCAGCAGGGTGCAGGACATTAGCAGGGAGTACCTGAGGGAGAAAAGAGGGGGTGTGGAGGCGATGGATGTTGTGTGCTTCCCTCACGGCAGGTACTGCTGGGCCGGGGTCGGCGTCTGAGGCAGGACGGGTGTGCTGGGGTCGTCAGAATGTGGTGCTTGGGGCAGGAAGAGGAGCCGGTGTCTGCTTGAAGACAGGGAGCGTGATCAGTGTCTCCTCCATCCTGTGTGAGTGCTTATCTCCGGGAGTCACCATTGTAGGGGTATCGAGATATTAATGTTGTCTAGCACTCAGGATGGAAGGAAACTCTAATGTGGTTTTCTTGTATAATATATAAGTTATATGATAGACAGTCTGGTGCTGGAGGTGCCGTGTGGTGAGGGGCTGCTTGGTAGAGACGTGCGGTGAGTAACTTGTTGAAGGAGGTAGATGTGCAGGAGCTTCGTTAGAGAAGATGTTGCCTGTTGCTGGCCTCCTGGTTGAATGAAATGTTAACAGCGTGGAGCTTGCTGGAGGAGATGTTGCTTGTTCAGGAAGATGGGCCAGAATGAGAGTTGGTTGGTGAGGAAGCTCAGGGAAGGACATGCTCGCTGGCGGGAGCGAGGACCGCCAGGCAGGCGGAGGAGAGGCGAGGGTCGCCAGGCAGCGGCAGAGGAGGAGGTGTTGCTTGTTCAAGAAGATTGGTCAGAGTGAATCTCAAGGGAGAGACAGAGCTTATATACCCCGCAGCAGCCGCTATGAGTCATGGTGGGAAAACCCGAGAAGTAGCCGGTGAATAGTTTCGTTGCTAAGATACGGTAACATCTGGTTGGTTGCTAGGGAAGGCGGCACATTGGAATGTGATAGCAGTGGTGGGCTGCTACGCAGTTAGTTTGTAGGGGAGACGTCCACTACAAAATTTCTCACTTCATTATTTTACAGGTATCTCTGTGGTAAAGCAACGAATGTGTCATTCCGTAAGTCAGATTGGGGAACAGAAACAAGAGGTATCAAGACTTACTAAAGTGGAACAACCACCACTACTCATCCGCACAGGACAACCCACGCCTCACACACACCCTCACCTCGTCCAACCTGGCGAGGTCATTATTAATTGTTAACTTTAATGTTAAGGATATTGTACAGCTGCCACAGTGATAATGATATTCTTTACATCCTGTTATTGTCAATAAATGAATCCTTTTACACCATCATAACTTTATGTTAGCAAGAATACTGTTTGACTTGAGAATAGATTCAGTGATACTAAAGATATAACTTATATATATTTATGCTTAATTGGTAAAAAGATAGTAATGCAGGTTTAGTTATCTTGTATTTAGCCTAATTTTATTTTATGAAAAGGGATTGCATAGCTAATAGAGCTTTCAGCATGCACTTGCACCTATTGTGTTCTAGTCATGCCAAACCATGATCACAGAGTAAATTTGTATTTCAGGTCACATATGGCATCTCTCGTGGGGAGTATAGTGAACGTCGACACAAGCTGATGGAGAGTCTGGGGAAGGAAGAAGGTAAACACCATGTTGTCATTCTTCCTGCCACTCCCAAGAGATACATGATAGACAAGATTCCTTACCTGTACAGACAGGTAAGTGCTACATTATTTTTGAGTCATTGTGGCCTTGTTTTTATGATGGAGCTCTTAGATTGTGCTGAATTTATATATTTTCATATAAATATAGTCTTGAATGTCTATGTAAGATTGTAAGATATGAGTTTCTTGAATTATTTGAGTACACAGTACTGTATGTGAATATTGATGTTGATGTGTTAACTCTGGTTTGGTGTTTTAATCACTTGTATGATATGTATGCCACAAGACTTTACTCCTATGTTTGACATGGTCTGGTGAAAGTAAACATGGTTTCTATATATGAGATGGCCCTCTGGGGACGTTGTGGATACAGTATCCTTGAATACTAAACCTTCATTAAACAAGGGAGGCGGAGTGGCTGGCACTTATCTTGTCCGCCTTCATATAGCCAACTGTAAAATTAAGTACCCATTCACAGGACGACAGACTAAGGCACACCCTGGGCACTAGTTTGTGATCCTTAGGTCTTGAAAGAATTTATCACTATACAGTACTCTATATAAGTCATCAAAAGGGGTTAAACTTGAAATTTACAATATTTTATTTGCCTGATGACTTATTTTTTACTTTCATTTACTGTATTTTGTCATTCTATTTCTTCTTTTCTCTGAAATTAAGTGATTTTAGATGTATATGATATAGTGGGATTTTAAACATTGTTCTGTGAGTACAGTATGCACATAGCATGTGTTCCGACGTACGTACAAATCTGACTTAAAAACCCAGGGACCCTCTGTATAGAATAACCTTCCTGAACAAGTGAGCAGGTGGTCTCATCTATGAGTACGAGTACGAAGTCTTAGTTAAGAGGTGAAAGAAGATTATTAGGGGTTGAGGGAAAAGTGGTGAAACTGAAATACAGCAGGAGTAGAAAGAATCTGGGCTCAACCAGATAGCTTCATCTTTCTTATTGGTGTTTTATCTTTGTTCTGCTCCCTTGGGTCGTCAGACCTTTGTATTAATATTGGTTTATTTATATAATGCTGCTTATTATTATTATTTCTCATCTATGAGACGAAAGCCTGAGTATATGTAGTAGCCCCACTAGCCCTCCTGATTCAGTAATGATTGTTGTCCAGCACCTGGAGGAAGAACTGGATACTATGCACAACCTTGGTGCCTTTATGCAGAATCCTCATAAATTAATAAAAATTTTAAACCCAGTTAGTCATGTCAATGCTGTGAGCTAAGTTCATCCATTTGTTGCCAACCCACAAATTGTAGGGAAGGTAAAAAGTACATAGCTACACTTTTTTCTCAAGTTTTTGTTTTCATATTAAAGGTAGTCCATGAAGAATAAAACTGTTTGAATTGGGCACATATGGAAGCTTGTGTCAAATCTTTATGGGAAATGTATGTTATGAATTTCTCGTTATGATGTACAGTTTGGGATTTATTATTAGCTTAAAAGAAAAGATTCACAGCTCTAAAATCATCTTTTATGGCAAAGATGCAACCCATTGTATGTAGCAGAATGGGCATGATGCTTAATGTGGGTTTACCTTGAGTCTAATTATTTTAGTCTGCTTTGGGAGGTTGACAATTGGGACTATTGACAGTGATTGTCAGCATAGTAATATGAATGATGAAAGCTTTAATTTTCAGGACACTGACATGCTCTATATGTCAGGATGCTTGGAGCCTAATTGTGTTCTTATGCTACACACACTGCCAGGCAAGAGGGCTCCACTTCATAAATCTGTAATGTTCACCCCTCATCATGAACCTAGTCAAGAATTATGGGATGGCCCACGCACTGGCCCCTCAAATGCCCCAGATGTCTGGGGTGTAGATGCTGGGCTACCACTCGGTGAACTTACACGTTATCTTGGTCATCTTGAATCTGATCTAACCTCTCCTACCTTATGGTATCACTCTCAGGGTGCACCCAACCCAGAAATCCAACGCCAGTTGCAAGGTTGGTTGCTTGGTGGTAGACAAGGAGGAATGGAATCACCAAAATCTCATCTCCATAAACTTCGATTTGTCAAATCTCCTGCAGAAATAGAATTGATGAGAAGAGCTTGCAGAATAAGTGGAGAATCCATAGCAGCCACTATGCGAGCTACAAGAGCTCCTGTAATGGAACACCAGTTATTTGCTATAGTGGATTACCAGAGTAGAATGAGAGGAGCAGATTACTTGGCTTATCCTCCTGTTGTTGCTGGTGGTCCCAGGGCAAATATAATCCATTACATTAATAACAATCAAATCATTAATCCTGGGGAAATGGTGTTGATGGATGCAGGTCAGTAGTCCTTGACAGTAGTGCATGTAACTATTTTTTGTTTGTAAACTAAAAAAAAATTGTCATGTAATTAAGTTGTTATGATGAGTACAAAAATTATTGAGGAATAAGCTGTGAGTATACAAGGGAAAGTGTATTGCAATTATTGTTGAAAGAATTGTCATAAAAGCAGAGAGTATATTGGGGGAAGAGCAGAGTGGGTTTAGTAAGGGATGAGAATATGTTTCAAGAGTTTGTATTAACCCTTAAGCCCCGGGTTAGGGTGTCGCTGGCAGTACCCCTCACCCGGGGGTAAATCGAGAAAAATCAACTTTTCCAAAGGCAATTTTTTACCTTTTTAAATGGTAAAGCAATCAAAGAGGAGTAGAGAAAAAAATATATATTGATCCTCTAGAAACTTCCCTGGCAGTGCTGAGGGAGGGAGATAAGGGGACAGTGTTGTCTTGACAGCTGACGCTCATGGTCACCTACGCACTTAGTAGCTATTTTTAGCTTGCCTTTGCGTCCAAGATAGCCAGTAATGCATATATTTACTGATCATAATACTTATTTGATATACATGTACAGTACTGTAAATAATTCATTTAGAATATTTTTTTTTTTTGCATTATTTTTCATAAAAAGTGCTTGGCAACACACACGCAGTCTGTCGCCAGCCTGTCTGGCTGTCTTTGTGTTTGGTAGAGCAAGTAATGCATCAAATAATAATAATTCCACAAATAAATACATTTATAACATAATCATAGCATTATTTTCCAGTAATACTACATTACAATACAACTACCTACTGTACAGTTACTCCTCGACTTACGACCTATTTGACATACGACCACCCGGACATACGATCGCCTCAGTCGTACCAAAAAAATTTCCAATTACGTATTTTCGAGTCCCGACGTTAGTGATCGTGCTGTGTACTGACAAAATTTTCGTTTGTAATTCTCTTTAAAATGGCTGGCAAGCTTAAAAGTGAGAGTTTTGTGGTGCTGAGAAGAAAAAGAGACACCCAATTTAGATTTTCTATGTATTATTTTCGCATTTTCGACTTACGACCAATTTGACTTACGACCTGGACCGTCGTAAGTCGGGGACTGCCTGTGTGCTACTTTTAGCAATATTACTTTGATACAACATGATAAAATGGACAAACAATAAAAATGAAACAAACAAAAGTAGATAATTGTGTTCAGGAAGCTTCCCTGTGGCTGAGTGTGTGGTGTGACAGGCAAATAGTCACACTGGAACCTGATAACCTGGGCTGGGCATTTAAACAGTCGTGGGAAAAGGCGAGTGTTCTGGAACGTCACCCGGGGTGCGCCGGCCCGGCGTTCCAGAACGTCAACCGGGGCGTAAGGGTTAAGGAACGTAAAAGAAGACATTTTGGGTAAGGGAAATAAATTGTTTGGAATTCATGGTTCAAGAGATAGGTTATGCTATTAAAACCGATAGAAAAAAGACGAGATATTAAATGTGGCTGGGGTAAATGAGAAATTATTGACTTTTTATAAGGAGAGTGAAGGATGTATCAAAGTATATTGAGAAGGCAAAAGTTGTTAAAGTAGATGTCCATAGTTTTTAAGTATTTTCATGCACAGGGAAGAGTGATGAAAGCATGAGTGCTGGAGAGGGGATTAAGTCTGACAAATAGAAATACAGTACAGGTTATAAATGAGAGGTGAATCAGCTGTTGTTTTCAAATGATACTGTCCTGGTGAATGACTCAGAAGAAAAGTTGAATGTGTTTGTGAATGAGTTTAAGAGGAACGCGTACAAGGAGAATGTTGATAGTGAATATGAAAATAGAAATAAAATGATGGCAATAAGTTGAGAAAGTAGACAAGTGAATAAATGTCAGCTTGAATCAAGATACAGTGGAGGAAATGAGGTATTTAATATACAGTATTACCCCGCTTTACACGGTACCTTGCCAGAAGCGGACTTTCACTTTCTGCGGTGCATCTACTCATATACGCGTGAAGTATAATTTTTTTATTTTTTTATTTAGCTCATAAAATTCATACAAATTACCCGGGCAGAATATAATTTACATTGCTGGAATTCATACAATATGATGATCATTTTGAATATAAACATCATAGATTTTGCATTAGACATACAAATTTTAGATCTAATGTAATAATTTGGTTTACACAAAGCAAGTATTTTATCTTTTGTGCAAAATATATGAAGTTTACATTAAAAATATTCCCTGACCTGCAAGGAATCCAGAAATGTCAATTATATTATCCTAACTTTAGTCTGAGTTATTATTTATTACTAAAATTGTAAATTACTATTTTCTCCCAAAGCTTCTCTGGTAGGGAGGGAAGGTGGGGGGTGGGGGGGAGGAAGGGAGGGACCGACCCAGCTAGGGCCGAGTATTTTGATTGACAGATAGTGTCCTTGAAGAATATTTCTTTGTTTATTAATGAAGATATATGTTTTAGCTCATAAAATTCATACATATTACCCGGCCAGAATATAATTTACATTGCTGGAATTCTTACAATATGATGATCATTTTGAATATAAACATCATGGATTTTGCATTAGACATACAAATTTTAGATCTAATGTAATAATTTGGTTTACACAAAGCAAGTATTTTAACTTTTGTGGAAAATATATGAAGTTACATTCAAAATATTCCCTGACCTGCAAGGAATCCAGAAATGTCAATTATATTATCCTAACTTTAGTCTGAGGTATTATTTATTACTAAACGTTAAAATCTAGTGTTTCACCCAATCATTTCTCAGAGAGGTAGGGCCAGTGAGCTGGGAAGAGGGGGGGGGGATTTGAGTCCATTATTTGAATGGACATTAACCTGGCGACTGTATTTCTCTTAAATATTAATTGTGTGAGCATACCATCATAAAATTTAGATGTTATTTTTACTACAACATAGGTATTGTGTTGGAAAAAGTGGAGTTTGGGGGTCGGGCCAGTCTCTATTGGAATTAATCCCATATGTTCTGTTGTTCACTTTACGCGGTTTTCACTTTTCGCGGTACCCCGTGGGTTCAATTGACCGCGTAAATCGGGGTACAACTGTATCTGGATGTGGACGTTTCAGCTCATGGAATAATTGCCGATGAATTGAATCACAGAGTAGCAAGATGGAAGGGAAAAAAAGTGTATTAAGAAAAATATGGAGAAGAATAAATCAATCAAAGGAGATAGAATTAAGGGATAAAATAGTGGAATATTTGAGTTGATTTTGTTATATGAGAGAAATGTAGACAGGATGCAAAAGGAAGAAACATGTTAGAAGTGACAGAAGTAATGCACAGTCACAAACAAGAGTCCTGTCATCTCTTCTGCTGCTCAACAAACCCCGAGATTCATACAGTTCTTGTGAATTTGAAGCATTTGTGGACAGAATAATATATCAGTGTCTACTATCTCGGATTCACGAATCTGAATCTTGGGGTTCGTGGAGCAGTAGGAGAGGCAACGGGACTTTTGTTTGCAACTGTATTGGAAAATAATATATGGAGTTAATAGGATGCAGGATATAGTAGATGTGGAAATTAAAGTTATGTCAGATAGAGAGGTGAATACAGTTTGTCGAGATGGGATGGACATACTGTATTGAGAAAGAGGAAATGGAGAATTGATGAAAAGAGTACCGGTGTGTAAGTCAAGAGATAGATGGTAGAATGGAGAGGGGGGAAGAAGACCAAAGAGATGAAAGGATGAGGTGAAAGAATGAAGCACTTGAATTGAGAGGGGATAAATATACATATTAATGAAGAAGTTAAAATAGTTGAAGTAAATAGATGAAGACAAGTGAGCAGTACAGTACTCTTAACTCTGGCCACCCTACAACATAACAGGAGAGTGTTAGCAAGTCTTAAGAAATATTGTCTACTCCACCATTGTTAGTAAATATACGATAGTGTAAGAATTTTATTGAACTTTTATGTTAAAGTTAATTATGAACAATGTACTTGGATACAGGAGGTGAGTTCCGGGGCTACAGTGGTGATGTTACTCGCACCTGGCCTGTCAGTGGGGAGTTTACACCAGCTCAGAGGGATGTGTACGAGGCAGTGCTCGAAGTACAACAAACTGTGATAAATGCCTGTATTCAGCGCCCTACTCTGGACCAGCTGTTCTCTATTATGTGTACTAAGCTTGGTAAAGTGCTACAGGAACTATGTATCCTGCCTCTCAACTTCAATGATGGACAGTTGATGAGAGTGAGTAGCACTATATATACAGTTATATGATTTTAATGAAGAATGAATGTCAAACAAGCACATAGCTGATGTATTTTATTTATGTTTTTGTCAAACAATAATACTTGTGGCAATTACATGTCAAAACATCTAACACTCGTATTTTGATGTGTCAGTGCAACAAATATTGTTTGGATAAAAACAAAAAACAAATATCACCTCTGTGCTTAATTTATTACCTTTCTAATTGCCATCTTGTAGCTATTAAAACCTGCTACTCCTTGTTGACCCAAGACCCTGTCCCATTCAAACTCCACATTCAGCAGTCGATCCTAGTATTTTGTCCAACAATGTCCTTGTTTCTACCTACTACATGCCTTGCTATTCTGTATACCTCACCTCTTGCATCTGCATTATTCAGCATATTCACCAATATTGTACATCCCCTTTATTCTTCTTAGCCTTGTAGATCTCTCCTCTGGCCCTGTGCTTGGCCTCCAGGTTCTCCTTGTTGCCATCCATCGTCTAAGACTTGCACAATCTTTTTTTCTCCTTTGTCACTGTCCACTTCATTATTACACCACCATGTTACTGCCACAGTTAGCAGAACATTCTTTATTTGGCCCAGCCTCTCGCTACACTAACCCTCACACTATTACTGGCCATTTTCACTTTTCTCAACTCAGTATGGTGTGTTTCCCTTCAAATTTCACACTCCTCTTCATGGAACATGCTTGTATATCACTCCCTGCACCTTTTAAGCAACATGCCACTCACAAGCAATATTTTCTTAAAGGCACATTCTTCCCCTGCTCTTACCTTTACACCCCTAACAAGCTTCCTATCTGATTTCTTAACAAATCACCCTGGGTTTTTGTGCCACCGGATCCATACTTATCAGCTTAGTCGACTTCTTAAACAATGTGTTGCATACAACTATTCAGTGCATCCTCAAACTCAAGTATTCTTTATACTGTAACCTTTTCCACCATGCACACCTTCACAACCCACAGTGTGTTCACAAACATGGCTGTTTATGGTCACCAACCAGTAATGCAATTTCCCTTTCGCCAAGCTACGACACTACACACATCAACTTATCCCCATACCTTGCCCTTCTCTTCATCACTTAACCCAGCCTGTGGGCATCTGCAGATATAACAGTCACCAGATTCTTGTGTACCAGTAGCTTCAGAACCATATTTTCATGTGCACTCTTTTCACCTCAAAGTTCTGTACTGTACTTTCTCCTCCCACTTTTTAGTACTGTAATCAAGACCCCTACACCACCTGTCCCAGATTCACTTCCCTTCCAGTAGATTTTGTACCTGTCATCCTTAAGCAGTACTAAATAAATAATGATACAGTAATGATGACTGATGTGTTATGAGGGTTAAGGTTAAACACACTGTATCAGATTCTCATTCAAATTGGGTATGAAATAATCAACAATCCTTTTTTGTTTTTTTGTTATTTATCAGTAAATTCAAAATCTTTTTGGAAGGTGGCAGCTATATAAAGATGCCAAAATGAAATGTTCAGAATTTTTTCTAATCTTTTGCTGTTTAAGTTTGGCCTCATTACAAAATATGACAACTGTATACCGTAGTTTTGTGTTGCCGCTGCAGTTAGTGTTTTGTGGTAGGATAGAACAGGTGTATGGTTTTACTGTTGCCTCACACTTACTCTTATTTTTATGGTACTGTAGTACTTATTTTCCACCAGTATTTTTTAGCAACAAGAGTTTTGTCTGTGTACAATACAGTAAACCCATGTTATATGGGGGGTTAGGTTCCAAGCAATGGTGCGAATCAGCAGAACTGCAAATAGTAACTTATACTATCATAGTGCACTACTGTATATCTATATGTACTGTCTGTGAGAAACTTAAGTCACCCTTACTTACATTTGTATGTGGAAGTTTGGAACTTGATGAAGTGTACTGTAGTACAGCAGCATGATGTGTAGTTACTGAAGTTGAGGGAGATCATCCAGACCCTCAGGCTGGTCATCTGGATCAATGTTGGAAGAGGGTGATGCAGTGGTGGTTGGTGGCTTTGAGCACAACATAAGAGATGTTGCATCGCAGGCAGTGGTTAAGCACAAACAGAGAAGAGGAGACGCTGTAGGCACGTGGGGGTGACATGTAGTGCTCTCACGGAGGCTCGCGAGCTTTCCACCATCTGCTTGCTGCGAATAGTCAAAACTGCTAATTGTGAACCTGCGAATAAGAAGGGTTTACTGTTTTGTGTTTAAAAAATAAATCTTGTGCCTGATCTTTCCAACATATGTGATGTTATTATAGATGTGTCTCTCTTTGTGTTCACTGAAGTAATTAAAAATGTTGCAGACCCTCGCATATTAAAAATATTCTTTTCATAATTGTTTCTAAGGTAATAATTTCAGATTCTTAAATACTATTCCTTTATTCTTAGGCAGCATATGGATTCTGTCCCCACCATGTAAGTCATTATCTTGGAATGGATGTTCATGACACACCTCTGGTTCCAAGAAATCGCCCCCTGAAGCCTGGCTGCATAATTACAGTCGAACCAGGTACAGTAATAATATGATGTATTTGTAGTGTATTGTCAATGCAGTAACCTTCCACATTCATTGACTATAGTAGAATTTCAATGTGGTCTTTGAAAAATTAGAAATCTGGCACTTTTCAAAATTAATGAAACAATTAATGATAGTACAGTGAGTTCTGCTATAACGCGTGTTTTGATAACGCGAATTTGCTCTAACGCGATTTATGAATTCGGAACAATATTTGTATAACGCGATCGCTTGTTTGCTATAACGCGATTTTTGCTTACTATTTCTCCAATTTTGTGGTATTAACTGTGAATATGGTAAAGAAGAATATCTCCAAAAAGCATTCTGATGATAGAATTCCCGGTGATTATCGTAAAAGAAAGGATATAACACTTGAAGAGAAGCTTGATGTTATCAACCTCAAAATCACCCTTCTCCCCCATCAAGTTACATTCATATTTTTTCAAGGTAAAGTGTTAAATTTACTGTATGATTTCATTATTAGATATGAATGTAACATTTATTTAGACTGTGCTATCCTTTGTGTTAGGCTAACTACTAAATTTTTTCGATTTCGAGTAATCTGCACCTAACCCTATTTTCTCCATAAGCCCTGTTATTTCTATTACGCGATTTTCTATAACACGATATTTTACAAGAACACAATTATCGCGTTATAGCAGAACTACCTGTACTGTACATACACTACATATATTGTTGTTGTGTGTCATTCATTTTTGTAAAGTAATTTCCCTGATGGTGGAGTCTTCATGTCTGGATGGTACCTCAACTCTGTCAGAATCAGTTCCTCTCAAATTTGACACACCTATTTCTTGGTGCTGTGCAGGATGTTAGTTTGGATTTATGGGAGATACAAGCTTATAAAAGTTTTCACTTAATAAATTTATTTCCACTTTTATCATAGTACTGTAGTCTTTAGTTGTAGAGAATTATGCTGTGGTTCATTGTGTTGTTTTCAAACAAGAAGATGGAACTACTGTCATGTATATGAAGAAAAAAAATCACATTGTCAAAGGAATTTCATTTGATGTTATGTACACATCTTATGAATACTTACACAAGAATTTGAAGTTTTGCATTTTTATTCCAGGTATATACATAAGTGAAAATAACACAACTGTACCCTCACGCTACCCGGGTTTAGGGGTCAGGCTGGAAGATGACGTACTGATTACTGAAGATGGGGTAGAAGTGTTGAGTAACTCCTGTCCAAAACACCCTGATGAAATAGAGGCTATTGTTGGGGCTGACTACAAGTAATATGATCCTATGTTTAATAAGTATGTGATCAGTTTTATCATTTTTCTTTTTGGTGTGTAATTTTTTGTAATTTGACCATGGTAAGGTTCATTACATTAAGGTTTCACTTGAGCTAAAAGAGGACTAAATTTGTATTAAGTTTACAGGCTATGAATACTGTAGGTGTTTATACCACTGAAAGATAATGAGAACTTAAAAGGTACAAATATAATTTTTTTTCTATGTTTCTAATTTCATTGTCATGAAAAGGACCTTGTCTCTGCTTCATAATGTAGAGCATTTTCACTGTTACTTTCATTTTTCCATTGCTCGTATTGGCTAACAAACTAGTGTGTTGCTTTGTGTCATCATAGAGATGATGTCCTGAACAATTCTTGTTTTGACTCTTACAAGAATAAATCATTTATATAAAAAAAAGATCTTACAAGGTCTCTCCTTTGCCCTTGTAACTATACAGTAGTCTTGTGAATATGAATATTATTTAGTCAAGTAGAATTTATTTTTGTTATACAATACTGTACTGTATTTGCTATCAGTATAAAAATACAAAGTGTACACTTTAACACACAATAGTTTTTATATAATTATAATGAAAGTTAATTTTAAGTCCATAAAATTACAGTATTGTCATCACAAGTTCTTGTTCAGTGGTGAATATTCTAGCTATATTTTAACAGGGCTTTATGAACTTAAGAAAACACTGCCGTCTGTTGGCAGTAGCAGTAAACTGAACTTAGAGGGACAAATCTGGGGTTTTCTTTGTTGATCGATATCAGATTGGATCATGCAGTGTGAACATTTAGATTAATTGCCATTTTCCCAAGTCTGGATTACATCCCTCCATACATGTGCTCCTAGTAGTGGGACTCCTCCATGAAAGGTTGTTCCATTATTTTGATCCCAGGTCTTACACCTAGGAGGAAACTCTTGAGGTGATTATTACAGTAGGGAAGGAGAGACTGAAAGTAAGTTCATGCTGGCCACTAGTGTCAGGTCTCCTGGGTCTAAACAATGTCTTGGTGACTACATTACATGATCTGCCAAATGCTGTGCTCAGCCATAATACAGTATGGGATTTCAGAAGCAATCCTTCATTTTGCTTCTGCAACTTCCACATTAACCACACTCTTTGAAATAACTTTAACTCCTCCAACTAAACTTTTTTCTCACTAAGCAGCAGAAGTGTGCTTGGATATATTAAGAATACGATGTTTGGATTGTCATGTGTGTTGCTGTTAGCTGCCATGTGCTCTTGATTCAGAGAGGTTAGATGGGTCCCATTCCTTCTGAACCCCAGCCTACCTAACTCATCCTATTCTAACCATTAAGATTGTAGTGCATTAGACCTGGGGCCTATTAGGATTGGGCTCTAATCCTAATAGTTAGATTAGGATACACTTGAGCCCTGTAGAACTGGACCCATTTTATGAGTCTCCAGTATTTTATTAGATCCCTTTCAAATTAGATTCAGCTAATCTTATTAATTCTTAAGGGAATTTTTATGTGATCAGAATGACACTTGTTGTAGAGAGTAGTTAAAAAAGAAATGTTTTATATATTTTGTGCCATACCTGTATAATACATGTGCTGTACAGCCTTTTATAACTATCTACCTCTGTATCTTTTATTCTTTTTTTGTATACAGTAGTACGCCGCTTAACGCGGTCAATAAAACCCACAGGGTACCGTGTTAAGTGAAAACCGCGCTAAGTGAACAACAGAACATATGGGATTAATTCCAATAGAAACTGGCCCGACCCCCAAACTCCACTTTTTCCGACACAAAACCTATGTTCTAGTAAAAATAACATCTTAATTTTATGATGGTACATGCACACAATTAATACTTAAGAGAAATACAGTCGCCAAGTTAATGTCCATTCAAATAATGGACTCAACTCCCTCCCCCTCTTCTCACACTACACTCACTGGCTCTTCCCGCTGAGAAATTTTGGGGGAAAACCACTAAATTTTAATAAATAATACCTCAAACTAAAGTTAGGATAATACAATTGACATTGCTGGATTCCTTGTAAGACCAGGAATATTTTGAATATAAATGTCATATATTTTGCACAAAAGATAACATATTTACTCAGAGTAAACATTATATCTAAAATTTGTATGTCTAATGCAAAATCTATGATGTTTATATTCAAAATGATCATCAAATTGTAAGAATTCCAGCAATGTAAATTATATTCTGGCCGGGTAATTTGTATGAATTTTATGAGCTAAAACAAATATCTTCAGTTAATAAAAAAAAAAATATTCTTCACATGAAACAGATGGTTGGTCGGTCCCTCCCCCCCCCACCCCACCAACCGTCCCAACCAGATGTGTGGGAAAACCAGAATATTTACCTTTTTAGTAATAAATAATACCTCAAACTAAAGTTAGGATAATATAATTGACATTGCTGGATTCCTTGTAAGACCAGGAATATTTTGAATACAAATGTCATATATTTTGCACAAAAAATAACATATTTACTCAGAGTAAACATTATATCTAAAATTTGTATGTCTAATGCAAAATCTATGATGTTTATATTCAAAATGATCATCAAATTGTAAGAATTCCAGCAATGTAAATTATATTCTGGCCGGGTAATTTGCATGAATTTTATGAGCTAAAACAGGCAGGCAGGCAGGGTGGCGGGTGGGGCGAATCTAAAAATAGCTTCTCGAGCCGGACACTCTCCGCGTATACGTGGAAAAAACCCGCGTTAAGTGAAAGTTCGGCTCTGGCGAGGCATCGCGTATACGTGAAATCGCGCTAAGCGAAACCGTGTTAAGCGGGGTATTACTGTATTGCACTATTGATTTGTATTATATTTTCTTTAAAAAGGTGGATTTCTTTTAGGCTGCATTTTTTTTAGTGTGTCCTCTTTAGTGTTAGATAACTTTTAACATCTGGTGACTTGGATACAGCCTTCAGAACTCAGTTATGATTCTGCATCATTTTGTTCATATATGGTATCTAGGATATATATTTTTTTTTCATAAGTGATATGTAAATATGTGCAGGTAAAGCAATGGTTGAATTATTTTGTGAGTTATATGACAGTGACTGTTAATTCACAATGGTTCATGTTGTATGTTAGGTAAGGAGAACTAAGAAAGGTCACACTTTTTAGTTAAGCTGAAAGCTACCTTGGGATTGAGCCTAATGAGTATGACACATAAGAACTCCACTGAACACACTCCACTGTGTGTGTGTGTGTGTGTGTGTGTGCGCTCGTGCGTGCACGTGCAATATAGTTAAGCCATATAAACAACAGAATGAGTGAAATTTGGGTAACTTTTAACATCTTTGAATGGAATAAGTGTGCTTGGAAAACAGCAAATTTATGTGCTTAGGAATAACCACTAAGGTAGTATTGCAGTGGTCTCATCTTGTTCATAATATTCAAGGTTAATATGTGGACTGTACACAAATGTACGTACCATACAGGGAATCTGGTGGATGACAAATTGAACAGGACATTTTACAGGCATCCCCAAATTTATGATCTCCCTATCTATGATATTTTGCTTGAATGATGGTAATGTACTAAGACCACTCCCCTATTTATGAAAAAAATAATGCATTACCCGGCCCAAATTGATGACGCATGGAATATGGAGCGCATCTCTCACTGCACTTGTTAGCTGCAGTCTACCCGCATGCCACCATGCAGCCACCCACTGCACTACAGTCCCAAACCTTGTTCCATGGTGATTGCACATGCCTGTGATCGCATAGCTAAACGATTCAGTCAGTATCAGTGTTGTTACTTATCATCGGTGTCTTTTTTTTTTTTTTTTTTTTTTTTCCCCTCACAGTGAGAAGACATCATTACTGTTCACATTGTACTTTGTTTTGGTGACTGTGAAGTGATTTTTGCTGTTTTTTATGTCTATAAAGTGTTTTGCCTCTGTTGTTGTGAACATGATGTGAGCAGTGTCAGCTGCTATCTTTGTTTTTATGTTATCATTGTTCATTTTGTTTTTGTAACAAGAGCTTTTACTGTTTTTTTGACTGAAATGAGCAGTGTAACATTGAAAATGTCTGAGAAGGCCAAGGCACCCAGGAAAACGGTGTCTTTGGAGGTGAAGCTTGACATGTGAAACCTTTCCTGACTCCCCAGTGGCTGTGTGGGAGTCAAGAGTGATGTCAAAACTCCTTCAGAGTCCCCTCAGCCTCGAAGTGGACTTGTGATGACGACCAGTCTTGTTCTTAATGATGTCATGAGTGTTGTTTAATTGTGTAGGAACTTTGTTTTTAGTGATACATGTGGGTGCTAGAATGTATGCTATTGAACCCCATGTTATACTGATCCTGATTTACAATATTTCGACCTGCAATGGATTTTTCAAGAATGTAACCCCATAATAAATATGGGAATACCTGTATACAGTATGTTTACAGGACTGTATCTTACTCCTGAAAGTGAAGTCTTCCACCTTTTATATAAAATCAACTTTTCATAGAGTTCCTTCTCTGTCAGGTGTTCAACAATCTGCTCTATAAAGAAAAGAAGAATTGTGAAACAAAAGAAGCATATTTTAGTCCCCCGCTGATCATTTGTGTATTAAAAATCATCTATGTTCAAATATGATGACAATTGTCACTTATTTTTATAAATAACTGCCACTTGACTCAAGGTATTTTTAAACTACCGAACATAATCATTGACTTTTTACATATTAAGATACTCTCAAAGGTGTATGTTATACACTATAGCAGTGTGTGTGTGTGTATGTGTGAGGCAACCCCTACCACTGAAAGTCATAACTGTTTGTTATATATTTTTTTATGAATTTTTATTGAAAGTATCAGACCAGTATATCCAGAGCTTCATCACTTCCTGGAAATTTATCTCTCATAATTGGGTGGACAAGTAGCACTACTGTTCTACTACTGCACAGGGCTTTCTAATTTTACAGTTTTACTCTGCCAAGTGTTTGTTTAGTTGTCTTGGTACATATGGGGATATAACCAGCTTTTTATTTATTTACCATATTACCACTTATCAGTTTACTAGGCATTGTTATGTGACATTGTTATGATCTTCATTGGCCAGTGTTAGTACAGGAGGAAACTGGAGTACCCGGAGAAAACCTGTGATATTTGGTAGGGTCACACTGCAGCACTCTTTTTTTATTGTGTTCCGGGCTAGGGATTGAACCCATGACACAGTAGTGAGAGACACATGCATTACTGGTATACAGGAGTTCTCATATATTTCTATAAATTTCGTATTTAAAATTTAACTTATCTTTACTGATCATTTCTCATCAAATTTGCATGATTAAAGTTTCAAAGGTATGGTATGTTTGTCTTACATTACAGTAGTAGAGACCAGGCCATCATTTACTTTAAATCAAATAAAAAGAAGAGGTAAACGTTCTTTTTATTTTGCAATGAAATACCGGTAAATGATAACAGTACCAGGTAAATTAAAAGAAAAATGACTGTTGTTGGTACACAGTTGACCATCATCTCACCAAACTGGCAACTTGTGCACCTGAGTCCCCTTGATGAGGTCAGTGCTGTAGTCAGATATTGTTACAGTGTTTGAAGGTTTATAGATGCACTATACTCTTGATTTAACGGAATCCGATATAACAAACTCACGATTTAGTGGAAGGAATTTTTTCCGTTATTTTTCGCTCGATTTTGTGAACTAGTTTGCTAAATCGAGATTAATTCTGTTAATACGCTCACACCTACGGAGATGCCTCAGACACATGATATGTACATAGAACCATTAGAAACATTATTCATGGCTTACCTTAAACTAGGGGGTTCGGTGTTTGTTTTCAAATTTTTTCTATTATTTCAAAACTTTATCCAATTGATAGTTGCTCTCTTTTGACTTTCACCCTCACACCATTTTCTTTCTGAGACTTCTGAGAGACTTTCGGCATGATGTCTGAGCACAGTAGTTAGTTGATCGAGAGGTGGCGGCAGGAGACAGACTGAGTGGGTTTAAATGAACCCCACGTGCCAAGTGGCGCATTTGGCTTGAAATTTAATGGAATCATGGTTGATTTAATGAACTAGTTCGCTAAATGGAACAAAAATAACGGAAATTTCGATTTAACAGAAAGGGGTGGCTCGAATTAGATTGTTAAATCAAGAAAATACTGTAATTAGTTTAATAGTGCACAACTGTTCAGCAGAGTTTACCTATAAATTCTCATTCATCAGTGCATATGCCAAAACACTGCAGGAACTACTGTAATGGGAGGAAAACAGGGTGAACATAGTCAAAAGAAAAAGAGATAGACTTGTCTATTTTCACTTTATTTTCTTATGTTACACTTTCCACATTATTGTAGCAATGTTCTATATTTAGTTTTTAAGCAATATTCAGTACTACGCATGACCTCTATAAGATGATTTTGCTCAGTAGATTACAGAACTAAACTGAACATCTACAAATCACAAAGCACCAAGCTGCAATTTGTCCTTGCTGAGGAAACGGCCTCACCACTGAGCTTACAGTAATTCAATATGGTGTTAATTTTATCAGAATATAAATACTGTACCAAAGAATCCTCATACTGGTCTTACAATGATCTGGATATGTAGATGTCCAGGAACTCCGCATACTGTACTGTACTACAGTACATTTTGTAATTTCATAAAGTTTGTTAAAATTAAGGATACAGTACTGTACTGTATTTTATTTTTATACCAATGTATTGGTATAAAATGTGGTCCTGTATAAGGTTATGCCCCACCAA